TAATTATTTTTTTATAATATTCCTTTGAATTATTAAATATTTAATTTAGAATGAATGTTTAGTTTAGTTTAATAATTTATTAGCATTTGAGACAAAATTTAGGCAAGATGCTAAGGCTGAAGAGTTTAATTGACGCAATCTTTGTAATAATTCAATGTAATAATTATAAAATCGGTATTACAATGTTTTCTTGCCATTGTTCAAAAGCCATTTTTTCAGACAAAGAAGCAACAAGAAGATAATTTTAATAAAATTAATGCTTTAATGACGAATGATAAGTGCTTAATTAGAAACTTAAAAAATTGTTTGATCACAAACCGGAAAAAAAATTATGAATTTTTATAACTACTCAATCCCACTTTTATACATAATTTTTTAATGAGCATATAGAACTAATACTACTCAAATACTTATCATCTTGCCTCCTTAAATATCTTCACCATGGGTAATGTTGTTCGCCGTTGTGGCTCAGGTTGACAAGTGCTCAATGGATAACGTCATATAACCCACACTTCCGGCGTCATCCGTGACAAAGAACCTAATAGTTTAGTATCGACCATTAGAAGAAAATAACTTTGTTTCTACTCTTGTTATATCACTTTTCATTGTATCAAGCATTCAGTTTTATCTCTCTTTTATGTTTCTCAAGGAGACAAATAAAACTCGAGAGACTTCAGTTCCTTGAGATTTCTTAAGAGACTTAAGTTTCATGAAACTTCAAAAATTCTAGGAATTTCAGAAATATTTTTATTGTTAAATGTCAGAAAATGAAACTTACCGTTTATTTTGAATTTATTGCATTTTAATATACAAGATTTCATAATTAGAATGAAGTCTAAACGAATTTATTTGGGAAAATTGGGACTTTATTGTGTACACAGCTGATAACAATATGATAAATCGAAGTACAGACCCCATAAGCAGAATTTTTTCAAATGTTCTGCAATAGGACTTATTAATTTATACAAATGTTCTGCAAGCATTTCACAGCAAAAAAAAGTCAACTTTACATTAAAATACTATATTTTCATTTATTAAAAAAAAGGATCATACACAGATACACTACATTATTTTTTTAAACCAAAGCAAACATTCTTGATTTTTTACTTTTTCAATCACTTTTGAAGTACAAAATTTTGTTAATGACAATGATAATGATGAATTATTAATAAAATGCCTATGATATAAAGGTCCAAATATTAAAATAAGGACTGCCTTTAAAATCTTTCGAAGGGACAAGTGCCCAGTTGGTGCACCATTTGCAGACACAAACATTCACTGGTCTGTTCTAACAACTTCTTCACCTCCATCGAAAGCATTTGGTCTTTTCGAAACAATTCTGTCAATCGTGGATCCCCACGATTCACAAATTGCTTCTGAAATGGGAATGGAAATATAAAAGTCATAAACTTTATGAAATTGGAAATCTCGGAATTTAATTCTTTTACTACTTGCTTTAGAAGCTCTCTTGATAAAAATGGTGATCGATTTCTCCTGCTGTCTGCTAAAAACTGATACACCCATTTTATAAAAATGTTACACCCAAAAGCTAATTCATTAATTTCCTCCTCAGAATGGCAAAGATATGGGAGAGGGAAATTACTGATAAATGTGCTGAAATTTGTGCAGGTTGTCAAATGTTCCTCTTCTAAAGCAAAATCATTCCTGAGCAAATAGCAAGTGGTCAAAGCTAAAGAGAATTTTATTCAAGATATAAATTGTTCTGTAGAATTTCGTTTGTTCTGCGACATTCGTCGCAGTTTTGGGCACTTTCTGCTTCTGGAGTACAGACTATGACCAAGCACTATTTTGTCTTTTCTTTATATAAGCATTTAAATTTCATGCTGAATAAACAACTGATTTTTAGAAGTATTATCAGTTTTTTGTGTGCATTTATTTAAAAAACAGAAGCCTTGCTACTTGTGGAGGAGGTTAGAATATTTAAATTTGATTTTTTCAAGTGGTTCAAAATCGGTACTTCAAGTCTATTAGCTTTAATTTTAATTGCATCTACCTCATTTAGCTTTATTTGACTTACAAGTCATTTATTGAAACAAAGCAAACAGCAGTGTTTGAAATATATTAACTAAGGTAATATGTTTTAATTGTTTCCAAGTAGTTCTTAATTAACACTGCAGATTTCCTTTTCAAGTGTATTAGCTTTAATTGCTATGGCTTTCTACTTTATTGTATTTTTGACCATTACCATGATTTTGAAATTTAACTAATTAGCTTTTTAACTTACACCTAAAGAATTTTCAAATTCTCCTTGCAGAGTCGCGGTGGTTGGCTCAGGGGATATAGTGCTTACTTCCCAATGAGATGACCCAGGTTTAAATCCCAGCATTGGCTGGGCAATACAAATTCCCTGCTAACAGCTCGTACTGACTACTATATTGACATAAAAAATATCAGTGGTAGACGGATCATAGTCTAGAATCGCCTTGCCATCGGGCTAACTGTGGGAGGTTATCGTGGTTTACCTCTCCATGTTAAGCAAAGGCAGGTTTGTTTCATCAAAAATTTCTTCACAAAGGCTAGTTTGCCCCAATGCTTGATACAGCAGTTCCTTTGTCTCCTAGATTGGGTTCAAAATTACAAGGCTGCGGAGTTGAATAGTGATTGTGATAAACATAGAATTGGGTCGACTGTTCAGCACCAGTTTTAAAATAAAATGTAAAATTCTTCTTGTATTTGACACAAATCTTTATTCACAACTTTTCATTTTGCCTTATCTTGTGAACCCTCTCAAATTTATTGTTGTACCTAATAAATAAACAAAATAAAGAAATAAATTATAAGAATTGTCAGTTTTCCATGCCTCAAAAGAGTATGTGATCATTGATTGAATATTTTATGTTCATAATTTCAAAAGCAATATATTCTTCAAGAGCAATTTTTATTTATTGACATTTTATCTTTATTGATTTTGATTTCTTTTAGAAAATTCTCCAAAGAAGGTTTCTAAACTGCCTGGGGATATTACTAATGTAGATGATTTTGTTCCTGATGATGCAGATCAAACATTCAATTCATTTTTAGAAGAGTCCCCTAAAAAGTCAGCTGATGACATAAGAACGGAAACTCCCAAACTTGACTCTGACAGGTATTTTTATAATTTTAACAATATTTTTTCAATTTCTAATCATATATCGCTTTTAATTTCACGGATATTAATTTTTCCTATCTTTAGCCTTCACAATTCATTTAGCAAAAGTATAAAAACTGATATTTGAATCTGACTTTATTTTTTTTAATTTAAAATAAAATTTTGTTGGATTTCTAATCATGTATCACTTTTTATTAAAAAGAAATTCATTTCTAAATATTATCACAATTTCACTGAAATATAAAAATAATTAAACTATTTAAAAATGAAATTTCTATTTTTATTTTAAGTAATGAATATTGTTATAAGTATTCAATTTTGCTGTCACTAAAAAACTCAAAGTTTATGTGTTAAAAGTTAAGATGAAACAGACTATATGTACATAGATAATTGTATATTTAAAAATTAAATTCTAGTTTAATATAATCATGACATTTTAGTCATCTAATAAAAGTTTTCTTGTTTAAGTACATGAATAAGAAATTTATTTTAAAACCACTTAAAAATTTATAGACGTTTAAACAAAAACTTTAATCTTAAAGTAGTATCTTTAAAATTGACAGAAATGCTGTACACATAATTTTTTTTAGAAGATATCATATATTATCTTTTGTTTCTGCATAGAGAAAATGTTATTTTCTAGACTCACTAATGTCAAAATATAGGGAATTTGTTTTTAAGTAATATGTAATTTTTAATTTTTGATACAATCAATTAAAATCTTGTTTGGTTCCCTTTTAGATAGTGTTTTTAAATGATGCCATTTTGATATTTTTTTAATCGAAATTTGCTTTTTTAAACTGATATTTTTCTGTGTTTTCTGCTATAGGTTAGAAAATTTGTAAAGTGTCCTTTCATTATTAGTTTAACAATAAAAGATAAGCTTCAATGCTTATGAAAATTTCAATACAATATTTTAAAATGTTATTGGAAAAACTTGTTTTTTAATATAATATTTATTATTATTAATTACAGTTTGAAATAACTGTTTAGTAATGCATGATTTGTCTCTAAAATTATTTTTACATATTTTTTCATCTTTTTGAGCTTTAGAATGTTATACTGTAAGAAATATTGGTATTAAAAAAATAATACTATATTTAAAGAACTATATTATTATTTATATACTCTGTGTTTGATTTCAAAAGCGATGAGGAGGATAATGTTGCCAATCCTATGGTAGCTGGTTTTCAAGATGAACTAGATCCAGAAGATGCTGTCACTCATATACAGAGTTTTAAGCTGAATAATTTAGAAATTGTTAATGATCCAAGTTCAGAAGATGAGGATAAAACAGTAATAACAAATCACAGTTCAAACTCCAGTGTTAAAAGTAAGTAGCATTTTTTCTGCAATATATATACAGTAGAGAACCGATTATCCGGAACAATCGGGACCATCGCGATTCCGGATAACTGATTTTTCAGGTTTTCTGAATCGCTACAAAATGCCGTTTTTTTAATGTTTATAAAACGAAACTAAAAAATTATTTTTAAACAGTTTTAGAAATAATAAAAAATGATAAATAATAATACACTTAAGTTTAAATAAGGAAAGAAATTATGAAATAAAAATTATATACAGGCTTATATATGTTATTAATGTTATTATTAACATTAATAACATATGTAAGCTATTTGTGCTTATGTGAGATTCGTCTACAAACGGCTTTTGATCCGTCCTCTAAATCAGTTCTTTCGTCAACTCGATACGCTGTACGCTCTAAATAACAAAATGGGCTCAAAATCTTGCAGGAAAAAAAAATTTTTTTAATGGAAGAAAATTAATTTCCGGTTCCGAATTTCATTCCGGTTATCTGGTTTTCCGGTTTTCTGATTTCCGGATAAGAGGTTCTGCACTGTATATATATATATAAGAAAGCTCTTTAAGCGCAGTTTGATTTGTAAGACAATCCATGTATAAGCAGAGAATGTATTTTTTTTTCAGTAATTCCTCCAAAATTCAGAAAATGTATGTAGATCATAAGCTTGTAAAATTCAATAATGCTTGCATCTAACATTACATGTATATTGGCCATAATGGAAAAAAAAATTTCCGTAACTTATAAGCATACAGTACCAATAACATATAGTACCTTGAACTTTATAGATGACAGTGAGATATTTCATTTATGAATTGGGCATAAAATTTTGTAAAGTTACTTTTAGTTAGTTTTAAAGTTTTGTAAATTTTGTAGTTTTGTACTATAAATGTTAATAATAGGCATCCAGCAGAAAATTTAGTAAAGAAAGTACTAAATGTGTAAATAATAAGAAATAGGCATTATTCTTTTAAGTGAAAACAAATTCTCCAAATCAACTCAAAACTTAGATTCAGACTTGAAAAATTTGAATGACTTTGTTGTGAGACTCAATAAGTTTTAGGACTCAATTTTCATTTTCTATTATTAATTTTATTTTTTATTACATATTTATGTTTTTTCATTATTATTATTATTTGGTATTTTTTCACTTATTATTTGATTTTACACTTATAAATATTACTTTGTACTATGCTTTGGTAACTTAGCCTTTAGCTGGGGGAGGTTCATACATAAACTGCCCAGTGTTGTTTAACTTCAAAAAAAAAAAAAAAAAAAAAAAAAGAATTCAGTGCTTCTAGGCCTATACATGAAAATGCATTGTATTTTTCTTAGTAATGTAATTAATGAACTGTATTTTTCGAAATAACAAGTAAATGTGGACTCACTGCAAATTAATTAAAGTGGTTTCCTAAAAACAGAGCAAAATGTTTTTGATTTACAAAATATTTTGCAATACACAATATTATTACATTATATGCTTGTTAGTAATTGTAAATGATAAACTGTATTATTTAAATAACAATTAATAGAGGTCTCGCTTCAAATTATATATGAAGTTAATTAATTGCAATTAGGACTATTTTGTACAAACAATTTTCTAAAAATGAAAAAAAATTATTATTTTTTTTTTTTGATATGCATAATATTAATTGCAAAATGTTTACATGAAAAATTTATTATTTCCGAGGTATTGAGTATTAAAATTTGGCTTTGATTCTTTTAAAATATGGCTTAAATATAATTTTTTTTAAAAGCCTTATTCTTATAACCACAAATTATATATATTTTTTATTTATTAATTTTTTTATTTGCAATTTTAAAACTCACTGAAATAACACATAAAGCTTATTCTCTACACATTAAATCTGTTTTTAAAATATCGAATGTCTGTTGATTTGAGTAGCATGTTTATTCAATATAAGCGTTTTTTTTTTTTTTTTTAATGAGTGAGTAAGTAAGTTAGTAAAGAAATAAATTTATTGTTCGAAAATTGTTTTTTAAGTGGCTGGTAAAATATGTAAAATTATTAAATAACAGATTTTCCTTGAGTTTCAATTAGTTATTTTTAAAAATGTGACATACAAGAACAAGTCTTGCGAAGAAACAAAGGCTTAAAATCGAAGCATGTTTAAAAAAAGTTTTATTACATAATGAATGGTAATGTGATCATCATTACATATAACACAACATTTAGTTAAGTTAAAAATTTCTAAAAACATTATTTATTGAAGCTGTTGAATTGGTTATTCAAGCTTATAAAATGTATAATAACAATTAAAAAATGTTAGTATTTCTGGCTAGTTTATGGATAGTCTATAAAATGTATTAAACAGATATTGGCCTCTTGGATAGTTTATGTAATAAAAATTTATTTTTTAAAATTTTAATTTCAAATATTCTTATGTGTAATGAGGGTTGTTTTTATGATTTTAGCTAACCATCAGAATTATGAGCCACCTCTTGATATAAAGGTAATTGCTAATACAGTTGTATTTATTTCTTTATAATTGGATTATAATTTTTATATGGTATGTAGTGGTAGTTAAGATGTTAATATTCAAATTATTGTCATAATGAAAAGAGAATTAAGAGTTTCATACAATTAGTATTGTGGAAGATTTAAAATGAATTTTTAAAAAATTTATTTATATGTTAAACATTTTTATTTGTAAAAGTTGAATGGAAGAATCGTATGTTCTTATTTTTTTGGGAAGGGTCGTTTGCTCGACTGTTAAGCATTCATTGACTGATTTTTTCTTGTTTTTTTTTTAAATTTTAATATTACAAATTGAAATAAAGGCTATATAGAATCAAAACTGCTGTAACTTCTTACTTTGAGTTATTCTGTTACGGTTTGACAGTAAATTTCTGAATGTGTAGCTTTTTATAGTTTAGTTTTGAGATAGTACTTATTATGTTTATTATATTAAATATTCTTACACATTTTTTAAATTTTTTTTTCTTCATTGATATTTTTGCAACTAATTTTTCTTTTTTTCTTTTATTTATTTATCTAAGGGGAAAAATGTTATTGCATGCAAATGAGTATAAAAATTTGTTTTTAGAAGAAAAGTATTGGTTTTAAAAATTAGATGAAATAAATGTTTCTTAAGATTAAAAATAAACTCATGTTTGTGAAAATTGCAACACCATGAAAGACTTATGCAAGTGAGCTGAAATTTTCAGGAAATGCAAAGTAGAGCATAATATGCAAATGATTAGAACTTCAGAACCGTAGCGCATGCTGAGCAGCGCCCTCTGAACGGCTGATGGATCCGAATAAATAAGACGGCTGTAGCGAGGCGTGTATGTTTATCGGTGGTAATCTACTTGTGGTAAACGTTAGCTTAGTCGTTACTTATGTCTCTTTGACGAAAGAGAGCGAGTTTTCAACAACTTGTGGAGTTTGAACAGGGGAGAATCATCGGCCTTCGACAAGCTGGATTATCTTATCGTACAGATGCCGCTCGTGTTCAGCGTAACAACAGCACAGTGATGCGTGCTTGGAATCAGTGGACGAACGAGTGTCAGACAACTCGGAAATCCGGGAGTGGACCCCAAAATGTCACGTCTGCTCGCGACGATAGACACCTAGTCCGCATGGCTCTGACTGACCATACGGCTCCCTCTAGACAACTGGCAGCACAGTGGTCAATAGCTACAGGTGTTTCATTGTGTGCTTCATCAATTCATAGACGTCTGCTGAAGCGTGGACTGCGCACAAGGGACTCCTTTATACAGGATCCCCCTCACGCTAAACCATCGCCGCCTGCGGCGGCAATGGGCCAACCAGCGTAGGGACTGGCGTGCTGATTGGCAGCATGTCGTGTTTTCCGATGAATCCCGCTTTAATTTGTGATACCATGATGGCCGCATTCATGTCAGACGCTATGCCGGTGAACGCCACCTTCTGGAGTGCGTTATCGAGCGCCACAGTGGACGAACACCCGGAGTTACGGTCTGGGGTACCATAGCATATCATGGACGATCTCAATTGCTACGAATTGTGGGTAATCTGAACAGCAACTGGTACATCAGTGAAGTTCTGCAGCCCCAAGCTGTTCTCTTCCTTCAAGCCTTGGCAGGCGCTGTATTTCAACAGGACAATGCCCGCCCTCATATTGCTAGGACTGTTCAATCCTTCCTTGCATCGAGGCAGGTACAGCTTCTTCCTTGGCCTGCGTATTCCCCGGATATGTCCCTGATTAAACATGCGTGCGATTTCATTGGTCAACGTCTCACTCGTGATCCTCGTCCTGTTGCTTCTACAGACGAACTTTGGGTACGCATGCAAAGAAAATGGAATGCTCTTCCTCAGACAGACATTCAAAATTTGTTTGACTCCATACCACGTCGTGTAGCAGCACTTATTGCGGCATGTGGTGGTTACACAAAATACTGATTTTGATCTTTTGTTATTGTTTGTTTGCTTTGAAAGTCTAATCATTTATTTGTACTACTACTAGTCAGCTGTGTATAAAATTTCATTTAATTATGACGATTCCTTCATGGTGTTGCAATTTTCACAAATATGAGTTTAGTTTTAAATTAAAAATTTTGTAATTCTGGGATAGATTTTACGAAATTTCATGAAGTTTGTTTTAAGAATTATATCCTTTTTATTAAATGTAATTCCAAGCATGTGTATTAGACAATAAAATTGCAAAATGTGTACATAAAAATAATCACAGACGGATTTATATTGAACAAGTTGAATTTGTGTCATATATTATTTTTGTGCACTTTTGCATTTCCTATTCCAAGCTGCTTAAGTTCAACATATTTATTATTTGTGCTTGCATTAACATAGTCATGACTCGCACTTCATTTCCAATGTGACCATTCTCTCTAGAAATTGGCAAAATTTGGCTTTGCAAAGAAAATTCGCTATCAAATCTAGTAATTTGTGGAATATTGTGGTCACACTAGAGTATGAAGTGTGTGTTTCACTCTATTATTACTATAAATACTGTTTTATATAGAAAAATTAAAACTATATTTGCAACAAATTATATTAATAAAGTAAAAAAAAGGCTAATAATGAATGTTTAATTTCACAAAATAAACATACTATAATTTCAATTAAATTTCTAAAAGCATAAAAAATCAAAAGTACTTTTAAAAAACTAGCAATATTTACTTCAAACTTTGAATAAAATTACTAATTATGAATGGAGTAAAAATTAAAATTTCCTTTGTTTTACATAAAACATTAATACATGCAAGAATAAAAAATTAACTATTATAATTAAAAAGAATTCTTTATTTTAACAATAATTTAAATCACAAAAAATCTAGTTTTTTTTTATTTTTAAATTTGACTCAAATTTTATTTGACCCTATAATGTGAATTTCATTAGAATGTAGTTTTATACAGAGAAAGTATAATAGATTTTATGAATTTTTTTTCTATTGTGCTTTAAATATATTAAGTATGCATTCCCAATGAATAAATAAGTCCTAAAAAACAATTTTAATTAATTTGTATTTGTTTAACTGCCATTTTGTGGTTTGTGTTTTTTAGCGTGGAATCAGTCCTATTTTTCTTTTAGTAGTCTACTAATTAATAGTTTCACTTGGATTTTTAGGATATAGAAGAGCCTTCTGTGGAAATTCCTCCAGATGTTCTTCCTGTCAGCATGCTAACATTAGAGGACGAAGACTTAAATATTTTAGAAAGTATGTACGACTACAAACGAAAAACTTCAAGTGAAACTCCCAGTGGTAATTTTCTTTTCAAAATATAATATTGCTTTTTTATTATTGGTAATTATTAAATTCATATCACAGTATACGAATGTTAAAATTTAAAAAATATATGTATGTAGCACATAGTAGAACACATAGCATGCAATCTTAATAAATAATTCTAACAATTGGGTATTAATTTAAATTGTAATTAGTTTTTAAATGCTTTTTCGGGAAATTTTTTTGGCAATCCAATATTGACCATTCTTTGAGTTATGACCTCTCTCCGGCATTGAATTTTTGTGACATGGAGTGGAAGGTGTCATTCTTGTGATGTTTCATGTGACTATGATTATTTTTATCATCATGATTATTTTGAGGGACCAATATTGAACGTCATCATTCTACATTGAATGTCATTATTACCTTAGTCACTTAAGTGCATGCACAATGCACAGAAAGGGAAAAAGTTTTTTTTTTCATAACTTTTGATATAATGATCAGATTTTCATGTGCTTGGACTAAATCTCCTCAATGATCCAATTGCCTTACCCTAAATATTCTAATTAATATGTGAGTATGATATTTTATCGATCTTTTGCACAGTATTTTAAATTATGAAATCGGAATTAAAAATGTACTTTCTTCAAGCAAACATTATTTTTTTTTGCAATGGATTTAGATTCTTGATCCTTCAGATATGGGAAAAGACCACTCTCAGGTAGTTGGAGGAAAAAAGAAGTTGACAGTTTTGGGCCCCTTAATGTTAATTTCACTTTTTACATTATTTTATTTGCCATCTCTCTGGAACTAATGATGTGAATCAAAAACGTTTTGCATACAATTATGAAATCTTGTTTGTCCAAAGATAAATCCACATGAAATATTATTTTTTAATATTTTGCTTTTTTTAATCATCTAAAGATTTTTTTGTCGTAAGGTAAACTAGTTTTTACATTGATTTAATTCACATAATTTTGAATGATTTGAACAATTTGAATGGAATCTGTCAAAAGAGTTTTTGAGAAATAAGAATATGAAAATACCACTACATGAGTTGACAAAATGTATGAAAAGTACACACTGTACTTTCGTAATCATGTATATTTTTCATTGNCTTTACGAAGGCTCTTTAAAAAGGACTTTTGAAATAAAACTTGTAGAAAATGGTCACCTTACTCAGGCGTTTACTTTACCCAGGTGGTCACTTTCACAGGTTCCACTGTATTTTGCTTTTTTTAATTATCTGAATATTTTTTTGTCGTAAGGTAAACTAGTTTTTACATTGATTTAATTCACATAATTTTAAATGATTTGAACAATTTGAATGGAATCTGTCAAAAGAGTTTTTGATAAATAAGAATATGAAAATACCACTACATGAGTTGACAAAATGTATGAAAAGTACACAGTGTACTTTCGTAATCATGTATATTTTTCATTGTAAAGAAATTTCTTTGAAATAATTTATTTTTAATTTAATATTTTATTTATGCATTAAACTTGAAGCTTAAATAATTAAAAAAATTATACATATATATTTTAAAGAATTTTAACGACTATTTTCTTCTGTTAGTAAACTTACAAAAACTCTTCATAAATAATTGTTTTACTTGTCTGCAGTTCCATCCCGATCCTCTCCCAGCGCAACACCAGAAGGTTCTGAAGCTGTGAGTGAAGATTCTACATCGACAAAAACTAAAAAACATAAACACAAAAGTAAACATAAGGTAGTCTATCACTTTAGCTTCTTATTTTTTATTTACCCAATAATTATAATGCTATTTTTATTTTAATTTTTTGTACACTAATTACAATAATATCTGTTATTTAAACTGCATATCACTTGTCAAAAAAGCTTATTCTTTGTGTGAGATATAATAATTGTGGATTCAGTAGCAGGGGTCTGTCGAGGGCAAATTTACTACTGTATAGCGATACCTTCACAAAATACTTTTATAATAGCAATTTCTAAGATCCATCCCCCCGCTCTTATAATTTTGTTGTTGTATCCCCGTTAAAATGATAAACCCCAGGTTGATTACGCTTTTCGAATTGCAATGGAACTTATCCCATGGATTGTTTTATGATGTATAAGAATTCGCTTCCCATACGGTTTGTAAGAAAAGTGCCTTTCCTTCCCATGCCTGACTAAAAACATGCCGGGATCCCGAAATGTCATGGGAGAAAAGGAACTTCAGCTACTTTGTTCCTAATTGAAGTGGAAGAAAAAGCGCTAGTGCCATGCAAGCCCCATTCTCGTTGTAATCTATTGAAAAACGGAGCTTTTTCGAGTAAAAGGAGCTCTTCAACTAATAGGTAGCGCATGTTTGGTCAGTTAATGCAGAGTGGAAACCCTTACCGGTCGCTTATGCCATATTAGAGCAAGCTTTTTTTTAAAAAATGAAATGACAAGGCTGTCCCTCTATAAAGTTTACAGGAAGTCAAAATTCGAACTATTATTTTAAACATTTTTCGAAATTTATTTTAATAGACCTTTATTTTTTTTTCTTCAGAAAATTTTTTTCTGTATGACCCTGTCGAAAATGTTCTCATAAGATAACTTTTAGTGCTAATTATTACTATTAAATGTATGTTTTTTTAAAATTTAAGTTGAAAGTTTACTATGGGCAATGATTTTGATGGATTTTTAAATTTGGATACAATTTTAAGCCCAAAATTTTACAAAAGCAAAATTATTTTTGAACATGCATGTGGGAAAAATATGCATCGAAATTTACCATTCATAAATAATTTTTACTTGTAGTGACAATTTTTGAAAATATGTTCTTATTTTATACCATATTTTCGTGTTGAATTTTTAATATAATTTTTAATTTTTACAAATTATGTCTAAATTTTCACAAAGTAGGTACCTCTTAAAAAAACCTAGACAGACCCTTGAGTAGAAGCAATTCCATAAACCACATAACTTAATGCCTTCTAAAGACAACAAAAATTGATAAATTTGTAGGATTTTATTTATTAATACTTCAAATTTTATGTCTGTAAATACTAATTACTTAAATGCATATTTTTGAGTTTTAAAGCATTTTAATATTAGCTTGGTACAGATCAGGGGTGGGCCAGGAAAATTGAGAAAAAGAAGTTTGGTGGGCCAGGTAAAAACTTCTGAAATAAAAAAAAAACAATATACAAGTTTTAATTGAAATATTTAATGAGATGAATGAAGTTGTGACTTCATTTTTCCTTATATAAGTTCCTTACATTGAGGTTCCAAGTGAGATGTACTTATTTTAAGGAAGGAGGCTAAATGTTTGTCTACTAGTCTACTTCTGACATGATTTTTTCTAAGGTTCATCATTGCAAACACTTGTTCACATATATAAGATGAAGCATACATAGCACTGATTTTCTGGCCATGAAATATTAAATTTGTGAAACTAGCTTTTGGAAAATGATTTGTAAAATTCAAACTTTGGCGTACTTAGAAACCAATTTAGATGGCGCCAATTTATGGCTATTTTATAAAGAACTTCTTCTTTCAACATTTTACCAATTGAAGCTGTCTGTGCTAGCTATTTCCATCAATTTATGCTTTGTAGAACGAAAATAGAGAAAGTAGAAAGGTCATCAGTAACTTTGTTAAAAATGAAAGAACAAAAATAGTTTTGAACAAAGTAGACAAGAAAATGATTGTATATTGTTTATATTCGTCACGAATCGGCAAAATCGAACTTTATCGGCCGAATAAAACTTTCCGGCTCCCGCATTTGGCCCCCGGGCCGTAGTTTGCCCATCCCTGGTACAGATATACATTGTAATGATTAGTATAAGTTTAATGATTTGTGAAATGATCTATCTAATGCAAAATTCTAAATAACAAAAAGCCTTACATTTTGCAGTTTTTGTTATAAAGATATTCGGTATTAATTTTATTTTGCAATTCTTCTTAGCAACAAAATTTCCAAAAGGGAGAAATTCGCGATAACATGGCAAAAGAAGGCTGAATTGATAATAATTGAAAAATACTTTTCTCTTATCTCTGTTCAGATCAGAAGGAAACTTATGTTTTATTAATAATTGGTAATTAATATTAATATTTTTCTCCCACTTATGTTTTCAATTAGAGCCAAATAAATCACTCTCTTTTCATTGAAATTTCAATTTTATAATAGATTCTATTGTAAACTACAGAAAGTCCTGAAAACTTTTTTTAAAAAAGGATGTTGGAAATAAATAATTAAAAATAAACAATTAAAAAAGGCGTTTTATTTTGTATGAAATTTTTTTCTTTAATTTGTTCTTGGCAAAATCTTAGTGGAAATGTTTTTCCACATTTTTCTTCCCATACAGAATTTCAGATATTGGTTAGTTTAAAATGAATTTTATTTTTCATTCTAATTGAAAATTTTGTTTAAAATGTGTAATTTTTTTAAATTACACTTATATGACTAGAAAGCTTTATTATTTTTTTTTCTCTTCTAAAAAGTATACTAAAAGTAATGTAAGATTTGAATTTTGCATTATTTTTGTGATAAAAGGTTTAAAAAAAAAGACACTGGGTCAGTTTAGGGAATGGTTATTAAAAATAAAACTGCGTAAGAAAAAAAGGAAATACACTTTCATTGTTGAGCTATGTTGAATTACTCCCTGGTTGTTTAGTTTTCTGTAATAGGGAACAGATTTCAGCTGCTTAAATCATGCAATTTTACATCGTTAAACATCATTTTTTGAAAAGCCAACCATACATTTATGGAGGAGAAAACTGAGAAATGTATCAATGAAATTCAACCACATTATGCATAATAGCTTTATAAAATTTGATGATAGTGCATGTAGAGGCAATTTACCCGATATATGCTGTTCCATACATAACTTTTTACTGTATACCTTATAAATCAACTTAAAAAAAGTCACAAGTTTTTATCTAAAACCTGCGTTTTCTACAAAATTACCTCATAAATGAGCCATAATAATTCCATTAAAGTCTTATGAACAAATATATTAGTAGCTAAGTTTAACCATTGTAATTATTTTTAAGGATGAAACTAAGAGCCACAGGAAATCACACAAGCACAAAAAACATAAAGAGAAAGAAAACACGAGCCAGGCTGAAACTGTCAAGAAAAAGAAACAAAAAGAAGTTGGAGATTTGGATAGCTCTTCCGACGTTGATAGATTGGAAGAATTCTTAGGGAACGGGGACTCGGAAGTGTCAAAGCCGCAATACGAAGTATTCTAACCAGTAGCCTCTCTTTTTAAATTTTCAAAACATAAATATGGTTGTCTTTTGATGACTGGACTAAGTGTAGAGCCTGCCAGATATTAAATGCATTTGCTATAACCAGTTTCATGTATTATAAGATGAGACCTTCTGGTTTTGAAACTAGTTCTATCCAATATTAAATATTTTGAAAAAAAAAAACTTATGTATCTTTTTTTATTTTGCCTTAATTGAAAGAAAGAAAATACTAAAACAAATGATTAAACAGAGCTGTGGAGTTGATAGTTAAAATATTTGATTCAAATTCAACTTTATGAGAGCTCGACTTCCGCCTATTTTCACCAAAGCCTACGAATCAGTTTGTGAATTCTGTCCATAATAGGTATTACGGGTTTTAACTCATGATTTTTCTGGGATGACCAATTTTTTGTTTGGTGAGCTTATTTTGTACACACAATTATAAATATTTGCAAAAATAATGTTTAAGAAATCAAAGCCTCTCTCTTTATATATATATCTATAGGACATTACTTTTAACTCATTGAAGCAAATTTCTCCAAATTCTTGACTCTGACTCCACAGTTTTGATTTTAATCAATGCACTATCTTGAATGCATATTCATCTCTACTTTGCTTTATACTAACCTGTTTTGTGCCAATAAAAATTTCTTTTTGTTGTTTTTCCATCTGTTAAACTAATTAGGTATCCTAAATACAGCAAAGAGTAAAAGTGATTTACTGCCACTTTAATACTTTGGATTGAGCTGGTTTTGATTAAAACTGATTAGTTGCTGGATTTTATCGGTTATTTTTTGAGTGAAAAACTAATGGTACCTGCTTTTTTTGTAGCTTAGTAGTCAAAAAATGCTTAATGTTTCAATTAAAAAATGAATTATTTTGTTGTTATTAAATATGTTCATTTTTATATTAATTTTGTTTCTTAAAATATAAGAAATTCAACATGGAAAGAGCTTTTACTATAAAGAAAAGTTGATTTTAATCAGAATTAAAAGGTTAACGAATCAGAAGAACTGATTAAAAAGCAGGTAGTTTGTTAAAGAATTGAAAACGAAAATTAAGATGTTATAATTATTCATAGAAATACTATAAATGTTACTTATTATTTTTTTTACTGTTTATAGTATACATAGTTTAAAGGTTGTCTAACTTTTCTATTCCATTTAAGTATAAAAAGTTTTCTTTCTTATATGATACATAGATGATTCATTTGAAAAAAAAAGGTACAATTTTAAGATAAAAATGATTTATTAAATTGCTATTTTAAAAAGAAACAGCTTCATTATATAACTACAGTATATTTTAATTTGTATTATATTATTATGTCACTTAATAAAAAAAATTATAGAATTGCTTCATAAAATGCAGCGATTTGTAATAGCAAATGTGTTAAATATCTCAGAAAAGCTGCATTTTAATACAAGTGCTTTTTCTGTAAACAAAAAAAATAAAACATAATTGTACCATCCATTTGAAAATATTGTAAGCTGTCCAAATGTTCAAGATTGCAAAATTTTAATTTTTTATTGAATTTTGATGTTGTATAAAGTACTTAAAAATACAAAGTTTTGTTCAAATTAGCCAAGTTTTTTGAAGCTGTGCAACTGAGAGAAATGTTTGTAAATGTTTTTTGATTATTATGCATTAAAGGTATTATCTTAAAAATAACGTATTATTATTTGTTTGAATTTTTTTACCAACGTTGCTTACCTAGTGAAATATGTAAAAATAGAACACTTATTGGATATGAACATGGTGCATAGCGTTTTTAAAATGTGCTTATTTTCGATTTTAAAAGCTCTTAAAGATGCTTTTTTCATCGAGTGTTTTTATAAAGTGTTCAATTTTTCCTTTTTGGAAGTGAGATTGTTTTCTTTGCCATGTATTATGCAAAAGCGTGCTTTTCGCATTGTCCTATTCAACATTTTCACAATTCATTTCGGCATAACGTACAAAAGCGCCAACTATTTTACATGTTTGATGTAATACTTGTGAGTCTGCATGTGCGTATAGTAAGCTGGGTTCGGTGAGATTATTGCTCTCTCATGTGCAACTCTGCTGCATTTTGCCTGATATTCTCTATTTCAGGCTTCAGTTTCCACCCTCTGAAATTGAACTGAAAAATCTCTTGATCATTTTTTAATGGCTAATATATAATCAAGAAAAAGAGTTTTTTTTTGTCAGAAACTAGTCATTTTATCATGATCATTGTAAAGTCTCTGAAAATTATTTTGCTAATGTAGATAGGGCTTAAAAAGTACTTATTTTATGTTGAAAGATTTGGCTACATACCCTGATGAATTTTAGATCTTAATGCCACTAAGCTCTCTCTGAATTATGGTGTTCTTCCACAAGTGTTAGATAGGGAATTAAGTTTAAATTTAATTCTTATTAGATATGAATTGAAGGTCTTATTAGTATCGTTGATTTATAATGTTCTTACACCATCTTAGTGGAAGAACATGCTAAGTGGCACTTTGAAAACACCAATATATCTGGATATAAAAAACATTGACCGATTCTACATAGTTTTTTACTACTAATTAATTACAGTTTTGAGTTAATAAAGATGTTTTGTCTACAGACCTTCTTAATGTTTCCATGTCTTCAAAAGGTGAATTTTATTTTTTCTATGTATTCTAAAGCTAAAATGTAATTTAAATTTTCCATTATTTTACTTTTATCAAAATATTTTTATAAATATCAGATTGCTTTTCGTTTTCTTTTCTGAAAATATAGTTGGTTGTATATCCAATGAAACCCATATAAATTGACGATTTTAATTCCACTAAAATCTTATTGGAAGAACATGTTAAACATGCAAAAGCAGAATTATTTCATATTTTCTCCTATTCTGTAAATTACTTTTTTTTCCCCATTAGAAGAGACAGCTCTTTTTGCAAATGGCTTCAACAAAAAATTATCATTAACTCTATGCACAAATTTCAATATTAAAACCATAGCCCCCCCCCCAAAAAAAACCCAGCTGACTTCATACTTATTTTTTCTAAAAAAGATATTTAAAAAAAAGTTTCATGCAGGTTGCGGATTCATAAATATCTAGATAAAAATAAAATATTAGTCTGCCATTTGAAACATTAACAGCTATTTAAAATCATGTTTGGCATTAGCATGCACAAAAGGAATAGTTTGTATTAATTAATTTAGCATTTTAATGTTTTTAGAATGTTACAAAAGATTTAATGCAAAATCCTCATTGAAAACATTTTATTACAACATTAATACAAGATTGTTTAAAGTATAAAAAGAACAACATAAACAATGTAATTTTATATTAATAAGTACTTGCACCAAGAAATATTTTGATCATTCTATGAAATGAAGCTGTATTGGGAATAAGGGTGTTTTTACAATAAAACCAGTGACAGTTTACCTGTAAAAAAATAATGGTATAGCAATATCAAATATTCTTAATTTAAAGGATTGTCCGATTCAAGTTAATTATTTGTATGGAAATGTCCAAGTTGAAAAAAATATTGCATTATTAATTTTAAAAGAGAAACATGAAAAATGAGTGAAAACTATATAAATTTAAGAAGTATAATCAATACAAATATTACTTCAATAATTCAAAGGTAAGTAATGGAAATATAATTTTTTTAATAATGCTTTTTTTATTTTGATTCTGGTCTCACCTATCTTTACAAATATTGCTATGGTTAAAGAATTTCAGTTTAATTCATATTGGTTTTAAAATTAAGCTTACAGATTGTTTTGATTTTGCTTACAGATACTATACTATATATTATTATTACTTACTATTATTTACAGAGATTATTGCTTACAATATTATTACTTACAGAGTATATGACTTCACAGTCTTGATTAAAATTTTTTAAATTAGACAATCATTTCAGTCTAGAGCAAGTATTAATAATCCATTAACACTTAAATTGCATATTATTAATAATAATTTGTGTACTTAAAGTACAAAATGTTGTAAAATTAACTAGAAAACTATTTAAAATTATTATATTATATTCTTCATAAAATATTTTCTTTCGGTCAATTATTCAACTGCTAAAGAATTTATTCATATTATAAAAAAAAGTAATTCATTTAAAATTTCTGTGTAAATTATCAATTGTATACAGATAATCATATAAGGATTATAAAAAATTATAAGTGAAACTTTAAAATTTAAGAAATATAATACAAATACCTTATCAATTAAAGTTATTTCAATATTTGGAATTTTTATATAGCTTAAGAATTAAATTTTGTGTTAGATTATTTTTTAAGAAATAAATCCAGAAAATTAAACAAAACTTTGAAATAACATAAATGCCACACAGTGCTTCATTACACTATTTTGCATAACACACAACTTTGTGATATAACATGTTTTTACACAAAAGCTTAAGATTTAAATTAAGAGACATAGATGAAGCAAAAATGCAACATTTATCACATTATAATTTTATGCAATATAACTTTTAAAAGTTATCTTTTTGTAGCACTAAGTAGATATCCTTTATTTTGTATAATTCCCCTGAATTTAACAACCACTGAATATCGCACAATCCAAGCTCGTTTCCACTCATCTGGGTTTTTCACTCCTGGTTCTAAAATTTTCTTAAACATCTCATTTGGGAGTAAAACTGAAATAATCACACATAAATAAATATTAAATTTACATGCATAATTATCATATAATTATTAAATAGTTACACAGAAATCAAATATTCTTATAACAGATAACAGACCTGGCACATACAATCAAGATTATCCAAAATAATCCACTAGAACTTCAGATTATATTTATTCTCTATTCCAAACAATACTTTTCTGAAGAAATTACAAATTGACACAATTAAATAGATGAAAGTTCTAACTGATATTTTATTGAGTTTGACTCAGTTAGATTTAATAAATTGGCAACCAAAATTAAAGCCTTTTTCATTGCATGGTTTACAATTGGTAAAATTTATTTAAATCCCTAAAGCTCATTTAAATTGTTTACTTTTTAGAGTTACCACTCTAAATTGTAGCTAAAAGAGAAGATTTTAAAAGTTACTTTCAATTGTTTGTGGTCAAATTTACTTGAGGCCTTCCACTCTATAAACACTTAAAGACTAAGTACCTTCATCCACTGAGGTCAATAAAATTTAATACTTGGCAAAATAAATCGTGTTTCATGAGAAATCTCAATTTTTTCAAAATTATTGCTTTAAACCTTTTGCTAAATTCTTCAATTATATATAATGTTTTCTTCTAGCAAAAATAGAAGCTATGATGTTCAAATTAAACTATAAAAATGAATAAACACAGATAAAGCATCAAAAAATTATTAACTCCAATTTTTTTTACAAGAAACAAAACAGCAAATTTTAGATGTTTGACAGCAAAATGACAAAACTCCAATGAATTCATATAAAATATGATAGTCAATAAAATTAGTGAAAAGTAATTGTGAATATTTATAAAATAACTTGTCTAACAACAGAAAATCCAAAATATAAAATGCATTCCTCTAAATAAAATAAAAAAATTATAAAAATCTATATACGAGTAAAAAAATGGAATTTACTTTGATTAACTGAGACATTTAGTCTGAAAAACTTCAGGCTATACTTTTATGATAGAAAAATGCATTTCATATCAACTTTTAACCAACGTTAAAATACAGGGCTCTCGTAAAGCAATCAGAAGATGCCATGTAGCCTACAGGCTGGGGACCACTGTTATAATATAAAAATTATTTTTAAGTTATTTAATTACATGGTAAATAAAATGTGCATTAATGGGACAGGGTGATTAATTTTGTTTAAAAATAGTTCAGAAAAGTAAATGTACTAGGTGAATATATTTTTATAAACTTTATCAAAACGATGAGAAATGAAACTATCAATACTTATATCCTTTTGATTTTGAAATGAAAATTGACATGCTTTTTATCGACAGTTTTTTGTTACCTTTTGGATCATTATGCGTCAGAAGCTGTATATCATTTTCTTTAGCAAATGCAATCATTTCTGTTGGCATAACACAGCAAGATTCCAGATTTACTTGATTCACACTAGGTTTAACCTAATTATATATAAAGTATAAAATTTTCAGATTTATACTTCATTAAAAAAAGTCACATCAAAAATCAAAAACAAAAATAGTTTATAAGGCTAAAGCAATAATTCTGTAAGGCTAAAATCAAATAAAACACAGGAGTCAAGTAGGAAAAAAAAAGAGCAAGAAGGATATTTTCTTGCCTTTTTCATTTTTAAAAAAAGTATGTTTATTCTTTTTAATAGGAAGTCATATGATTATTTTCAAAAATCATAACATTTTAGTAAATATGAACTAGTTTTATATAATTTTAATTACGAAAATTTTGCATGAAAATGTCAAGGTTATTTTTATAAACTCATAATGCAGCAATCTCATCTTATAATGAATGACCTTTTACATCTGTATAGCAGGGGTCAATATTAAGTGTTGTTACAAGCATTCTTACATAATTCATTTCAAACAGTTGTAAAAATTGTTTGAATAATGTAGGATGTAAGTTAAAATTTTCATAATAACAAAAAATATTTCTTTGACTTAATTAAAAAAATAATTATGGCTTCAAACTTATTACTATTCACATTGAATCTAGTTAATGCTATTCTTTAATAGCATACATTACATATTTGAATTTTTAAGCAAATAAAGAGTTGTGTTAAACATATTTTGATAAGGATTTTTTTTTAAAGAACTTTCCCAATTTTAGGTAATTTTATAAATGTTTTAGTTTTTAAAGATTATAAAAAAAAGCTTAAGAAATTTCTATCTGGAACTTTCTATTGGTGAGATTATTGCATTCTCATATGTAACTCTGCAGCATTTTGCACGATATTATCAATTTCAGGCTTCATTTTCCATCCTCTGATATCAAACTGAATAATATCTTAATCATTTTATAATGGCTAATATAATCAAGAGTTCTTTGTCAGAAACTACTTATTTTATCATGATCTTGTAAAGTCCTGTGCATTTTGCATTTTGTCAATGTATATAATGCTTAAAAATATTTTTTGAGTGCTTAAAAAGTGCTTATTTTTTGTTGAAAGATTTGGCTACGCACCCTGTATAAAGGAGAGATAGTTGTATTCAGGTTTATCTAGTCACTAACAGTGCACACATTACAATATATTGAAAAGGATTCAAAACTTAATACTTTTATCTTAATATTTTAGCTCCAAATTTATATCTCATCATCATCAGTAGCTCGACAGTCCTGGGTGGACCCTGGCTTTCTCAAGAAGACTGCGCCAGTCCTTTCTTCTGCGTGCCACGGCTTTCCAGTCTCTGACCTTAATTGTGGTAAAGTACCTTTGGAGGCAATCCGCCCATCTCAGTCGGGGCCTGCCTCTCTTTCTAACTCCAGTTGGCCTTGCCAAAAAGATTCTTTTAGTTGTTCTGTCATCGTTCATTCTTACAATGTGTCCGGCCCATTTCATGCGCTGGATCTTATGGTACTTCAGAATGTCCGGTTCTCTGAATATCCTGTAGAGCTCAGAGTTAGTTCTCCTTCTCCACACTCCCTTGTCACACACACCACCAAAAATGGATCGGAATATCTTCCTCTCGAAAGCAGCGATGGTCCTCTCATCAGCTTGGGACAAGGTCCAGGTTTCAGATGTGTAAGTGAGAACTGATCTTATTAGGCTTTTATATATTAGCAACTTGGTGTCTCTTTTAATGTTGTCAGATTTAAGGAATTTTCTTATGCCATAAAAACACTTGTTGGCTGCAGTTACTCTCTTCCTTACTTCTGTGGAAATTGAGTTTTCGGAGTTGATTTCAGAGCCAAGGTAGGTGAAAGAGTTCACCTTTTCAAATTTATACTTTCCAATCTCGATGTGCGTGGAGGTATTGGTATAGTTGATACACTGCATATACTTTGTCTTACTTTGATTAATTAAGAGGTGCATTTTTTTGGCCTCTCTTTCCAGGTCCAGGAATGCCTGCTTTAGGTCTTTAGGAGTTTTTGCTACGATATCAATATCATCAGCATAGGCCATAATTTGAACAGATTTTGAGAAAATAGTTCCTCTAGTGTTAATTCCTGAATCTCTTACTACTTTCTCAAGAGCAAGATTGAAAAGAAGGCATGCTAATGCATCGCCCTGTCTTATGCCATTTTTTATTTCAACAGGTTCAGATAAGTTTCCCTGTATTTTGACTCTCAATTTGGTGTCATTTAATGTAAGGGATATAAGTTTCACAAGTTTTTCAGGAATGTTAAACTGTCTCAGAGCGTCGATAAGCAGTTCTCTATTAATGCTATCATACGCTGTTTTGAAATCAATGAAAAGGTGATGTGTATTGATTTGGAATTCCTTAGTCTTTTCAAGAATATGCCGGAGGTTATATATTTGTTCAATTGTGGAACGATCCCTGTGAAATCCACACTAGTAATCCCCTATGATGTTTTCGGCATATGAAGATTGTCTGGTGAAGAGTATATTAGAGAAGATCTTACAGGTAGTACAAAAGAGGCTTATACCTCTATAGTTAGAGCAGTCGAGGACATCTCCTTTCTTATGAATGGGACAGACAGTATTGAGCTTCCACTCTTGGGGAAGTATTTCAGTCTCCCACACTGATAGCATAATGCGGTGGATGTCTTTAATTGCATCTTTTCCAGCATTTTTTAGTAATTCTGGAGGAATGGTATCTGGGCCAGGGGCCTTATGGTTTTTTTAATTTTTTTATTGCTTCCACAACTTCAGCAGATGAAGGTGGATCGATCATTTCTTGATTGGTATTTTGAGAGAAGTTGGGAGCACTTGATGGGTGATCCATGTTCAGTAGGTCATGAAAGTGTTCTTTCCACCTTTCCATTATCTTAGATTTGTCACTCAGTATTTCCCTGTTCTTATTTCTGCAGAGAGCTGTTCTAGGTTTAAAATCTCTGCGACCAAGGTTGATCTCACGATAGAAAGCTCTGCTTTCATTTGATCTTTTGAGATGTTCAACATCTAGCAGTAGATCCTCGTGGAATTTCCTTTTCTTGGCCCGATGAACTCTCTTATATCTATTGATCAATAATTTGTGAAATATTCTTTTTATAATTTTGCGATTTAGTCCTTTTATGCCTTCAATACTCTTGTATTACTATACAACAATATCAGAAATATGAGAAAAGCATATTAAATATGTACAAATACTATATGCATTGAATACCTGTACATACCTTACCTGAGTCCATTCGTATAGAGTAGTAAGTTCTTTAGTATCCAAATCACTGATTCCTATGGTAACTATTTTTCCTTCAGCAACTAGATTTTCTAATTCAATCCAGAGGGGTTTGATATTATTTAAGTCAAATATCTCATCATTGGAAAGGGCAGGTAAAGATAAAATCAGTGAATCGATCATTTGAATACCTAGTGTTTCCATAGCTGCAACAGAAAATAAAAATTTTAATTAAAAAAAAAAAACTTTTTTAAAGAGTAAATTTAAAGTAATGAAACACATAAGTTAAAATTAATTGCTGTATTAGACATAAAGTATTATTTACAAACAAACCTTCCATGTTAAGAATATAAAATTTTGAGGAACAAAGTAGCAAATTTTTAATTAAACAAATCTCTAAATTTCAGTAAAAATTGCACAAAAAAAGATTTTAAATTAATATAAAAATAAACCATAGTCAGTAAAAAACTGAGCTAGATAATAATTCAAAATAAACTTAAATTATTAATCTCTAACTTTTATATACATGTATATAACGTCGTTGCTGAGTGGAAGGATAAAAATAGCTCTTAGGCAGGGAAAGAGGGCACAAAATCGTTGTGGTACTCAATAAAAGTAAGGGAATATCTTGCAAAGTAAATTCGTAAAATGTTTCCTTTTAGGGAATAAGGGAAAACTTAGTAATTATAACTGGTCTGTTAAATAGGTTCAGGAAAAAAGTCTTTCTCGCAAATTAGTTAAAGGCATAATCGCCAAAATGGTAATTAATGCATACTTGAACTAAAAATAGATTAAAAGACAGGATATGAATTTAAAGTGTGAGAAAGAGTGTTTAGTTTTGAATAATAAATTAAGAAAAGGAATAACATAAAAAGATTAATTGATATATATATATATACTCGTATATATATATATAANATATAAACATAAATCAACAAATCATACAAACTGAAAAAAACCCATCAGCACAAAACCTGGTGTTCAAAAAAGAAAAAATTAAAGTATGACTCGTATTAGATATTTCAACATAAATTAAGATATCACCATAACACACAACATAAAGGCTCCTTTAAAAGCTGTGTTATAAAAATTTTATCAGAAATTTCTAAATATACAAAAAAGCTCGAAAACAGAATTCTTAATAAACTCAATACAATTGATATGGAGGAAAGTTTTGAGGGCTGCATGCAAACTAAGCAAGGGTTTTCCAATTCAAACATCTATTTTTTTTTTTAAAGGAAAAATACTTTTGTGACCTTATATTGGAGACAAAAACCTGAAATTCGGTAGGTTTGATTACATCATAACCAGCACATTTTATCCAATAAAAAACACATTATAAATATACAGAAGAGATAAACTATGCATAACATTATTGATTATTTTTAAAATATGCACAACACTATTGCTGTCAGATGCAATCAGAAAACAAAACCCATTTCCAACTTTTTGAAACAATTCATAACTTTTGGATGATAGAGCTCTTTATTTGCTGATAATTTTTTACTTAATAATTGAAATAACAGCTACAAGAAATAAACAATACAGAACAAAAATTTTAATAAAAATTTCTTAATTTTCAATTAATCATTTTGAGAAACTTAGGAACTCAACCTTCTTTTTTCAATTTGTTTAATCCACTAATTCAATACATATTTCACAAGAATTCTCATTTCATTGAAAAAATTAAAACAGAACAAAAAATTAAAATAAAAAACACAGTATGTACACATTTTTCATAAAATATACAAGAATAGAATTTAACTTTTCATCATTTGTTTACACAAAGAAGAGAAAGCAGAAAAAGAAGAACCCTTTTCTCCTACATTAAGAGGAGTGGTTTAAATTTTTTTTCAGCAATGGAACTCTGATCTACTTTTGTTAACTGGAACCTCAATTTAATAAATAAAATTAGATAGCAATTGAGAACATATTAACCAAATTAAGACTATTAATTATTTTGAAAACATTTAGTGGAAAGAGATTTTTTTTTGTTTTATCGATATTCTTAAAATTTAGCTTTATGTCAAACTTTGAAGGTCTGGGAAGGGCATCCAGTCTAGTTATAAAACTGATCTTAGTATAGGTATAAATTTAAAAATTAAAATAATTCAATTAAAGTAAAATAATTTTAATTATGGTTTTTCTTGAGAGAAACCGCCAACCGCAAAAGAGAACCACCATAAATGTTGTCGGGAAACAAATTTCTCAATTGCTAAATTCAGCTTTTTTAAAAACTTTTTTTTTTTTTTTTTTTTACATAGAATTAAAAAGTTTGATGGGAAATACTAATGCAATTATTTGTAAAATCATATAATTTTCACAACTTATTCAATATATTATTGTCAGAAAATAGATATGGAAATTTCATACAGATTTAGATTAAAATTTTTCTTCAGAAATAATACTTTCTTTTTTTGCAAATAATTAAATCATAAATAGATTATAAATTAAATATGATTAGAGGTTTTAAAAGTCATCACTGTCTAAAAATAAAGTTCTAACTCTCAAAACCCGTTTGACTATTTCATGGAACCTAATTAGAAAATGAATCTAATTTACAAATACAGAAAAAGGCAGAAAGGTAAATTAATAATTAAAACATTAAATCAAAATGGAAAAGTGCCTAAAGCAGGTAAAACCAAATTTGCTTTATTTTAATTTAAATATTCAAACAAACAATTCAAGCAGGAAAAAGTAATAAAAAACATTAAAATATTCTTTAGGTTCTGTAAAACACCTTTTGGGAACCACTGATTTAGAGAATATCAACAGTATATGTATCTTAATAAGTAGTTATATATACCTTGGGATATTACACTTCTTAGAATTTCACAAGAGTAAGTTTCCAGAAATACTTTAACTAAAACAATAACAGAAAATAATCAGAAAAACATAAGATTAGTATTAAAAAGAAATGTATATATAGTGATACTTGACAAGTTGACCTTGATTACCAAGAATCAAATTTATATTATATAATTAAAGACAGGAAAACTTTTGTAACCTGATCACCTGTATAAATTTTACATTGATAGCCAAAACAATTACATACATCAAGAAGCATAATTGAATGCTATTTAAAACCCATCATAAGTTGACTATAAAGAAGAAACTTTTCCTGAAAATTTTCTTGTCCTTATAATTTATAGTCAAGTTTCACTGAATTAATAAAATAGTATTTAAAGCTAACCTAAACCTTTAGGCCAGTTGACCACATGAGAAACTATTTGGGTTTTATAAAATATGGGTTGATTGATATAACAAATCTCAAAATGATTATAATTCAAGTTTGCTTCTTTTACAAGTTGTTGCACAATACTGCAACATTGATCCTTTTAACTGATAGGTGTGAATTTGAATATCATGAAGCATTGTCAGCATATCATGAAGCATAGTATAAATCTATTTAAAAATACATTGCAATATTTTTTTAGCTTAACCAATTTCTATTATTTTNACAGTCAATTCGCTGTAACTCGAAGTACGATAACTCGAATATTACTATAACTCGATTTTTTTACGAAGTCCCGACCCTTTTATCTTCAATTTCATGTTAATTATTCTCGATTACTCGAATTTTACTCCCTTTAACTCGATTTTTTTTGGATCTTTTAAAGCAAAAAGAAAAACCTAGGAGCTGATATCTTGCCCCTTCCTTTGCAACACACACACAATGTCTTTCGCACTCTTCATGGAGAAGCTAAAGCTGTCCCTCTTGAAGTATGTGAACAGTGGTTAAATGAAACGTTACCAAATTTACTTCAAGGATACAGTTAAAATGATGTTTTCAATATTGATGAAATGGGTTTATTTTTTAAATGTCTTCCAAATAAGACTATGTTTAAGGATGAAAACTGCTCGGGGGTAAAATGAGCAAGGATCGTTTAACTGTCCTAGTTGGAGGAAAATACCGAAATCCCCGATGTTTCAAGAATGTAAAAACGTATTCTTTGGATTAGAAGTCTAACAAAAAGTTTTGGATGACATCAGTTTTATTTGAAGACTATGTAAGAAAATTGGATCGGAAATTCTTCACTAAAAAAAGAAAAGTAATACTTTTTATGGAAAAATGCACAACGCATAGTTATCTACCTAATTTGTAAGCAGTAAACTTGTCCCGCCAAACACAACAGCAAATTTGCAGCCGATGGACCAGGGTATTATAAAGTGTTTCAAACAGTCTTATCGTAAATGGTTTGTTAGAAAAATGATCTTAAATATTGTAAGTATTTAGAAGATTTGTAATTAATAAGCATTAATTAAATAATCCGACAACATTTTGAAAGTCCAAAACCGAAACTAACGGTAAGTCGAACTTCCGATACGTCGAAGTTTTTCGTCAGTCCTATCAGATTCGAGTTATCGCGAATTCACTGTATAAATCTATTTAAAAATACATTGCAATATTTTTTTAGCTTAACCAATTTCTATTATTTTTACATTGGATTTCTTTAGTACATCCCAAATAAAATTTATCAACATTCACAAAATCATATTCAATAATAATCGATAGGTATAATAATGTTCACAATATTATTTTGACGTTTTATAGAAAATGATGGCTGATATTATTGTATTCAATAACCCAATAGCAGTATTTACTGAGTCAATCTGCAGCACTATCTTTCAAAAAATTAAAATTTGTCTGTAATTTTAACACAAGCAAGTAGAGATTATTATTGTGAAAATTAAGCATTATCTAACAGATCTTTACCACAGAAAATGAATATAGTCTTTTTTTTTTTTTTTTGGTATCAAATTAAAGAAAAAAAATGAAAGGAAATCTATTCCTTAATTTTTAAAAAGATAAAAAAATCTTTTTTTTTTGTTTTGCTTTATCTTTAATTTTTATTTGTTTTTAGTTTTTTTCTGCTATTAAAGCTCAACTCCTTAGCCTTGTAATTTTGAACCAATCAAGAAGAGAAGGAAACTCCTGGATCAGTACCTCCAGAGGTAAGATTTGTTATGGGAACTTGGAGGATTTTGTAACTCGACAGATTTAATGTGCATCAGTCACAATTTACTACACGGGAAGACTTCGGCCGGCGAGGATCAAACCCACAAACTCTTGGACATGGGTCCAAGGCCCTACCAACCATGCTATCCCAGCCAAAAGTTTTCTGCTACCAGGTTAAATAGAAGCAATAATTCATAATGCTCGTAATATTCTATACATATTATAATTGTTAATTATCATGATAATGTCATGTTTGAGGCCCTTAAGTGTATAATCTGTAACTGGTGACTTGTATATAACTTGTATAACTCTGGCATTGTTCCTACACATTGGCTTCATGATTCCTAAGTATATGATTCATAAGTACTGAATATGATTCATGATTCATAAGTACCCTAAGAAAATATACATATTTGTTTTTTAAATTATAAGTTTAATATGAAATTTCACCCATTGTAATTCATAATGAAATTAATTTCAATTTTTAAAATATATGGGGTAATTGTTAAATTAAAGTTTTAAAGTCTAAAAATTTTAAATAATTTAATTACATTTATTTTTATTTCGCCTATTAATGTATAAGAAATATGTGAATAACATACCATTTATAAAAATAACATGGTATAAAAAGCGAAGACTTATTACCCTTGATAAGTTGACCACTAAAGCAATGCACAACGAATGGTCTACTTATTCAGATTTCAATATTAGATAAAAATATTATCTACACAAGTTTCAATATTATATGAAAATAACATGATATAAAAAAGCAAAAACTCCTCACCTTATATAATTTGATCACTAAAAAGGAGTTCCTAGCAAAACAAGTGGTCAACTCACTCAGAATTTAATATTATATAACAATAACATATTAAAATAAAATACTGTCACTTTTATAAGTTTTTTTTGTAAGTTGACCAATTAAACAATGCATTGTAAAGGTCAATTTACATAAGCTTTGCAGTATTATGTTTAATGATAATAATCATGTACTTAAGAAATAAAAATTACCAGATATTTTAAGTTCAGCACGATCAGATTTCTCTACCTTCATATCAGGATTGTTATCACAGAAAACAACATCAGAATCCTAAAACAAAAACTTGAAATGATTGAAAAAAGAAAATCATTCTTTTTATATGTTAGAAAAAACACATTCAAACTTACAAAATTATAGCTGGTATATATGCTTTTGAGCCACATCTGAAAAGCTCCACTGACACTATCACACACCTAAAAATAAATAAATTATGTATATATACTTTTTTTGTGTGAATAATACAAATTTTTAATAACGAAATGTTCTGTAACTTAAACTAATAAAAAATATTTAACAGGTTAAAATATGTAGCAAATTATTAAATTCAGTAACAAAGCTTTAGAAATATAAATCAAATTCATAAACTAATTATATGCGGATATTTCCGTATCGTGATCTGGAGCACCAACTACAATCCTCAAGGTGCCAAATAGATTTTAAACTTGCATTTTGTTTTTAATAAAAAAAAAAACAAAACATGTAGCTGTTTGCCTAGGGGTGGCTATGATTTATACCTTTCATGCTGGTCTCTTTCTGTGATGTTTGTTTTAGTTTCACGAGAAACCCTGCCTGGAAGTTTCCAAGACTTGGCAATTATTCAGCGACATATCACAATAGGGAAATCTCTCCAATTACATGATAACTTAGATATTGTATATATTTTTTTAATTTAATTAAATTAGAGAAATTTTAATAAAAAAACTGTTAAGAAATGTTTTGTAAACACTGACATATCTGAAAAGAAACTGATTTTAAAGAATGTGATTAGGCAATGTTTTCGGCTACACATATTGCGGGATTGAAATTTAATAGCCCTGCAGGATCCTGCATTTTTGTGGAATTAATTAAAAACAAGAATTAATTTGAAAGTTACAACTGGCAAAGAGAGAACTATAAAAAAAAAAAAAACAGCTTATAAGCAGATTGATATTCAAAATATAATACCAAGAAAATTATGGTCTTAAAAAGGCATTTCTTTAATTTTAAAAAATAAGAAAAGAAAAATAGTGAATCCAATGAGTCGTCACTTAGAAGAGACTGAATTTTAGTGACAAATAAATTGTTTGATAAAAAAGCTTTTTTTGACTTTACTGCTATATATAAATATCCACTCGAGTACTCATCATTTTTTAAGCTAAGAGTAAAGTTTTGATACATAATGCATAATCATGTAAGTCAATAAGAGAAATTCAAAATTGGAAATATAAGCACAAACATTTAGCGAAGTAAAAAATATGTATATAAATCTTAATCTAAAGAAGACTTTTTAAACAATTATTTAAACTATTAACTCTCAACATTCTGCAGTACTGGCAATATCACTATCAGTTGAGAAATAAGAGAAGTACTTCTGCGATCAGGGGATATTTTATTGTCAATTTTTATTTTAAAAAATTCTTCAGCAAATACAGAGAAATTTGAGAATATACAAGAAAACAAGAGATAGTTGTAAAATACAGGAGTCTTTGTTAAAAAGCAGGAGACTTAGCAATAATGATTTTTAATGATTTCTCTGTTCCATCATTTTCAGACTCTTCTTTTTCAGTGTCCTAGTTTTCATTTCCATCCTCAGATGAAATCTGTTATTTTACTTTCTCCCAGTTCAACATAAATATTTTTAAACTTTGTTGAGCTTTAAAAAGAGAGTCAGAGTTCATTCCCAGACCATTGGGTTGAACATAATTAAATTTCTTTTATTTCCAATGAGCTGCATTATCGGTCTTGCCGATGAGCAGACCTAGTGTGTTCTCCAGAGGTGATATCCACTCTTTCAGGACTACCACAATGGGTGAGATACCGTTGGTCATGTTAATTTGGACGTCTAGTTTCTGCCACACTAGATGGCAGCACCGAAACTCTATTTGGATGCTAAAGTGCACTAGGAATTTAATTTTGCCGGAAATGCCAAGAGCCAATAAGGCACCCCAGGGATCTTTTACATGCGACATGGCCGCTGAGGATTTTCTGCATCCCGAAACTCCGGTGTCTGGGCCAGGGATCGAACCCGCAGACTTGGGCTCAGAAGGCCGACGACAAACCAACTACGCCACCCGAACATGATTAGATGCATACTGCAAAACACCATTCGTATCCATTTTTGCTGCTAAATTTTAAGAGTCATGTTATGTACATATAAACAAAAGATCTTCAGCATTATAAAACAGGGAAATTCTTTTAGTTTCTGAATTTTGATTCGGCTGGATTGAGGTGAAAATCCTGCAGACCATTATGCAGGATTCAAATCCTACAGGATCTGGATATCATTCCCTATCTTGACTACTCTGCTATGTCTTAAAATAAGCTAGTTTTCTATACAACATTTGGGGATATTTCTGCATTGGTACCAGTCTGCATCAACTATAATCACCACAGCAGTATGCAAAAACTTGTTAAAATTTAAATTATATACTTTTTGTTGTTGTTCATTTTACTTTATATATGTATTTATAGTTTTTCTTTGTTCCATTTTAGATACTTCATGAACTCAACTAATAAGATAACTGTAGTTTCAATAGACAATTTACTATACTCAATAATAAAATTTTTTAAGAGAGCACTTAAACAGCCAGGTTCATAGTCAAACAAGTGGATTTTTAAGAATTCAACTCCTCAAAACTAAAGTAACTAAACAACATATTTTAAATAAATATTAATAAATTTTTCACAATTATGAATAGTTAATATAAGTTTTAAAATAAAATCCTAATTTTACAATATAATGTTAAGCGTAAAATAATCAAAAACTTGATTTATATTTAAAATATTTGTAGATAAACATGATTTACAAACTCAACCCCCCTGTAACAGGAAATTCTGGCTACGACATTCCAGTTATCAATATCAAAAAAGTAAGGATTCGCCGCCGTACCAGCTCCCATTACAGCCCTGCATAAATATGAAAATTATTTCGCCAATGTTGTATTAATTTCTTTATCATTTAAAACCTACATAAAGACGTTTTCTTAATAGAAATCAGTTAAAGAAACATGCAAGTACAATAAACAGTTTAAAATTCAAACCTCTTCACTAGGAGACTGCGTTGCTTTTTTCTTAAAATCTTTGGAACTTATTATATTCCCAGTATTAATAATAATTGTGTTTACTGATTCTGGTAACATTTCTCGCAAATTAATATAAATTTACAACTAAAATAGTATAATAAAGAGCTATGATTCCAGCGAAATTGTTTATGATACTCAATATCCTTGACACAGTTATGCAATCCGTCGCAACCTTGGTCGCAACATAAGAGAAAACGGCGAAATTGACTTTAATTAGACAATAGATTGATATATATATTTTCACTAAAATCTCCACAGGCCCATAAACAAAACAAAAGATCGTGATTGCGTAATTTTTGATGAAAGTTTTTTTTCTTTTTTGCTAAGTGACGGTGGCGCATATCTATTTATTTTTCATTTACCTTGAAAAGACAAAAAGATTTTTTTTGAACAGCAGAATATTTTGAAACTAAATAATGTTACAATTGCGTTTGACTACATTACAAAGTGATAAAAATTAATAAATTTTTTAATTTTAATCCCTGAAGCATCATCATCTGGCAACGAGACATTTTAGTTTATTGTTGCGGATTTGCGGAATCAAAACACAGGCCTCGATTGATTTTGGCTAGTATGTTGTTGTGGTTGACAGGTTGAATCGGCTGCTATAGCAATTTGTGCATTTTGATTAATATACTTTTCAAATGCACTTAAAATGTAAATATCTAAAATTTTTAATTGCGATCTCTGGATTGTATTAAATTGTTATCTTTGCAATAATTTCTGCTTTTTTATCGTTTTCAAATATTTAAAAAAAATATTAAGTGTGACAATCTGTTTCTTTGTGTCTTTCAATTTGATGAGGCTTTCCATTTCTTCCTTAAATTTCATGTGTTTTTCAACAAATAATCTATAAATCATCATTGAAGATGGGTTTTTGTTTGCAACTGAAGCTTTTGCTTTGGAAAAATTTTACTTTAAAGAAAAGAAAACCTGTAAGTAAAAACTTTTTTTGTGTTCTCAAAAAGCTATAAAATTATATTGAAATTTTAAAGGATAAATATTATTTTTGCTATTTAAATATAATATTTCAAACGTAAGAATGCAGTGAAACTCACGAAATATATATATGAATAATAATTTTAAAAAATTCCTTTATTTTATGTTTTTAATTGAATGGTGCTATATATTATTTTGTGAGAGAATTATTGTTTTAACTATCTTCTGTTATAACTTCTTGAGAATACTATAATGGACGCAATAAAATCAATTTATATACTTTGAAATTTAATAATAATTATTGGAAAATTTGGGATAATAATTGAAATGATGAAAGTTATTGTGATAGTTAACATGATAGTTATTATTTTCTCCCCATGTATCAGAAAAGCGCTATTAAACTAAACAAAGCTTGAAGCAAAAAGAAATTGAGTTATTTAATTGTGCTCCTGGTTTGATTAGGACTTTAGATTAATATTTGAAAAAAAAAAATATCATTTACTTTTTCTCTCTTTCTGTCTTTAATGTATAATAACTTAAGATGTTTTTCTCCGAAAAAGTGAAAACAATTTGTAGGAAATTTATTCTGATAATTATTAATAGTTTGACTTAATTTATTATTAAACCAATGAACTAAAAAGAGTTAGTATTTTAATTTAAATAAATTTTTTTATCTTAAATTTGTGAATCAAATTTTTTTTTCTTCCTGTAAAGGATGTATATACCTACAGTTAACTTTTGATATTCATTTTCAGTGTAAAACAATTATAATATGTATCAATAATTGTGTTATGACATATTGAAATAATAACTAGCATTACTTCAATATTCTTTATTCACTTTTCCAATTATTAATTTGCCTTCATTAATGAAAATTCATCACATTTATTTTTCTCTTTTAGATTGTTTTGATTTTTGAACTATTTATTCCATTGGTGCTTTTCTTCATCTTACTTGGTATACGTAAAAAACAACCAGCATATCCAGTAAACTCTTGTAAGTTTATTTATTTATGCTTTCAGGGTATAATAAAATTGTCTGTGCATTTATCTTAAAATTCTGTGCTTAACAAAAAATTAATTATTTAAATTTGATAGAGCAGAAAATATGTTCCACCAGAAGCAGTTTCAGATAAGCAATTAAAATATTAGATGTCTACAATATTATATTTACATTTTTATCTACTTATGATTTATGCCTGGTATTCTCAAATGAAAAAAACAGTATTGTTTATACATAATTATAAATCTTACCTTTTTATATTTTGAAATTATTTTATTTGATAGTTATAAAAAAAATTGGATAATATGTTATGAAATGTTTTTTTTTTGCTTCATATTTTAATATGTCAAAATACAAAACATGATTGAAATATTGCATTTCATGGATTGTTTTGCACAGCACGGTGTTGAATAGTTGTGTAAAATTTAATGAATAAAAGTAGGAGTACTTCAATCACAGATCATAATTGCCCGACTTTACACCGTCACAATTCAATTAATTTCGATCACTATAACACTTCTAAAATGCCTGTTCCTGATATTTTGCTCAAAAATTCAAATGATTTTTATCAATCATGCATTGAAATTTTGTAGGGTTGATAGCAAGAGATTTCTGACAAAATGGATATTTACATCACTGATTGAACTACATACAAACTACTTAAAATATACTGTGCAATTTAATGTCACAAAAATGACATTAATTTCTGGTTCAGATACTATATCACCAAAAAGATTGATTTCTAAAACTTGAAAAAACACAAACACTTAATGAATCATTTAACTTAAAAAATTTTTTTTATGTGATAAATGTCTTAGAAACAAATGTCTTTATATCTTTAAAATTTGACGGTTTTAAAAAATTTTATAGGATATTAGAAAAAAAAACTGTGCTTCCATAGCTTCCTTTTTTTTTTCTTTTTTTCTTTTTTGCATGAATTAAATAAAAATGACACTTTGATGTTATTACCAATAAGAAAATTTATATTTAACTGATACCCCTGTGGAGAACTAATGATTAACAAAACTGATTTTTGATTTGATAAAATTTGATTTTTTGATAAATATTTAAACATTGATAAAAATTATACATATTGCATATTTGATAAAATATTTTACTACATCAATGTTTTCATCAAAGAGATTTTTATAAAGCTGTAACAAATTGGACACAACTATGAAATTATTTGGCAAATAAGCGCAGGAGATTTTTTATTTTTCTGAATTAGAGATTGTAATAAAATAAACTGCATATTTGATCATTTTAGGTGTATTATATTAAGTGTTTTTGTTTTTAATATATATAATATGTATTCTGTAAATGTGTTTTTTAGCCAAATTTTCTGTCTATCCGTTGCCATCAGCTGGAGTGATTGCAGTTATGCAAGCATTTTGTGACAATGGCATCAGATCTGAAGATGGTTTTTCACATTTTCCAAACAGCACGTAAGTATATTACTGAGTCTTTACTTCTTCATTTTGATGTTTTGTTTTGTACAGCTATAATAGCATTTTTACACTCACCCACACACATATATATGTATATACAGTGAAACCTCTCGTGAGCGACCACTCTCTGTTCCACAGTAAAATGGTCATTAATGGAGGTTGGTCCTTCTTAGAGATTACCTCCATCATCATCATATCTGGCTAGACAGCCCAGGGTGGGCCAGTGCCTTCCTTTGAATTCGAATCCACTTCTCTCCATTACCTCCATTGACTTCAAAATGTTATCAAAGGTACATAATTTTTTGAACGCAATTTTTATCAGTCTAAATTTTCTTGGTGCGAAAATGTCACTTTTGTTGTTGGCATCACATAAACCAAGTTGATGAATAAAATTTAGCATCAATTAAACTGATCGCTTCTGATATAATTATGAGTAAAGACAAATTTACCAATTATGAATGATAGAACTATTTTAAATAAATAAACTATTATGTTTTTTGTTTAAATTTGCATTTAATTTTATATCATAAAAATTAGTTACCTTTTAAAAATTTGAAGAGGTTTGTTTGTTTGAAATGCTTAGTTTTCTCTAAAATAACATAAATTTTTTTATTCAACTTTCGACTCTAAAAATAAATTTTTAGAATAGAGATGTTTAAAATGAGCTCGCTAAATAAGAACTTCACTTAAATATTTTGAATACATTTTAATTTACTTATTTGTTTTGTTTATATTTTTTTGTTTTGGTATTTTTTCCATGTTTCCTTATTTGACCTTTCCCATATTTGGTGCAGAGGTTTGCCCGATCACTGGGAGAGGTTTTGATGGTCTCTCCTGAAGGTTTTCTTCAACACAAAGTCTATGGAAAAAATTCAGTGCTTCTTGAAAGTGGTCATAAGTAGAGGAGGTCACTACCGAAAGGTGGTCTTTTGGAGGTGTCACTATATGTATATATATATATATGTATGTGTATATATACATATATATATATGTATGTATATATATTAANATCCGGAATAGCGATGGTCCCGATCGTTCCGGATAATCGGTTCCCTACTGTATATATATATATATATAAACATTTAGTTTTGCAGTTAAAATAAAATTTTTATAGTTATAATAGCATTTTTACAATTTTAGTAACATTTTTAACTGTTATAATTGCATTTTCTGTTATGATAACATTTTGTCTTGATAATTGCATTTTCACAGTTATAATAGTATTCTGTAATAGTGACCGATTGCTAGTGGTTAGTATATCTAAAATGATAACTTTTTTCAAACTGAATTCAACTCCTTGTGATATGGGTAAATTGTCCACAAAGTTTTCTATTTCATATGCCTGAAATGCCTCTTCTTTATTTTTAGGGTTACAGAATTTTTATCAAAGTTGAACAATATATCCCATAAAAATAACTTCTTCAAACCAGACTTCACTCCTAGTGATATGGATGAAATTCCAGATATTTACAAATCAATTGTGGAAGACCCAGTTGCAGTTCATGACAGTTTCGCTCGAGCTGCTGGTATAATATTTTTGTTGTAGATTTTTAACTCTGACATTTAAAAATATTTTCATAGGAATTCTTTTCACATTATATCTTAAACAAATATATGAACTTTTTAAATAAATAGTTGTATCAAATTAACTTTTAGGTTGGTAGGTAGGCACTTTACTTAAGTCATTCTAGAGCTGCACAATGGTCTGGGAAACGTCCCTGAGGAGGATCCAAAAACATGCCATCACAATTTCATTCCTCTGCAGAGGGGATGGCAACCCTGCTTTGGTAACCCGATGACCTGTGTGCGAAAGCGAGCACTTTATGGTAGAACAGTTTAACAAGGACCGATACCGTGCACCCTTGGTCCTTAAGCAGGCTGATCAAAGTTGTCATCCACCTGCTTACTGACCGCAGCCAGCGATGCTTGACTTCGTTGTCCTACTTGGTTTACGATCAGTCATCTGCGGAACCATTTAGCCTTTAGAGGCTCATTTTTTTGAAAAACAATTTTTACTTATTTTTAGAATGGAAATGGTACATTTTAACTGAAGCAGAAATAAATCACCAAAAAACTAATAAATAACTAAAACAATTACTAATATTGCAATTAAGCAAACTATTAATAATGCAGGTCTTATGTCAGACTCAGTCTGACATAGGAGCTCAACGGCAAATTTATTATGTTGGAATGAGTCTCACATAGGATGGCAACAAGAAATTTTAAATTTTGGAATTAATCTGATATAGGACTGCAATGAAAAATTTATGATCTTTGAATGACTCCAATATAGGAGTACATCAGGAAATTTATTATGTTGGAATAAGTTCAACTTAGGACTCCAAGGGATTAATCAATTTATTTACTTTTTTTTACTCCGAGTTTTTTTTATTTTATTGAAATTAAAAAAACACTTTTATTTTTCTAATAGATAATTTTCTTATTATTATTCACCTGAATGGTGATTGTTTTCTAAATATTTCTATAGTGGATGTAATAAGTGCATTTCAAAATTCGTTTTTAATTGCTTAATAAGTTTTTTTTTCAATGTTTCCTATTTTTACATTGCAGAATGATTTATGTTTTATCAAACTGCAATATTTTTTTCTTTTTAGATTTGCAGATTGGTGATTTAATTTACAATAGATCTGAATTCATCGATATATTATCATCTAATTTTTCATTGCCAAAACAAGATTTGGAAATATTTCTGAACTCCTCTGTTGATGCTGAAAAAGTACATGTCTTTTCATTACATATTTCCTTCATCATATATTTTTTACCTTATATATTATAACAGTAACATCAATAACACAGAGCTGCCTATATGCAGCATTGCAGGACAAAGACCGAATAAAAATGGACAGTTTTAGAGAAATAATAAGTCAATGAAATATTCCAAGACAATATTCCAATACATTCTATAAGTCAATGAAATATTCAAAATATCTTTATAAGTAATCTAATCTCGTTTATATCATTCTTTCACAGACTTTCACAAATCTTCTAAAAATATAGAATATAAAACAGAAACATAAATAATCAAACAAAAACTTTTATAATTTGGATGACTAATAACTGATAAGTTTAATATGTTATCTAATTTTTAATATATCAGCCCTTAGATAAAAGCATCGGTGCCACTGATAAGTGATAGTACAAGAGGCTCTTTTTTAGACCATCTGGAATTTTTTCTAATCAGCATATTTTGGAAATTTTCTTTTATCATTCTCCTTATCATTATTTATCATATTATTTAAAATATTCTTCTTGAATTATTTTCAAGAAGTTTTCAGTCAATTCAGTAAATTTCAGGAAACATAATTTTATATTAAAAGTCAAATAACCATTTAAAAATTCAATATAAAATTTTAAATTTACCTTATTTTTACTAAACCTTCATACAATTTGTCAAATGAAAAGTAAAAATCAGATCAGGTATCCTTAAATTCATTACTTGATTTGGTACACATTGCTATAAAGGAAAGATTATATTGAACTGCTAAGTTATGTGTTAAATAAAGTAATGAAAAAAACATAGAATATTATAGACAAGCTTTTGTATGTATAATTGAAGAGGGAATGGTTCTATATGAAGATTTCATTATACATTTTTGAAAGATGGAAAAAGATAACATTGTTATCAATGTTTGTGTAGAGCTGTACTGAACACTATCATTTTGAATTAATATTACCAGGCAATTATTAAGTCACAACCTGATTAAATGTTCATGAAAAAGAAAATTTTTGAAATAAAATGTAATCAAAATTTTATTTTTTTGCATTTAAAAAGATAAAGTTTTAAGGGCTTTCTTAATTTAATGATAATTGTTTTAAATTGTAATTATTATAATTATTTTTATAATTTAAATGATGAAGTTATTTATCTTTATCAGTTCTTCAATAAATGATGAACTTAATACTGCAATATATGATGAAGTAATGACACCATTAAAAGAAAGTTCTTAAAATTAAAGTGAAACCTTATATTATTGATAATTTTTTAAAGTTAGCCTTATTTTTGTTTGCCACGCCAAAATATATTTGCTGCATCCGCTTCTGTGCTACTGTAGTTCTGCTATCTGGTTTATGACTAGGAGCTACATATTTTGACTTCACTACGTGATTTTTTTTATCTATTGGAAAATAATAATTTATCATCTTCGTTTATATAATCATAAAAAAGTAGTTGTGTGTGCAAAACAATAGTTAATTATTTCCTTAAAAGGAGTTTATATATATATATATATATACATACATCAGGGTTGCCACTCCACATGGAGAACAGGGAAGACCTGGAAAATACAGGGAATTTAAAAATCTCCTAAAATAACAGGGATATGCAGGAAATTTCGATTTTTTCTTTAAAAACTGGGAATTTTGTTTCTTATTTTTGTCTTTTAAATAATGGTGACTACTCAATGTGTTTTCTATGGTATATTTAAGGTTGATATTCCAACTATACTAAACTATTTCCTTTACTATAGCATTATTTTAGTATGCTCAGCTGTTCCTTTTTTTCAGTAAGTTTCTCCAGCATTTAAAACTACCATAGTTAGCCTAATATAGCTCACAGAAGAGTGCAATAATTGTGTTTTCTCTTAATATATTGTGTATAATATATACAGGGAAAACACAGGGAATTTTTCCCTCCAGATTTGAGTGGCAACCCTGTATATGTAATATGATTTGAGTATACAAATACAATAATAATGGAAATTGAAAAGAAAAAGCATGAAATATAAAAGCTATACTTCTAATTGGTTTATTAAGGGTAATTTATGAAATTTAATATTTATAAAGTTTATTTTTATTATTTTTTCTTCATCTTTTTTCACACACTCAAATACACATTTCTGTTTTGTACTCAAACCATCAAATTTATAATTCATCCGAAAAAATTTTGTTTCCCATCTCGTGATTTTATGCACTTTCACTTCAATTTTCATAGTTTTCATCTGACTTGCTATTGATTTCTTTTGTTTTTCTTATATATGTATATATACAGCAAAATAACTTATAACATATTTCATATTAAAAGATTTTTTACTTTATCTGCTTCAATTTTTTAATTAGTAATTAATTACTTTTTGTTTTATTGAGTGACTAACGTTTTTTTTTAGTCTTGAGATTATTCCTTATTAAAAAATAAATTTTCTTTTATGTGTGAATAAAATTAACAACTAAATAGGTTTTTTTTTATGTTTGATGATGTAAATGATTTTATTTGATAAGGCCTTTTTAAAAATATTTTTATATGTATTTTTAGCTTTATACTTTATTATTTGGGAAAATACCTCAACATAAATTGAAACTCAAAGATAAACCGCAACAGCCTACATCCTACCTACTGCAATCAGTTTCTTCCAGAAAAGCTAATCCCTTGTTTATTGCATCTGATACAATCACTTCTGCCCTGATTGAGGAATCTTCTTTGCAACATTTATCTGATTTATTAGGATACCTGCAAAGACATAAAAAGAAGTTTAAAGTAATCTGGAACATTGTAGAAAACATGTTTGATGTCCGCTCTAATGTTTCTTTTACTGGGGATGATGTGAAAGCCATTGCTGAAGAACTGAGAGTAAGATAAATAGTTTTAAATGCTACTTACTTTAAAATTTTTGAAACAATTTGTTATTTATTACATAATTTTAAGTATATATCCAATATTTGGTTACTATTTGATATTCAGCCTATTTGATCACTTATGTGTAATAATTAATTTAAGTTTTTTTGTTGAATTTTCATTTCAAAACAACTCCCTAGATAAATTAGAATTTTTTTATTAGCAGTGGCATAATATTTTTGTCATAATTTTAAATTATTACTGCTGCTGTTGCTGTCTATTATAACTGTGTGTTATTACTGTTATAAAATCAGCAGGTTTATTCAGTATTACTTGCAGTAGTGATAACTAATCCCAAAAAATATTTTTTACTCATTTGACTTATTTTAATTTACAAAGCAGCTCTATCTTTAAGCTTCTAATTATTTAAATTAAAATATACTTTGTTACTCAAATCGTTTTCTCATATATTTTAAAACAAGTAATATAAATTTTTTTTTTTANATTACAAAGCAGCTCTATCTTTAAGCTTCTAATTATTTAAATTAAAATATACAGTACACTCCCGATTATCCGGGTTAATCACCGGGACAGGTCGCACGGACAATCGAAAAACACAGATAATCCCAAAACTTCTTTTATTAAAAAAAAAATCAATATCAGTACAAAAAATAGAAAAATTACTGACATTTGCATCATAACATCAAACTAGGAATTTTCCTTATTAAAAAATGTGTAATGCGTCTTCGCCATATATCGATACACAATATTTTACGAACCGCAGAAATGTCACCGTAATCAAATCCTCCCATATAATCTAATAAAGTTTCCACAGTGTAGCAGAATGAGAAATTGTATTTCATTCATTTACTACATCTTCTGCATCAGTTACTATCATCACTATTTGATTTAACAATATAACGATGTCTTCATCAGTCAAATACTGGAAGCCAGGCTCTCATGCATCACTTTGAAACCAATCTTCTAAATTTTCTTCACCAAGAATTTCGAAACCTTATCTTGTTCGAGAATACTGTTATCATTTGTTTCTTGAACATCTGAAAAAGATTGTTCATCAAGCGGTATGATCTTTCTCCAAGATCGTGATAACGTAGACGATTTTAATTTTGACCAGGCTGCTGATATTTCATATACTTCAATCCAATAACGAATATTGCTTCCAAAAATTTGGTAGTGTTATAACTTCATGAATCAAGTTTTTTTATTCTTGAAAATGCTTCTCTTTATATTTTTTGTGTGACTCCGGAATGAGCACGGATAATCTGCAAACCGGATAATCGAGAGTGTACTGTACTTTGTTACTCAAATCGTTTTCTCATATATTTTAAAACAGTAATATAATTTTTTTTTAAAAGTCAATTTCTACTTATGTCAACAAATAAAATTTTTATTTTAGCTACTTTTTATTAAATAATTACAATTTTTTCTCCTTTAAAAAACTGAAATTGATTAATTAAATTTAATTAATGAATTAATATTTTAAAAAAATGTATTAACATCAAGTGCCTACCACTACAAGTTTAAAAAAATGTATTTGAACTTGAATAGATGAATAAAAAGTATTTTATTCATCTATAAAAAATTTCATTCATTAAAAATTTAAACAAATTTAACAATCATCATTAAAAATTTAAACAAGTTGTATTAATATATGTAGGGAGAGTGTAAACTAATAGTAGGAATAGAAAAAAAAAAGCATGTGGGATCAGACAACTATAAAAGTACAAATTTGGTGACGTGGTCCACGCATGCTACCACATAATGTTCCTTATCTGACACAGTGAATATAAAATAATTAAGTATTTAAATGTGCACAATGAACTATTTTTTGTTCAAAGAGACCTATAAGTTAGAAATTATCACTGAAGTTATATTTAAAGTATATGAAAAACTGAATCGCTTATAGTAAGTTTTAAAACAATGACTAATGCTTAACCAATCAGAAAATTCCATTTCTATTTTCGCTCATCCCTATTTAATTAATGTACAGTAGGGAACCGATTATCCGGAGCGATCGGGACCATCGCTATTCCGGATAACTGATTTTTCCGGTTTTCTGAATCGCTACAAAAAGCCGTTTTTTTATTGTTAAACCCAACTAAAAAAAAATTTTTTTGGAAATAATCTGAAAAAGAAGAAAAAACGATTAAGTAATACTCTAATGATTATTTCCAAAATGATGGTAAGGTAAACATCTTTCAAAAAAGAAAGAAAAATCCTAAAATCTTATGAGGAAAATTTTTATTTTTTTAAAAATCGAATTTCGTTCCGGTTTTTTGGTTTTCCGGTTTTCTGATTTCCGGATAACGGGTTCTGTACTGTATTAATATTTGAAAAAAAACTGTATTATCATCAAGTATCATCCACTACAAGTTCGAAAAACTGTATTTGAACTTGAGTCAATGAATAAAAAGTATTTTATTAGCAATTGAAAATTTGAACAAGATATAGGGAGAGTTTGAACTAATAGTAGGAATTGGAAAATGAAGGAAAATTGAAAAAAAAACAACAAATTTTTATGTTTTTTTAACACTTATTTTTAAAAAAAGAAATATCTTCCTTAAAACATCTGGCTAATCTTAAGCTAAATAAAAAAGATATCAAGAAAAATAAATAAATTAATAAAAATAAATGCCTTTCCACACCATGAATAAAAAAGTTTCTAACAGATTGCTTGAATTTACCCTTTTGCTAATAAACTGCTAAATTTGTATTATTTTGCTTTAATATCATTTTTTATTATTAGGATATTATACTATCACCTGGTGGAATGCGAGACTTAATGTGTCAGCAGAATGGACTAATGTGGGTTTTGACTTATGAAAACTTAACAACATCGAATCAGACGGTGAGTGCTATATTTCCTTAAATAATAAAAAAAATAGTTATAATAATGATACTAATTTTTTGAGTCATTTATTCTAAATTTTGATTTTCCTTTATAGTTAGAATTACAGTCCGCATTTTGTAGCCTGAATGCAACAGTCATGTCATCACTATCAGATGAACTCCAAAGATTCCTCGATGTTGATAAGCTGAGGGAAACTGTAAGCTTATACAGTGTCTTATTAAAATGAATTCTAAATATATTAGCTCTTTTTTTATCAGAACAATCTCTTAAAATTTTTCTTTTAGTTGCATCTTGATGATTGGAATATCACATTAGCGCAGCAGAGACTGAAGAAGTTATCTGATGATGTAAGTTGCCTTAACCTTTATGCATGTTTGTAGATTTTCATTATAATTATATTATTGAATCTATTTTTATCAAATGTTGTTTTTCCAATTTGGAGAAGATATCTTTTATAACACATTTTTGTGAAAACTTATTTAATTTTATTTTATTGTTTAGTATAGAACCTTTTATTTAAAATTGTTTAGTCTTAGTTTTGGAATGAGAGTATAAAAAAGTCAAGGGTTTTCTATAATTGCAAATTTTTATTTTAATCCAAAACTTTAGCTTAAATATTACTGTTTTTTATAACTTTTCTCAAACTGTCCTCTATTTTAATTATACAGTCAACACTTAATATAATGATCCTTGTCATCTAAACCAAAATGAGTGTTATAATGTAAGATCATTATATCTCAAGTGCAAAAAGATACATAAATATTGCTCATAATTAAAAAAGAAAACTAGACTAATTTCTACAATATAATACTATACTTTTTTGAGAATTAAGAAACTATCAAAGTAATTGATAAAAACTCAATTTTTCTTTTGTTATTATGTACACAAAAGAACCATTTTAAAATATACATTTTTAGTGAAAAATACATTAAAGACAGCCATTTTGAAAGAATTGTAGGTCCAGACCACTGCAAGTTCACATTTTTTAACTAAAAAATAAACCATTCGAAGAAATTAATATTTTTAAAAAATAATGAATTCAAATTTCAAAAAGAAAAGTATGATTAATAAATTTACCATAATATTTACCAAAAAAAAAAACTTTAATAACTTTTGATCTTATGATCCATATTTCTCATTCTAACAATGCGATAGTAATTAATTCATCATTGCAACCTCTTTTAGAAAATGAATAAAAGCATTTCCTCTTTCAAAAAAGGTACTAGCATTTTTCAGCCCTGGCTATTTTTCTTTTTAAATTATAACTGGATCAAGTCCGTTCACTATGCGTTTGGTCAAGTTTAGGTATAAAGTCTAGAGGTATCTCCAGTTGTTGTGCTTTTGACTCAATTGTTAAGGCATTATATGGGACCAAACATACTCATAATGCTATGTTGGTTAATGATATCCTTTGTGTTTTGTTATCATTGTATCAATTTGTGTCTTTTAATACTAATTTCTAGTTAAATGCTGCCTTTTCAAAATAAAAATTAATAAGATATATATAAATACTCTTATCGGTTTGTATACAACTTGATCAGATAATAAAATTGATTCAAGAATGTTAAACCCAAGTAAAGTAACTATGTATATTTTTTAAAGAATAAAATATAATTAATAAATATAATATATTATTCAAAGAAATAAACTGAAAGTTTATTGTATCTCATAAAGTTTTGAATGTATAAGGAATACCTTCATTTACTTATTTAGTAAGATAAACTTTAAATCAGCAGTTTTAGAATATCGTCTCACTACAACAAGCTAGCTGTAACTTCTAAACAAAACTTGTCTGGATGGATTTCCAGCATTTGTTTATTCGCAATTTTGTATTGAAGCTTCTATCTATATATATATTTCTCTTACACTGCAACAAAAAAAAGCCTCATTACAACTCCCCGAATGGCAAAGCTAGAAAATCGACCAATGATTGCCGCTAACAATGTCAAATGCCAAATCTAGCTGAGGTGGCTTAACATATAGCACTTTTAAAAACAGAAACTGAAATAACCAGAGAGAGCTTTCTCACCAAATGTGATCTACCAGCTGCGGCAATCTCATACTATAAAGTTAGGCAGAAGTGAGTAGTCTTTGTTGATAGATCTCTATTTTAGTATTTTGTCGAAAGCGCTTTTATTCATGAANACACGGTTCCCAGCAGATCACCGAAGTCAAGCATCACTGGCTACGGTCAGTGTGCGGGTGGGTGACCACTTGGATCAGTCTGCGTAGGGACCGAGGGTGTGCGGTATTGGTCCTCGTTAAACTGTGCTACCGTAAAGTGCTCGACTTCGCTCGCAGGTCGTTGGGCTACCGAAGCGGGGTTGCCATCCCCTCCGCATAGGTTCAAAATTGTGATGGCATGTCTTCGGATCATCCTCCGGGATGTTTCCCAGACCGTCACCAATAGCCCATTGTGCAGCTCTAGTGTGACGTAAATTAACAACAACAACAACAACAACAATTGAATTCTTAGACTTTTGTGCATTTGCAATGTACCTAAGTTAGTAGCAAGCTTGGTTTGCAAAGCAAACCATATAAGACTGCGTAGCAATTTTCGGGGGTTGGCGAGCGTTAGCAGACAGGGGCGCAGCCTACTAGTTTAATTTAATTTGCTGTCATTGTCAATATATTTTTTTATCTAAATGCAGGTTTGCCACAGGCGAGTAAAATACAACTATTAGCAACCATTTTTGGCCTGAGGAGACTATGGCAATTTTTTTTTGCATGTAAAGTCTTAAAAAGGAACTATTGTGAGAAGAAGGAGACTATTGGGAGACTTTTCTGAACTCCTAGCTATGTTTTTTTAGCATTAATTCGGGTGACAATCTGCACAATTTAAAAAATCCAAATTTTTAATAGGATATTACGATGCCTGAATTTTGAATTTGAGTAATCACTTCACAATATGTATATATATTTGCTAAATTAATTATTGATGAAAGGGAAAATTTTTTAGAAAAAGAATTTTTTGAATGAATTCTAATATGTAAAAGTATTTAATTTTCTGCAAATACACTAATTTGTGCGATATAAAAATTTAGTGCTAGAACACTGAGGTTTATACAAACGTTATCATATTTGTCATCAATTTGACTAAATGGATCATGATATATGACAATTAAGACATTTAATAAAATTTTTGCCATATTATGGAAAGTTTTTGTTCTTATTTAAGCAACTGTTTTCCTAGTTTTCAGCAGTTATTTTCATGCTTTAGACTACTAAATGCAACTATTTCGCTCATTTTTTTTCTGTGGCAGTCCTGAAATGACAAATTTTTTATGTAAGGAAATTTTAATTCATTCTTTTATTGAACTGCAGCTGGTGAAATTTAATGAATTTGAAGTTGCTTTGAAGCAATTAAGTGAAATAGCTTCTTCGTTACCCCAAGATGCTTGCGTCCAGCTAAATGATACTTCAACAGAAAATGATACCATTGCTGAATTTGAAGACGGAGTCACTGAACCTCCTAAAAAGGTTTTTATTATTATTATTTTTTTAAAATTTGCTTTGTTCCTTTTTATAAAAAATTTATATGAAGCTTCCAATGGAGTTAATTTATTTGGATACTGTTTTATTCATTCCTAGGCTGCCAGGTCGAATCCTCAGTATGGTTTGCTACGTATTTGGCTTGGAATGCAAAACACGATCTGTGGGAAGGTTGGGGATTTTCCCACTAGCTTACCTGATGATGGAGAGGAAGTCGATTTAGGTATATTCCTATTCATATCTACTTGTAAACTATTGTGCAAAAATATATGGTTTAATTATTCTTTGATTTTAATTTTTTACGTAAGATATTTATTTAAATTTTTTGTTAAAATAATTGTCATCAGAAAACTAAAGTAAATAAAAGTTTTAGAGATAAAGAATTTGCTAGAAAGTGAAGGTATGTTTACCCACAAGTACTTATTGTACGATCATAATGTTCTTTTTGTATGATGATTAAGAACAATTAAAATTCTGTGAGAATATCTGTAGCAAGTACTTGTTATAGTGTTTTATGGTAATTTAAAACAGTCACAGATCTGTGAAGGTATCGTTACAAGATTGTGAAGATACCATGCAAGTATGCTGCAATCATCATTCTTTATTTACAAGTAAGAAGTGTTGTACATTTAGTTAATGCTGTAAGTGTAGTTTTTTTTTGTCCACAAAAATTATTCTTTGATTGAAATATTTTTTAATTACTCTTCAGTAATATCTTAAAACAGTTCTAGTGATGTAATTTATTGGCATTCTTTAAATGTGACCATTTTTTAAAAAAAACAATTCTTTTCTAATGAGTTTAATGATTCTTATTAAAATGAATATTCTAACCTTAGTATCTGACTAAAAAAGAAATGAGGCTAACTCGAACTACGTAGGAGACAAGCAATGAAAAATGAAAAAAGTATTTTAAAGCCATTTAGTTCAATAGTTATTTTACAGAAATCTGGCAGTGTCAAACTTACAATCTCATATGTCTCTTAATCTTAAAGAAACTCAAAATAATATTTTGTTTATGTATAAAGTTGTTTTTTAACTTTAAAAATAATGTTTCATGTATTTTCTTTTTCTAGATAAATTGGGCATGTCTAAATATCAGCAGGAGCAGATTGGTATATTAGTTCATGTTCTTTACAGCAATCCCAGAGTATTATATGCTCCAAATAATACAGCTGCAGATGAAATAATTACAAAGGTAGCAAAAAAAATCTCTGCTTCTTTTAACTATGTAATTTTTGAATTCAGCTATTTGTTTTAAATATCTGTGCTAATGTTTTACATACATTATTTTTGAAACATTGAAACATAGTTTTGAAGGAGGGGTATGAATGATTATTACAAATAAATAGATGAGTTTTTTGTCCTCAAAAAAAAATTTTTTTAACTAATTTTCCTTTCATTGTTTTTTTAAAAAGCATTTTTTTCTACTCACTTAAAAGTTTTCAGTGAAAGAGGAATCTTTTTATAAAATTGAAAATTCTCTTAAAGAGGAAAATGTAAATATACTATCCAAATTAATTAGGACAAGTAAGCCTTAGATACGAACATGTCAAACAACCAGTAAACACAGTTTGAATAAAATGTCTTGGCTACTTTTTTCCTTCAGCAATGATGCGATAATCTTAGTATGAAGTATGATCAATTCAATAAGTACATGCATGTAAATATAGCAACATAATGTGATGCACACATGCCGATGTGGGAGGGTATGTTTTAACAAAACCTGCCCCCTTGTTGTAATTCAAGAGCAGTTGAGAGATTTCTACTGGAAAATCAAAATGATGTTGCTTTATCTGCATGGAAATTCACCAGATTTAAATACAACCTTGAATTTGTGGAATAGTTTAAAATGTCATTTAGGTATGATTGATTGTGTGATGAAAAAAAAAAGTAAATAATGCTTTACAAGTTTGGTTATATGATGATGAAATCAAAAATATTTGGTCGGCACTCAATGTTGAAAGACGTACTATAAAGACGTAGTATAAAAGACAATAATACTAATAATACGAAAGACAATAGTAAAGTAAAACTTTATCAATGTTAATTTAAGCTAACAAATGGATAAAAGCATAGTTGTTTAGTTCATTTTGTATCTATTAATTTACTCAGAGTAGTACAACTAATGGAAGAGAGATATTGAGTTTTAATCATTGTTGCACAATAATTTTATGGACTATCCCTGAACTGTGTTATATTAAATTATATTTCTCATATTTAGTGTGTCATATTATAATCATTACTAAAAGTGAAGCTTTATTTATTTTAGGCAAATGAAACCTTTGAATTGTTGGACACTGTTACTCAGTATGCTCAAAAAATGCTAAACATCTCTGAGGAAATCAGATTATTTTTAGCTGAAAACAGCACTGATCATTCACTGTCAGTTTTAAAACAGGTATATTTTGTTTCATAGTTGTGATTTAGAATAAAAATTGAAAAAAAAATGTATGTTTGAAAAAACGTATATTGTCCAATTATGAAATGTATGTTATATTCGTTTATTATTTATAATTGTTTTAAAAATAATTTTATGCTTTTACTTTACAAACCTCTTTTTCTTCTTCTTTTATTACGTGACCTTAAATAAAATAAATTAAAAAAATTATATAATTAAAAAGATGCTGAATACAATTAATGAATAAATACACAGAATCAGTTTTGTGTCTTGGCATTAGGATGGTTCAAAACATATGACAATTTTAAGTTATTCACATTAGATTCTGTATTTGTTTGCTTCCATTAATCAACTTCAAACACTTTTCTATTTTAAGTTTAATATTAAAGCATATTATTATTTTGTAACCCTGATTTTTCAGTAATCATAATAGAATTACCATAGTTGGAAGGTACTAAATTAAATTGAGTAATTGTTTAAGAATATAAATTTTATATTTTTGAAATTTTTGAAAGTATTTTTGTTGAAAAAATTTCTTAAAATAAGTTCTTGATTTCTTAAGTAATTATTTGCTATTACATCAAAGCGACAATTGTTTATTAATTTGTTTTAGCAATTAATAGGAATAATAGTACCTAGTAATAAAAAAAATCATAAAGTAATGGTTTTATTACTTTATTAACTTTTCATTTATTTTTTTGTAAAAAACATTTTTCAATGAAATCCATGTGTTATTTCAGGTTGCATATCGTTTTTAAAAAGTGCTTATTTTTTATTTTTGTTTTTAAAAGCTCTTAAAGGAGCTTTTTTGATTTGGTGTTTGTAAAAAGTGCTTAATTTTCTATCTTTTAAAAAGAGATTTTTCTTTGCCTTATTGATTGTAGTTCTAAATTACAAAAAAATGCATGATTTTCACAATTTTCTCTGCAATATTTATCAGAAGCTAGTTATTTTATCATAATTACATAAAGTTTTTCAGTTTTATTGATTTTATGCTTATAAATTAAGAACTTTAAACGAAGGAAAAAATAATTTTTATCACTGCACAGATCCTAATTATGATTCTTTTTGGAAAGTGATTACAAATATTTTTTCAGTGCTTAAAAAGTACTTAAAAAGTGTTTATTTTTTGTTGAAAAATCTGGCTACATACCCTGTAATTGTTTTTAAACAATCTTCATAATTCTATTTTACAGATTCATCAAAATTTTCAAAAGTACCCTCTGTTCCTCACTCTATTTCATAGCCTTGCTTTAGAAGAGTTTGCTTCAAATACTATTATCATTGAAAAGGAAGTATTCTTGCAGCAGCTTGACTCAATAGATAATGCTGCATGCAGCTGGATTTCTCTCATGAATGGACTCAGCCTGAACATGTTTCAAGGTTTCAGAACTGAGGAAGATTTGCTAGATTATTTTAAGCATGAAGCTTATTTTGACAATGTTACTGTTCTTGCCAGTGAGTTTTCATTTTGTATTAGTAAATACTATAGACTGTGGCAGAATTTTTTGGAGCTATCTTCGACAAAACTCTCTATCAATAATATCTTTCTGCAAGACACTTTTAGTAATAATAAGCATATATGTTACACATTTAAAGTAACAAAAGTTTACAAAAAAAACTATATAATTCATATAATTTTTTTTAATAAAATGTGTAATTATTTTTTGTTTTAATATTATGGGTGATATTCTCGCATTTTGTGGTAGGGGGGGGGACACAAATTATTTCCTTGTTAGCATTTTGTAATCAATCATCTCAATAAAAAAAAAATTAAAATCAGGAAATCCGCAGTAGTAATTGCAGAAAAAAATATTGCTGGCCATAATGGCGAAATAATGTAATAAATAATATCGCATAAAAAACATTGCATTTAAAAACTATGGAGAAATCAATAGCAATAACTGCCAAAAATTTGTTAGAATTATTGCTTTAAAAAGTAAATATTCAATTGCATGATTCAAAATTTCCATATATCTTGATTTTTAAAATCCACAAGAAAATCAATACCAATAACTGTAGAAAATATAATCGAAACATTACATCGATTTACAATACTATTGACATTAATTGAGTGCATCAAAAAGTGATTATCTAAATGCATGATTCAAATATTATGTATAAATTTCTGTAGAAAAAAAGTAATTTTTTTTTTTACTTTTTAAAAGAAAAATCTTTCTACAAGAACTCTGTAACGTTCTGCGACAATGCCGCTGCGTCGCTGTTATTATGCAACAGGGGATTAGGGGTCTCTAAACTATGGCACGAGAGACAAAATACACCTGCCAGTGTTGTCAATTTGAAATGCTAGTAATAGCATAGATAATTAATAGCATTAAGCTAGTAATAGCATAGATCTAGATAATTTAATAGATTATTTAATACTTAGAAAAAACGCAATTTAATTCAAATAATTGATAGGGAAACTGTTCTAAAAATTTTACTCTCTTTCTTTTCTTCTTTAAATGAGCTCTTTAATAGGCAAAACCTTTGTCACTTGGTATTTGTTCAACTACGATAAGATGCTGAGCTGTAAATTTTGTATTATTAACATTCTTAAGACAGTCATTTTCTTAAGATAAGCACATGTTTCTCTACCCTAAGATGATATAGTGATCTTTTTTCCATGCGTTTTATTTTTATAATGTTAATATTCTGGTAAGTTCCTTGAAAATTTTATTCATTTCTTCAAACGAGCTTCTTACATGTTTCCACCTGTTACACATATACATAATTTTTTGTTGTATTAATTTCTATAGTTTTATCATTTGCATCTAGTAAAATATTTTTTATTTAAAAACTTTAGGTGTCATATTTAATATGAGTGAGGATGGTTCAATGCCTAATCACATGACCTACAAAATAAGACAAAATGCCTCCTTTACTACTACTACCAATCTTGTGCGCAGTCGATTTTGGTTTCCTGGTCCGAGAAATTGGGGGTATGGCTACTACCAATTTGGATTCGTTTGGATTCAGGTATATCAAATCTATTTACTTAACTTTACTAAATAAAACTAATAACTTTACTAAATAAATTTTATTATCTTGACTTTTTGCTTATAATTCCTTAATATAACTTCATAATCAAATTACTTAACAGGATCTGTGAATTTTCTTTTATATTTTTTGATCAAATTTTTTTACAGTTAAAAAAATGAGTTGTCCATTAATTACTTTGCCTTTTTATTATATACTATCATCCAAGTTTTGATTTTCTAACTCAAGGATCTTCAAACTACAGCTATTCTGTTCACATGCCACAATTTAATTTGAAAAGTTATTATCTGGAAAAATCTCGATTCTAAATAAATTTTTTTTTGCTGTAACAAACTTTAAATTGCTGAGATGAAAGTTGATATGATTTTCTTCCACTAACTGCTTTGTTATGATAGACTTATTTTTTCATTTATTTTTGATAAAATTTTAACTTTAGAACTAAATTTTCTTTGTGGGTTCTTAACTACTTCTTTTCTACTCAATGTAGGATGTTTTGGAGAGGGCAATGATCAGCATTTATTCTAAAAGGGATGTTTCTGAGCCTGGTAGTTACATTCATCAATTTCCCTACCCTTGCTACATCCAAGATCAGTAAGTAAAAATATCTCAGACTAAGCTTTAAACACAGTTATCTGCTAATATGCTTGACTTATCAGTCAATCAAATGCTCATATTATGGCTGCTTTCTTTGAATCGCAGTTATGCTTTAATTGTTTGGAGTAGTATCGTAGGATAAAAATACCTAGAAGTATTGAAATTTTAACTAAATAAAAGTTGAATTCATCATCAATGGCTTGACAGCCCAGGGTGGACCTTGGCCTTCTCTAGAAGTTTTTGCCAGGTTAACCTTTTACTGCTGGCTTTTTCCAGTTTTTGGTTTTTAAGACCAAAATGTCTTTTTCTAGTTCATCTATCCATCTCAAATTCGGCCTGCCTCTTTTTCGTATGCCAACTGGTCTGGTATTGAAAACTACGGTCTTCATCCATTCTTATAACGTGGCCGGCCCGTTTTATTCTTTGTTGTTTAATAAAATTAATAATGTCAGGTTCATTATATGAGTGATAAAGCTCTAAATTTGTTTTTTTGAATTCCTCCAAAAATACTTCTTAACACCAGGCCACTTTTTCAAGACCAGAGTAATTCAAAAATTTGAATTACTCTGGGGAAACTTTTTGCTTTGTTTTCTATTGCAAGAAATTTTTTAACAGATATTTGATATTTATGTATTGCTGATTTCAAATCTGCAATCCGTTTCTCTCTCCAAGCTACAGTTTTTTTTAAAAATGATATTTTTAGCATATTTTTTGTAGAGTTGTACAAATTTAAATATGTTATGTATTAAAGGGTATCACATAAATGTTGCGACAAACATCTAGGGGAGTTAGGGCACATTGACAGGATTAAAACTGCATAGAAACCCATGACCGGAAATGTCGTTGTATGCTGATAGAAGTGAATACCTATTATGAACAGTTTTTCCGTGTGGCTCTAAACGGGTCATAATAGAGAAATTACCCCATGTCACATGCAACATTTATAGGCATGGATATCTATGCAATTTTGGGACTGATGATGTGCCTTAACTCCCCTAAAAGTTTGCCACAACATTTACGGGGCCGCATGTTTTACATAACATTTTTAAACTTTTACATTTCTCCAAAAAAAAAAATTAATAAATAAAAAATACAGACTATAAATGTACTTTGAAAAAAATCTGTAGCTTTAGGAACAACACTAATTTCTAGTTTGAAATCCCCATACCCAAAGAAGGCAAGATCAAGTATTTCTATAAATGCAAAAACAAATTTATTCCTCAATATTATTCATAATTTTTTTTGTAGTAGGGGATACCTAAATATCGGAAATTTAGTTTAATTCCAATTTTGCATTCAAATGTTTCAAATAGCAAATTTTTCTTGCACAATTTAAAACCTGAAAAAAGGAATCAGACTTTCCTTTTATCATTTGAATTTTAATGAAAATAACAATAATATAAATGAATATCACTCATGTAAATGAATCGTTTAAAACAAACATTCAAAACAAACACAGAGTAGCTATTAAATCTTAGAATTATAACATGGAACAAAAAGTGTTATTTAAATTTTGGTTTTTCAGTTAAGAAGATAAGATTGGGTGATATAATACAAAAGTAATAAGACATTTGTTTTCTTATTGTTGTTGACAGAGTGAGGTTTTTTTTAAAGGAAATTTCTTGTAAAATTGTAAGAAAACCTATTTTGACAAACAATTTTATGTTTTTATGTAACATCAAGAATTTACCAACAATTTTTGTAATTTTGCTTTTGTAATTTCCTTTTATAGGTTTAAATCATTATTAAAAATGTGTTTAAAACTACGTAGTAAAAATATTATTCTATTGTTAAAAAAGTTTGTTTATTCTACTCTTATAAAATTATTCTTTGTAGGTTTTTATTCATGATTGAACATGTAATGCCACTTTGCCTTGCCATATCTTGGGTTTACTCTGTTGCTATGTTAGTCCAGAATATTGTTTATGAAAAGGAACAGAGATTAAAAGAAGTAACTACTTTACTTTTGGATAAATTATTTTAGTCAAAACAATATTTTTCTCATTCATTATTAGTTATTGTAGATTTAACACTTTATCATTTAATTTTGTTCCAAAATTTGATTATTCCATTATTTAGAACTTAGAAAAACTTTAAAAAAATAATGAATCGATATTAATTAGTTCTCTACAATCAAGCAAATACAGTAGAGCATCGTTTATACGACGCCGAAGGGACCACCAAAAAACGTTGTATAAACGATAATGTCGTATAATCGATTTTTACTTCTAAAACTGAAACTAACTTTGTTTTCAGTTAATTTTAATGTTTAACGTGTTGATTTACATAAATTTCTAAATTAGACAAAGCAAAACAAACAAATAACCAAAGAAGAAAAATTGCAGTGAGCAATTTGAATGTATGTTACCTTTAATTATATTTTCTTGCTATTAGTCTCTACAATGTTTTGAATAGCGAGTTGAACTTACTGCTTTCTATGATGCAATTTTAGATTTCTAATCACGGCCAAATCTAATGGCTGAAGCGCATTTGTGCAATTTGCAGGAAAAAAGAGAGCTATTACATTTTCCAAAATAATTAGTATCGATGGGTGCGCTGTACATTGGTCGATGAATAGCAAAATTTTTCTTTTTTGCCTCTTCATAACATTGTCTAGTTTTTTCAGTCATCTAGTAAAAATTACGGTCGTCATCCAAGCATTCTTGTTGGCACCCTTTTCTGTAACATTCATGTTGGCAAATTTCGCCCTTTTTTAAAATACACAAGAAAAAATAAAAAATTAAATGAACGTGAATAAAATCTAAAAACCGACGTATAACCGATTATGTGCGTCGTATAAACAGTATATTTTTACATTAAAATGAATAAGAATGATTTGGGACCACTCTAAAACGTCATATAAATGTAAACGTCGTATAAGTGATAGTCGTATAAACGATGCTCTACTGTAATTCAAAAGCTTATATTTACACAATTAATAAAGCTAAATAATTTCATTTATTATTATTATTATTTTTTTGTCCTTCCCCTTGATTTAATGTTAACAGAATAAATAAAATTTGTTTTTAAAGTTCAGTTCCTCAAAATAAAGAACTTACTATACTCAGTATCATTTGGCACCTAAGATGGTGATATTGATCATGTCAGACTTATAATAGTTAAGATTTATCACAACCAAGTAATTTTCTCGATGAATTCGCATTTAAGTACATAATTTAGTAGTTATAACAAGCACATTCCAAAAGTGTAACAATAATGAGCTTATAGTTTCTGTTAGCATTCAACATTTGATGACATTGTTCCCACATGCCGTTTATCTGGATTTTATCTGTGTTTCCTTAACATGATGAATAAAAAATAATTATCATAGGACATGTAATAAACTCCTAAAGAAACTTATCTTTGATAGAATAGAACTGTAAGTTAGCAAACTTTATTAATGTTACTTTTAAAGTAATTGAAAAAACAAAATTGTCTTCAATTTGTATGAAAAAAATTCTTTCTCACACTTCTCTCTAAAATGGTGCTACTTAAAATTTTTAAAGGATTGCCTAAAATTGCCCTTGCAATCATCGTCTAAATTTCATGATCTTAGCTCAAATAGTAAGAGTAATTTAACCTGGATCTGGAGTTTTAAGAGTGAATAATACTTAAACACCCAAACTCTTCTTTCTTATTAGTGTAGGTTGATATATATTTATTATTTTTGTGTTGCTATAATTTTCTCTATTTCTTTGAATAGGTCATGAAAACTATGGGGTTGAATAGTGCTGTGCATTGGTTGGCTTGGTTTATAACCAGTTTTCTTCAAATGAGTATCACAGCAGCCTTTTTGACTGTAATTCTAAAGTATGGCCTGGTTTTGACTTACAGTAATCCATTACTCATCTTTCTTATGTTGGAAATATTTGTTGTGGCTAACATTGCTTTCTCGTAAGTACTTTTTTTTGTAATTATACGTGTGATCAAATATCACTTACTTATCTTTTTAGTTACATTATTACTTGTTTGCTACTATTTTAAACCAGGATTGGCAAAAACCATAATTTTTTATAATAAAAAAAATCGATTTTTTAATTATTTCAGATTTTTTTAAAAATTTGTATTTGCATTTATCAATCAAAGTTTTAATAAAGTGTATTTGCTGAATATTATTTAAAAACACTAAAAAATAAATTAGTTAAATCCTATTGGTTTTTACATATATTTATCGAAGTTCAAATAAAACTTAATAATAAATGCGATTCCGAAACACTATTATAACTAAATCATTAATACTTCCAACTAAAATTAATAAAATTTTTATGTGACTAGTACAAACTAGTCAATGAAAAAATAAAATCATAGTTGCTTTTTTTCAATTACAACACTCTCATAAATTTGTGAAGACAGAGACTAAATATTTCAGTTAGACATCAAAAGAAAAAGAAATTAATCTAGATCAGTAAATTTTTTTTCCTTTCTAAATTAGTCTTTGCAGAACAAGTTTTCTTCATTAATTTCGTATACAAGCTATAAATTTTTTAAGACTTCTTGTATTTAATAAACATAAAACCAAAGGGGTATTTTTGAAATAAAGTTATTTAATAATAAATTATTCTACTTATTGTAATTGATGTTATAATTTGAAAGTTTCACATCAGTTTTTTCTGTATTTAGTCTCCCTCTCTCTCTCTTTTTATTTACTAATCTATTTTGAGCATCAAACAATAGTTTATATGTATATCCCCTCTCAGTATTTCTATTGATAATATCTTTAATATCAATGAAATTAGATTTTAAAAAAATCATATCCTTCAGAGTGTATTTATATACTAAATAAATATACTCTTAATATATAATAATAATAAATATAATCTTAATATACTCTTGTATGAATTAAATTAAAAAAATATTTTTGAGTTTAATCACTGATTTCTATAAAAAAATAATATTAATTGATTTAAATCATGCTAACCCTGTATTAAAGAGTGTGATAAAGCAAAAAAACTCATCTATTTTTTTTCATCCAATAAATATAATGTTTTGTAATTAAAAAAGGTAGGCTATATATACAAAATAAGTTTTAGATTGTATTTTAATTAAAAACAGCTTAGTTGTCTGAAGAAATTGATACATCCAAAAAAAAAAAATTAAAATAAAATAAAAATAATAATAATCTTTACTAACAAAATTTTAAGTTTTCACATACAAATGATTTGTTTTTCTTAATATCTGTTTGACTATTTTCATTTCAACTGATTGAATTTTTGTTTACAAACCAACACTTGTTGATGTATTATCATATTTAATTTTTTTTATAATAGTTTATTGTTTTGAGCTTTTATGGATGAATTTCAAGCTTATAATATTATTTTTTGTGTTCCGCTTGTTTAAGTATTTTATATCTTTGACTGAATGTTTGTACTGTTGTAAAAACAAACCGGGCAAGAAAAAAAAATAATAATCATATTTACCTTTTTTAACTCTGCTAAAGTTCAGTTATCTAGTTCTGTTAATTTGTCCCTTTCTTCTTTCCTTAGTGGTAGGCATGCTAGGAAAAGTCATAGCCTTCGTCATAACTTGATGCGTAGTGACCCTACAATTGGCTTTGTACCTTTATTTTTTTAAGCATTAAAATTTTTCAAGGTTTTGCATACTTAGCAAGATTTTTACATTGAAAAACATGAAGAAAAATCAGTTTGTTCGAAGGAAATTTCAACCGAGTTGTTAAAAAGTTGACAAAATGCAAGCTAAAAAAATAGTTTCGTTAATAGTTATTTTTTAATAATTTTTATTATTAATAACATAAATAAAATATAATGTAATAATTAGTTTTCCATCTATTAATTTTCAATTCCTATATTTTTTATATTATTAGGTTTTTAGTTAGTGTTCTTTATTCCAAAGCAAAACTGGCTGCAGCATGTGCTGGTATAATTTACTTTTTGACATATGTACCATACATGTACATAGCTGTGAGAGAGGAAGCTGCTCATGATCACATACCAGTTTGGTTAAAGAGTCTTGCTGTAAGTTCTTTCTTTAATACCTAAGAGTGCAGTTTTTCATTTGATACAATTAGTTAAGAATCTTGCTGTAAGTTATTTTTTTGTATCTTAAGAGAACATAATTTTTAATGTAATACAAAAAGTCTTTTTTGCACCTCTAAAGGGTACAATTATTGGTTTAATCCAACCATTGAAGTCCTATTATAATTTTTTTCTTAAATACCTAAGTGTGCCGTTTTTTATTTGGTGCAATTATTAACTAATCATGCTTTAAGTTTTTTTTTCAGACCTTAAAAGGTTACAGTCATGAATTTAATGCAAGCATTAAAAGTTTTTCTATGAGTTCTTTCTTTACCTGAGGTTGTCAATTTTAATTTAATCTAATTAGTTAAAAATCTTGCTGTAAGTTTTTTTTTGTACCGCAAAAGGATATAATTTTTAATGTATTGCAAGTAGTAAAGATTTTTCTTGTAAGGTTTTTTCCGTGCCTCAAAAAGATACAATTATTGATGTGATGCAAATATTAAAAATATTGCTATAAGTTCTTTCTTTGATACTTAAGTGAGCAGTTTTTAATATGGTACAATTACTAAAGACGTTTTCGTTCTTATAAGTATATAGTTTTTAACTTACATAATTATTGAAGTACATGTTATCGAATTCTACAAATTCCCTTCTAGAAATAAGTATGTACTGTATTTTTTTAAAAAAAATTGTGTTATGTATGTTTTTATTTATTCCTTTTAGTCTCTTTTGTCAACAACTGCTTTCGGACTTGGCGCAAAGTATTTTGCTTTTTACGAAGAAGTTGGAGTGGGTGTCCAGTGGTCGAATATTGCAATATCTCCCGTGGAGGATGATGAATATAGCCTGTTGAGTGTTGCCATAATGATGATGATGGATGCTGTTTTGTACTCCATTTTAGTGTGGTACATTGAGAATGTTCATCCAGGTTAGTGACATCAAAATTTCAGAATCATTTTTTTAAATTTTATTTAAAAACAAAATTCCTTTTCAAACCTACGCATTTCAAAAACTTCTTTGAAATTTAAGTAGTTGGTACAAATTTTTCTTTCCAACAAAGTTAGCTCAAAAACTGTAAAATTAAAAAGAAAACTGAAAATATAAAATTTAAAAAAGTAGGAAGATATATTTTTCAAAAGGAAGATGAATCTTAAAATTGTTATTTAGTCCTTCATTTTTTCTCTTGTTATTATGAAGAAATGAAAGTTTTCATTAATAAAGATTTAAATTTTTAGTATATTTTTCTCTGCTGAATTTTTTTTTTAACTAAGTGCTGTTACATCCATTTTTTCTGTTACTTGTTTTCAAACTTTTAAACATAAAATATTTACATATAAAGTTCTATGATATATTAATAATGTATCTTTTTTAATGATATAATATCTTCCTTACATAATACTTTTAAGTATTTAAAAAATTATATTTCATTCTACCTAAAGTAATAAAGCATTAAAATTACTTTTAACAATTCTGTTGGATGGATGTGTGTGGGGAAAGTGTATCTCAATTGTTCTTCCAATTTCTTCTTTTGTTTGAATGAATTGTCTTAAATGTTGTTAAAAAATATTATACTTTGCATCAATTTTAACTTGAGATTATTGAAGAAGCTAGATTATGTAATTTTGCACTAAGAAACCATCTTTGATTCTTAACTAATGTGATTGGATCAATTGATTTAAAAAAAATTATGGACACTGCTTTAAAATCATAAACTTTTTATAAATAATAGATTTTCAGTTAGCATTTTACAAAAATGTTCACAGCATTATTTTATTTCATTTTAGATATTACTATATATTTTATGATAAGCTTAAAAGCTGTTTGAGTTTCAACCTGTCAGCACTGTGATCATATGTATGTGATTTTCCCTTAACAGCTAACAGTATCATATAGGAAACAAGACTTTTTGACTCTAGTACCGCAAGACCACATGAACGTGGTCTCAGTTCAGTACTCTTGTTTTACATCTTATATTGGTATCTAGACAGAATCTTTAGTACTTATTAACTCGGAATATACAGCCCAGGTGAAGTGTTTCTTTATCTCCTGCTGGTCCTGAAGGGGTTAAAAACCATTAAGGTGGAATCTGAAGAAAAAAGAAAATTAAGGCGGTTAACATTTTGACGATTGTAAATTTTATTAAAAACTGACTTTCAAAATTTTAATTTTACTCTAGGATCATATGGTTTACCAAAGCCCTGGTACTTTCCATTCACCAAGTCCTACTGGTTTAGTAGTCCTAGAGGTGAGGTCGAGTGCAGCTGTTTCAGTGATTGTTGGCGTTATTTACAAAGACATAAAAAGTGGGGCTTATCTGTTATGGAAGAAGATGGAGCTTGTGCCATGACTAATAGAACAGGTGAGTTAAATTCTAATTGTCTTACTAATTTAACAATTTAGTAAAAAATAATTGCTGTTTTTTACATTAAATTTGTACATTATTACACACATTCTCTCTTTTTTAAAAAAAATAAATGTATGTTTTCTCTAGTAATAAGCCAGATTCAAGCTTTCTTAATGAGGTAAAAAAAAAACTAAACTTGATTTGACTGTCGTATACCCATCCATTGTTTTAAAGTAGTTTTTGGACTCAGACGAGATCGAGATTTTAACAAACTTTTGATATAAATTTTTAAACAAACTTTTTAAGCAAAGTTATACCTTAATAAAATTAATTTCTTTTATGTGCATATGAGAAACTTATTGGTTATTCAGTAAACTTGGGGGAATATCCAGTTTGTGGTTAGTCAGTGCTCTTGTTCTAAGAGGAATTCTGGTATTTATCTAATGCTACAGTTAACATGATTTTTAAATTTTACTATCCTTTACCATTCATTCAGCGCTTCGCGCTGTCGTGCCACAGGTCCCTGGTTCGATCCTCGGGCCGGGCAGGGTTGACTCAGCCTTTCATCCCTTCAGTGGGTCGATAAATGAGTACCAAGCATGCTTGGGAACTAAACACTGGGGGTTCCGCGTTCGGCAGACCACCTGACCGGAACATCTGCTCCTGCACCCCAGAGCCCAAGGTCAAGAAAACTGAGATGGGCACAGTAGGCCTTGGCCCTCTATGGGCTGTCGCGCCACTGAGTTTAGTTTTTTACCATTCATTCTGAAAGATTCTGTCTTTTGATGTTTTGAATGTGAGAATTATATTCTTGGATATTTTATATATGGGGATTCTGTTTTTAAGTATTTTTTAAATATGGATTTTGCTCAACATGGATGAGTGCATGGATTTCATCTGTCCCAAAATATTTTGTTTGTAGGGTTTTTGCTGCATGATGTTTTGAAAAGGTATCTAATAATATTTTTTTATTTATTATTATTTTTTTATTTATTTTTTTGCATTTGCAACATGTTTTGAAATAAATGCCAGGGACAAAATAAATGGAGATGATTTTGCACAATCAAATGTATGTTGCATGTTGCATAAGCCATGCAGCGCCACCTGTAGTTAAGCAGACTCCCTCTACATTCACTTCACTCACAGCTACGGGGAGAGAGCTCATTAAGATGTTCCAGCTCTAATTATTTTGTATTGCCATTTAAGTGTTTTTTGTCATAATAAAAGCTTTAAAACGCAACCCTAGACTGCTTTGAAGCTTCATCGATACTCCCTCTCCGTAATATGTATATAGGTGATATCTTTAGTGAATTATTAGCAAAATTTGCTTATCCATGTTTTTTTTTACTATTTATCGCTGCTTATAATCAAGATTTTGCTGTGTATCGTCTTTTATAAAAATGAAAAAGTTTTATGAAGGATCATCAATAAATATATCAGCAATATATTTGTATTTATTTTTCGCAACATGCAGATTTGATATTTAATTTAATTATTTCCAATAAGTTTGAACTGAAAAGAAAATCATGTAATTTGTATCTTTCAATAGTGATCTCTACTACAAAAAATTTAAATTCAGGTTCTCCTAGCTCTCATGCAGCCTTTTTAAGCTATTTAAATATACAAAATCTAAAACACTTCCTTCTCATTGCAGGGGTTCTCAATGTGTTTTAACCAAATGGATGTTTGTTAATGTAGTAAATTAATTTGAAATTTTTGTAGGTGATTCTACATATTTTGAACCAGACCCTACAAATCTGCCATTAGGTGTTTGTATTGAAAACTTAGTTAAGGTGAGCTCATATTAGCTAATTTAACATGCAATATTGTAACATAAAAAATATGATTTTGTATAAGTTATCCTTAAATAAATTTTTTAATAACTTTTTATAACAATGAGAAATATTTTTTGTTACACTATCATCATTTATTCTTTTAACAACTTATATTTTATTTTTAAACTAGAATGCGTACCGTACATCATAATTTACAATTCAAAACTTGTTGAAGTATTTTAGTATTGAAGTGTTTATCTGCATGAATCTATAAGAAACACTCCAAATACTGTTCTTGCTTTTGATTGCTTTAATGTTTAGAAATAAATTATCTAATAATTGGATCTCTAACAATTAATTGATTAGCATTTAAATTAGTTTGCTTTAACTTATATATTCTTAAAAAAGTCCCTTTTAAATAAAGTAGTACTTTTGCGCTAGTTCTTTCATGAAAAACATATACTTCTGCAATTATGAACACGATTTTACTACATTAATTATTTAGACAACTGATTAATATCATTTGAAATGATTTATCAGTTTAATAAATTCTTAATTGAAACTATGAAAGTGTTTTATATAGACATGGACATATTTACGTAACATAGTTTACATATGTAACACAGACATAGTAGACATAGTTTACATATTTCTTTTTAATTTTCATTAAATATAAGATTAATTTTTTAAACACATTCAAAAGGGAGAAGTATATATCTGGAAAGAATTGAGTCTTCAGATGCAATCTGACTTTCTGTTTTTTGTTAATTTTTTTTTTTACCATTTACAAAAAAATTCTTTTACCAGCCAAAGGCATATGTTTTCAATATTGTATTCCCTCTGTATTGAGTGTGCAGAATTAAAATTTTTGAAAGTTTCTTTTCTCCTTTTTACCAAAATGTTAATAATCTGTTTAGGGTCATGGAGTCTTGTTTTTTTTTTTTTTTTTTTTTNTTTTTTTTTTTTTTTTTTTTTTTTTTTTTTTTTTTGTTCTTATTGATGCTGTTCTTCATATTTTTCAAGACCATTTTATGGATTCTTAAAAAATCTAACTATACTCATTTCTAACCCTCTTAAAAAGCTGTAATTAATGATCTGTGGAATTTTTTTTTAATGTCTAAAACCAAAGCTTGACTATTTATTTAATTAATGTTCTTGAATGCAAATGTTTAAACTAAAACTTTTTTATTTGTTTTTGTAATGTTCTTGGATAGAAATATTCAATGCCACAACATTTTGTTTTATGTGTTTATTAAGCTTATATATGTTTATTAATTTGTAAAGAGTACATACTATATTTTTAAACATATTTTCTAAATAACAATTAATTTCTTCCATGAAAATAAAGTAATTTCATATTATATCATTTTAGGCTTATAAATCTGGAAATAAAGTTGCTGTTAATAAATTAAGCCTAAATTTATATGAAAATCAAATAACCTCTTTCCTTGGACATAATGGAGCTGGGAAAACAACAACCATGTGAGTAGTTTTAATCATCATAATTTCATATAATCTTTATGTGTTACATATTCACATAATTTCATTCTTTATTCGTGTGCATTTAAAAATTAATTGCGCTTTTTTGTTGTTGTAAAATTTAGGTCTATTTTAACTGGTCTATTTCCACCATCTGCAGGATATGCCATAATATATGGGCACGATATCAGAACAGAAATGGATTTAATTCGGCAAAGCATGGGGATGTGTCCCCAACATAATGTGCTGTTCGAAGAGTAATTTCATTATTTTTATTTTGCTTTTCATATTACATTTGTAAATATGTTGCATTTAAATTAATTTCTGTAACCGTAATTAGTTGATAATTTGAGTAAAATAACTTCATTAGAATGTTCTCCTTTTTAGAACTACTTAGAATATTTAAGTATTTATTTTTTATTATATTTTAAGTGTTCAATTGATTTTAATTAAATCTTCCTAAAGATATTAAATTATTACTTTAAAAGTTGTAGTAATAAATCCACTTCATTTTAAATTTATAAATGTTTAAAAAAAATTTCATTATCTTTATAAGCAATTATTTAGTAACTTTTCATAAATATTTTATTTAGCTTTAAAAATAATTATGTCATCACATCAATTTTTAACTAAATTGACCTTTTTCTTACTTTTTACTTTTCCTTTTATTATTCTTTTATTAAACTTATACAAAATGCTAAAGTGTATTTATTTAATTTAATATTTGAATTACTCCTTTTTTTTTAAACATTTATTTAAATATNTAATATATATTTATAATTATATTATAATTAATTTATAATATATATTTATAATATATTTTTATACTCAAATATTATATCTATTCAAATATTATATTTAAAAAAAATGATTGTAATAAAATAAAAATTGATTACTAATACAATTGCTTAAAAAAAACTTGGTTGATGAATTGATGTATTTTATTCATATCATGCTTTTAATTCCATTTAATTATTTTTATATTGATTATAATTCATATAAGTTAATTTGAAAAAAGGTAGTTTAGTTATAGATTTTGCTGCAGTTTAATTCTACAGTCAAAGAACGAGTTTTCTTTGAGTTATTAACTTGCAATAGTATATTTTTAAGAAATACAAGTCAATAACTCTAAAGATTATTGCAAAAATAACTCAAAGGAAACTCAAAAGTGTAATTTTAGAAACTGAATAATTACAGAGATACTTTTTTGACTTGAAAATCTTTGCATTAAAAAGTACAGATTGACTTTTTTTCTAAGAAGATTATTCTAGCATGGTTTTCATTAAAACACCTTTCATCATGTAAAGCATCTTTCATTAATTATTAAGTATTAGTTAACTTTCAAAATTAGAATTCTACATCATAGTTTGGTGTATATTTCACTTTTTTAATTTTAAAACTTGCGAAATAAATATAATTATATATAAATTTTTTAATTATATATTTATTTATTATAAAATATAAATATAATTAATTATATATTAACTATTTCTATTTTTTTATGTTATAGTTTGACTGTTGAAGAACATTTATGGTTCTATGCTAGCTTGAAAGGTGTTCAAGAAAATAGTTCGGCAGAAGAAATGGATAAGTAAGGATCTGTCTTTTCTTTTACTTATTGTGATTCGATCAACAAAATATGTTTCAAAATATTAAATGCTTGTCAAAAAGCTGATTAAAATACTTATTTTCCTTTCTTAACCTTCCATTTTTCTTAATTTCATGTTTAGAATTTTCAGGAGATTTATGAAACAATATATACTAAGTATACTTGTATACTAAGGAAATACTTGCATACTATACTTCTATACTAAGGAAAGTATGCATGAATCATTGATGTAATATGTTTTATAAAATAACATGAAAAATCCAGTTTGTATTGAAAGATGAAAATTTCTTTTCAGGCACTTAAAAATCATCATAAAATTTATACTTACTCATTTTGAGTAATTTTTTTTCATGAATGTTCATGAAAGTATTTGAATATTTTTTTTATAATCAATAATGCTACAATTGTGTCTGATTTTTTGTTTTGTTTATGATTTTAATCCTTTCTTCGAATATTAATTTAAATAATTCTGACAAACATGTGTTCACCAAAGATAATTCCCGTTGTGATAGATAATATCTTTTATTATGAATACATCATTGAACAATTGATCTTTTGCATTTTATTATGTTTCAAAGTTAACTGTCAAAGATTTTATAGTTGATTATTCTTAAGATTCTTCTCAAATCAAAACATAGTTAATCACACACGTGGATTTTATTTTATTTTATAATTGTCGTTGAACAGCCGACCCAATTTTTGGGTTTACAACTATAAATGTTCAACTCCGTAGCCTTATAATTTTAAACCAACCCAGAAGACAACGAAACTCGTGGATAAGTTCCCCCCAAAGTTATGATTTGTTATGGGAACATGGGGGACTTTATGATTTGACAAATTTAACGTGCACCAGTCACTTATTACTACATGGGGAATCTTCGGCCAGTTGGGATCAAACCCAAAACCTCTTGAACATGAGTTCAGTGCCCTACCAACCAGACTATCCTGGCCTACACATATGGATTTTATAACAGTTGTTGAATAGCCGACCGAATTTTCAGTTTACGGCTACCAATGTACAACTCTGTAGCCTTGTAATTTTGAACCCAATCCAGAAGACTCCTGGATCAAATATTGGGAGAAATTTGTCTTCATGGAAGACTTTTTGACGGAACTAACCCACGTTTGTGTTACATGGAGAGGAAAACCATGAAGACCTCCCACAGTTAGCCTGATGGCAAGGGGACTATATCCCATGATCCGTCTACCACTCAGGGTATTTTACATCAGCACTGTGGTTTGTGCGATTGGTATTTTTCTCCTCAATCTTATCAATAGAGTGTTCCGAATGGAACTCCTTGTGTAGCAGAATTGTTTGAACCTCTCTTTTTAACCGCAAAGGTGGAGGATAAGAGATTTTGGTATACAGTTAAGAAATCCTGCCCATTGTGCATCATCTAATCCAAAAAGCTTTTGTTTTCAGAAATCCCCCAAATACCCAGTTTTTAAAGTTCTGTTTATGTGTAACAAGTAGGAGAGAAAAATTAAGAATAATTTATAGACTGTAATTACAAATAAAATTTCTACAGATTTAACATCAAGAAGTTTTCCCTTTTACAGTTCAAAGTTAGATTTTAATTCTAAATATGATTAAGTTCATGTGTTTTAACCTTTGTTGATTTATTGAATATGATCCCGACTCTGGATTTTAGGATGATTCAAGACCTAAATCTGCCTCTGAAACGTCACGATAAAATAAAAGTATTGTCAGGTGGGATGAAGAGGAAACTCTCTGTTGCCATTGCATTTGTTGGGGGATCTAGAGTCGTCATTTTGGATGAACCCACTGCTGGAGTTGATCCTTATTCAAGAAGAGCTATTTGGGATTTGATTTTGAAGTATAAAAAAGGTAATGTAGAAAAAATTTACACTTATGCTGGCATTTAGTCAAAACCTGATATTCTTGCTTTAGTAATGTCACATAATTATGTAATATTAAAGATATTTATTTTGACAGTTTTTTTTAACTACAATAGAATCTAAAGAATCTGAATATCTTTATTTAAAATTTAAATTCAATTATTAAAATTTTCAAACTTCTTTTAAAGGAAATCAATTCTGTAATTTTTTTTCTAATTTATAATATGCAAGACTGATGCTGTGCTCTAAGGCTTGATCTTTTTTAACTATTTTTTATTGCTCCAATTAATTATAAACTTTATGTGCAAATGGTCAATTTTTTGATACCCAATGTAGCTTGTCATAACTTGTTGAAACTTAAGGTTATGAAAATCCATGTTTTAAATTTCTGGCCATGAAAATATTTTCCATGTAGCTATAATGGCCAATGTAACATTCTCCCAGGATTCCCACCAGCTAGGAAGAACAGGTAAAATCTGAAATGGCAGGGAATTTTAAAGTTGCATTTTTTTGGCTGAAACCTAGAAAATAACCAGTCTTAGAATTGTTAGCAACAGTAATACGTTATTGAGATTCGTGTTAAATAGTTTTAGTATCTATTACACTTAATTTGTTGTGAAAATTCAAAATTTTATTGAAACTTTTCCTTATTTGATGATGTTTATTTGCTCAGAAATTTGACATTACAAATAACAAAAAAAAAAAGTTTTCTGATACAGAATTGCATGGTATAGATAATATGTGGACTGGATTTGCATGGAAATTTCCCTGAAAAACCTGGAAAAATCGGGGAATTTTTATTTCTGAAATTAAGTGGGAACCCTGTTCCCATTTATATCCATATGCACCAGCAGATATAACTTTTTCGTAGCTCTAATTTGTAGATATAAATTTAGTGCTTTATTTCAACTTCTGAAACACAGCACTCACTTTCAAATAGAGTTATAATGTTTGAGTCAAAATGTATTTATTTCTGAAATATGATTCTTGTTAATTAATTGCAAACTATAATTTAACTACTAACTACTGAAATATGATTCTTGTTTATCAATTACAAACTATAATTTAATTACTAACTACTGAGATATGGTTCTTGTTAGTATTTCGAGCCTCAAGCAACTTTAAACATAACATGTAATTATAAATGAAATCTCAAGATGGTCCACCTTTTAATAACCTTTTTATCATGATAAGAAATTCCGTTTATGTTTCAGGTGGGAGAAGATTGAAAAAACTCTTTTATACATGTTTGAATTCTTAAATTTTTTTCTAATGCTAAGCATTTTCTGGAGCTATCAACAACAGCAACAAAAAAGAAGTAAATAATTCTATGAAGTTAGGAATATAATAGTTATAACACTTTCACTTTCTTCATTCAGTATTTAATTTTTTAAGTTTAATGGCAAAAGTGTAACAATAAACTTCTGGGATCCAAAATATTATTATTTATTGAAATAGGTTTGGTTTAGAATATTTTGGATAATTAAGGCACTATCTTTAAATTACTCTTAGTTATTTATTATTTTTAAAGTTATCTGAAATGACAAATTTTTAAACAGGAAGAACAATTTTGTTATCTACCCATCATATGGATGAGGCTGATGTACTTGGTGATAGGATTGCTATTATCAGCAATGGACAGTTACGCTGCTGTGGAACACCATTGTTCTTAAAGAATAATTTGGGTGATGGGTATCACCTTTACATGGAAAAGATGCAGGATGATGAAGGAACTCCCAAAAAAGGTAAAATAAGTGTTAAAATTATTATTTACATCTCTTTTAGTCTCTAAATGAATGTTTGTTGTTTAAGTACCATGTTTCATGAAAACAAAATACCTAGTCAACACTCTCACTCAGTCACACTTAAAGACTATGTATCATGTTTCNTTTTCAAATTTATAAATTGATTTAAATCAATATGCGTATGAAGTCTTGATAGAAATCTGACTTTCTGTGCCTTAAAGTAAATGAAATTCAAAAATACTATATCGCGATACATCGCTATATCGCGATGCAAAACTGACGATATATCACGATATATAATTTCTAATATCGCCCAGTCCTAGTGTTTACTATTAAAAAATTATTATGTTATATTTTTCATCTATTTATTATCTCTCCCTTTTTAGAAAAATAATCTGATGAATTATAATTTTACGCATATTTGATCTCAGGGTTCTAGAGGGAAGGGTATAGGACAGTATGTAATCTCCGAAATCCATTAACTATGTTTTTTGCTTTGATTCGAACGCTTAAATTTTTTTCGTGTGCAAAAACTTATAAAATCTACTCCAGAATTTTCAGTTTTTTATTACGAATTTTGTTTTATACCGAACATTATTAATTTGAGTTATTATAAACATTATTATTTTTCTTTATCCTACTATGAGATTTAATCAGTTTTTGATTTTAATCAAGCATTCTTCATCTGTACATTTAGCAATACAATATGAGTAGAGTACAGTTGGTCACATAATTTAGTACAAAAGCGCCATGACCTGTGATCTTTCTACCTGTAAACTTGGCTGTAATGATTGTAAACTGACCTGATTCATTTGTAGTTCAGAAAAGAAAACAGCTGGTACTCAAAAATATTAGCTTCTTCTTTGAAAGAATTCATTTTCTAAAAGAGAGTTCAATGCTGAGTCAATTAATAAGTATTTAATTTAGTTTGTTTAATCAATCAAAGGAAATTTTAAAGAAGTCAACTTTAATTGTAATAAGTTTTTTTCTTTTGAAGATATAATTCACATTAGTCACACTGCTTACATACTTTCAGACTGTTTGCCAAATGTAGTTTATTAGTTTGACAGCATAGGTTGCACTTACGGGAATGTTTTGTAACAATGAGGACACATTTTTATTGTAAATTATGATAAATTGTGGCATCAATACATTTTTCTGTAATTATTTATCTTATTTGTACACGTGAGTAAAAATATCTGTACATTTTATATTTTTCTAATGAGTGTCCAATTATAAATGTAGTTACCTAGTTTAAATCCAAATCGTTATGTATTTTAGTTTATTTCTGGTGCAGTTCAAGAAGTGATTAGTAATTCAAGAGTCGCTCGCAAAACCTCTGATGTTTCCTCTATTTAATCAAAACTAGATCATATGCAATTTTAAACAGTGAATATTAATCATGTGCTGTACTATTTTTGCAGTCTATATATCAATATAATTAATTGAGTAATTCATTTTCATTGCTTAATAAATGTATTTATTTATTAGATTATGCTGAAAAGAAAGTGACAGAGTTCATCACAAATCATGTTAGTTCTGCTTATCTCGTATCCGACAACAAACGAGAGCTTCACTATATTCTGCCCATAAGTGAGCTTAGAAAAGGGAGCTTTGAAAAGCTGTTTACAGCTTTGGAAAATAGCCTCTCTGATTTGGGAATAGCTAGCTATGGAATCAAAAACACTACTCTCGAAGAAGTGTTTTTAAAAGTTGCAGAGAAGGTTCGGCATGAAGGTAATTATTCTATGATATTTTTTAATTTTTCAATTTCATTGGTTTATAGCAAATTTAATACCGAGTTTCTCCAAAATGACTTATTAAAAATTTAAATAAAGAAATGTCGAAGAATATTATAATTTTTTATGCATATATATATTAGAAAACATGCGCAAAGTACCATTTTGTTTTAAAATAGAAAAGCTAATCTGTATTTAATTATGAAGCTTAAAAATGTTATTTTTGAATTAAAATATGTAGGAATTTTCTGTTTATGTACAATTTTGCACTTTTATGTTATACAATTCTGTAATTTCTCATGTAACAATGGTAAGTTTTTATTGCTATTAAATTTATTTAATGTGTTTTGGAAATATGCCAAAAAATCCCTCATTAATTCTATACTAATATATGTCAATATCGTAGTAACAATGCTCTATTTTTAACTAAAGAAATCTTCACATGTGGACTGATTCCATAAGATTAATATTTTGTTATTTTTCCAACATAGTGGAAGTAATTAATACACTTCTTAGAGATTCATTTTTCCAGTGATGTTTTCAAATATTGTCTTTAAACTAATTTATTTTAGAAATTTTCTCTCCGTTTGAAACATTAGTAAAGAATGCTGAGAAAAGTAACATCAGAATTTTATGAAAACAGATAAGAAATTATTTTTCGTAGATTTAATGTGGGATTTTTTTTAGAATGTTAATGTTATTTATCCATATTATTTTTTGATCTTAGCAGTTTAGGAATTTTTTTCGTGTTTTAAACAGTTTCAGGTTCTGTGTGATGCTTTACCAAATATAATAGAAATAATTTACTAATTTACTTTTAAAAAAAATTTAATTTTCTGATTTTTTTAACACAATTTGTGAATTTGTTTTGGAATTTGTTTTTTTATATATGAGTGTTTATTTCATAATTTATCTGACTATATTTTAATAAGAAATACATTTAACAGAGGTAAGTAAATATTTTTTATTGAATTCTCATTACATGTATGTGAAATTCTCTCTTTGAAACTTATAATTGTGAATCAATAATGTTTAAATTTTCATTTCAATACTCATTATATCAAAACTGCTCTTAGATTTTTCATTTCAAAGTGATAGCTGCTCAAAGCAAGGAATGTATGACTCTGTACCATCCTCAAATCAAGATGACATTACTGTCAAATCATCTGAAGTCATTTTAAATGACTCATCTGATAACAATGTATTAAAAGACTCTAACATTTTAAATTCGACTTGCAATCGAACAAAGTCTGCAGATGACGGAAAAGCTGATTATTACCAGTTACCGGCAAATGGTGTACTGAAAGATCAAGAGGGTATGAGGTGCAAAACTATTATGCATGCTGAATATTTGCATGTAAGATGATTTGGTGGACTTTTCTTTGTTGCTTTTACTTTTTTTGTTGCAGTGGCTGGTTATATATCTTTAAATATAAAAATAATTCATTGATCTTTGTATCCTGCATGCATCCTCAAAGTAGTCTCTAACACTGCTTGGACTTTATAGATTTCCTATTAATCTAGTGATGGTACTGATATAATTATGTTAGTAACAATTACTCCTATTAGAATTAGAATAGCAAAGTATGGCTGTAAAATAGGTTCATGTTTTCATGTCTTATTACTGGTAAACTATTAGGGGAATATTTATTACAGGCCCTATAATAAAAATTTGTTTCAATAAATTTCTTATTGTAGCCTTATTACTTCTAATAAGTTACTTATTCCATCTATATTCCAATTATATAACTATTGGAATAAGTTACCTATTCCAATAGTCCTAATTACTAATTAGTTAGTAAGTAATCCAACTAATTACTTAGACTATTCGTTAAAGTTACTTATTAATGGCTCTATGATAGAAAACTATTTGATGAAATTGCTTATTATAGCTTTGATACAAGAACATAATTTGATAATGCAACATATTGGAGCCTTTACAATAAGAAGTTATTCAAGATAATTGTATTATTGGAGCCTCTTCACGAAATATAATATTTAATAGAAAAGTCTTTATTCACTGTTCATTTCTACAGGATCCTCAGCTGTTCAATTACACTTTGGCTTTTCTATCTTTATTAACATGTTCTATAAATTAACAAGGCTACTTTTAATTTCTAAGNAAATTATCAAAAATTAAACAGTAATATGTAGACTTTGGCTATTTTTGAACATATTTTTTAAATTAAAATATGCAATTCATAGAAAAAAAAATTCACTTAAAAGTTGACACTTTCGTGGAATTGCCCTTATTTAATTTCTTCTAACAGCAGTTATCATTTTTCAAGATGCTACCGTAACTTTAACTAATTTAATCTAATATCAATTTAATTTAAACTATAGTCAGTTTTTACTTTATCATGCTTAACCCTGTGTTGGTCAAGAAAGTTGCCTATAATATAGTTAAATCTTGTCATCAATTTTCTGTATTTTTTGAGAAATAAGGAAAATAAATTGACCATTTAGATGACATTATACAATACTATTTCTTACCTTTCCATACATTAAATAATCAAAAATATGTTATGCAAAAGCAGATTATTCATGTAAAAAAAGATTATTCATGTAAAAATCAATGCAATATTTCATGAAAAAATCAATCTAGTCTTTCTGTACACCCTTTTCTGCATGCTTGTATATTTCAAAAATGTGTTTTGCGAAACGAAATGTTCAATATTTATAAATACTGAATTTATAATGCTGAATTATTGTCTTGGAAATCTTTTTAACCTTTAAAATGTTAGCAATCCTAATTTTTCTTTGAGTTTCTTCAAATATAAATTCTAGAAAAAAATATTTTATTGAATATCAATGTGATTCATTAAATTACATATTCAACTTATTATGTTAATATTTTCAGTAATAACATAGATTTTAAATGATTGTGTTAACAGTAATAGCACAGTCTTTTAAAATCTTTTTGATCTTTAAAATGTAAGCAATCCTCATTTTTTATTAAGTTTCTTCAATTGTAAATTCTAAAAAAAAAATATATTTTATTTAATCTCAATGTGATTTATTAAATTATATATTCAACTTACTTTGTTATTATTTTCAGCCACCACTGAAAAGTCATACCTTGGACTTGACGGTGCCGGCAGCTACAAAATTGAAGGAAACATGTTGCGTTTTCAACAATTCATGACAATTCTGTTAAAAAGATTTTACTGCACTAAAAGAAATTGGAAAGGTCTCTTCTCACAAATCTTGCTTCCAGCTTTTTTTGTCAGCATTGCAATGTCAGTTGCCCTGACAGCTCCCAAAGTTGAAGATCTTCCACCCCTGACACTTAGTCCATCCCAGTATTATAACTATACTCAGCCTCAAGGCAATGTGATACCTTTTTGTAGAAATAGATTAGACATTACAAATGACGAAAGGTGTGCTATATTAATGTTATTATATAGTTATAGTTACAATAATTTCATATCAGTTCTGCTTTTTAAAAGAAATGTAAACAGGACTTTACTCTGTGGGATTTTTAAACTTCTTATTTATACTTTGTGTTCAAATTTGAAAAGTATGTGTTTAGAAGATTGCGTTTTTAGAGAATTGTTTCCCTTTTTTGGACCACTGTACATTTTGGTTTGTTATTTTAACAGTGTAAAATTCCAAAATAAATTTTTTATTTTTTAATTTTCTTGAATTAATTTTCCTGAAATTTAAAACTTAATCTTCATAATAAATTTAACAATAATAAATTTCCTAAATTTTTATTTAAAAATCTTAATCTTAATTTTTTTTCAAATTCAACATTAATAAAATTATAAATTTTCCAGGGTCATCTCTTTTGAAAGATTCTAAATTCCTTATTTATTTATTTATTTATTTTTTTATACTTCATATTATACATTTAATATTAATTCTGGCTTAAATTTGTATTTTACAGGTTCTTTTTTCAACACGAAAAACAAAAAAAATTCTTAATTCTGATAAGTTTTTTTCTTTATTTAATTTATTCGAAACTCATCTTATACGTTTAGGAAATACGTTGTTATTAAATGTTTGGTAATGCTTAAGTACTGCACTTGAAAATTTAGTGCCTCTAAACCTAAAAAGTAAACAAAATTGAAAGTTTAAAACAGTGAGTGATTGACGGCTATAATTATTGTACAAAATAAATAAAGTGAGGTGGTATGCCAAAGAAAGAACTCATGTATAATCTCAAAATCATTGGCTCTTATAGTCAATCTCATACATGAAAAGCAGTAAAAAATTCTGCTGTAACCTTAATCAAGAACCTATATTAAAAATCAGGTTTTAATTTAATGAAAGATTAAAAATCTTTATTGTTTTTTTGTGTCTTTATATTTTTTACTCACTTTTGCAGATGGTCAGAGGATGCAAATTCTGAACACATTTATGCAACACTGTACATGCCTTCTGGAGTGGGTGCTACATGCGTTTTGAAATCGCCATTCAACAATAGCTTTGATGCTAGAATGAACTTTTCTGCCAGAAACTATGATTTATTATCGGCATACTTTGAACCATCATGTGAAAGTGTATTTGTTCCTGGACTGCCATTGGATAATTTTGTTCCCCCTCCTCCAACAAACAGCCCACACATCTCCAATTTACTGTTTAATTTTACGACAGTTAGAACCACAGGTGATAGTTATTTGAAAATATGGTTATATTGATTTGCTTTTCCATTTTTCTTTCTTGATTATCACATCAGAAGCTTAACTTTTCTTTTTATGATTCTTTCTCAGCTTTAAATATCTTTCTTTACCTCAAGGATGTGCAATCTATAGCCCACAGGCCAAAATTGGCCCTCAAAATTTATAACTCGGCAGCTGAATAAGTTTAAACTTAATAGAAGATGCAGAAAAAAAAGAAACTAATTAATACCGAAATATAAAAATCTAGAATATATTTTTTTCTGCCTTAGGAAAAATAGACGTTAGCAAGCTAATTTTTTTTACTGGTCATCCTGCTCTTTTATTCTTCCCTTATTATCTTAGTGTAATCGTGACCTTAATTGAAACCATTTCACTTTTTAAGTTTTATACGTGACTATGAATAAACATGGCTTCCACTGCCTTAAGATGCCCTTTTGATATTTCAATTTTTATTGTTTCTTTCTTTCTTTTTCATTTTTGCATCAGACTTAGTTTACTTTGCTATTCAATTCTGTAACCTTGAGTGCATACATTTTTTTTTAATTGGCTGAGCTTTATAGATGCACATTTCTATTGTGTTTTTAAAATCTATATTCATTTCTACTTTATTTTTTAAAAAAAAAATCTCATCATTTTAACCAGATTGAAAGAGTCTAGGATTATTAAGGATTGACATTTGTCCTAAGAAATTAAGACTCTGTAAATTTTATTTATTTAAACCTACCAAAAGATTTGAGTATGTTAAACTTATATGATTGTATTATAAAACAACACAATTTTTCGAAAAAAAAGCTCAATTAAAATTTTTATGTTTGGTAAGTAGGAGCCCTAAATTATCAGGTAAACAGAGTCGTACATAGACTATATATGCATTTTGGAGATAATAAAAAATTAATTTCTCTCTTAAAAAGTTTTTCAAATTAGTTTGCTTTTTAAAATACTTTTTACTGTAAATCTCATGAAGTGTTAAAAAAAATTGATTTGGCAAAAATCACTACATTCAAAGGAAACCACAATAAAATCCAAACCTGAGGAACTTAATGTTGAACTCAATTTATATCTTTTATGACATTTCTTCTTCAGGTAAATTTAGATCCCTAAACATTTAACCCTTCAACACAGATGAGACACCAGTGTACTTTTTATTTTTTTCTGATGCACTAATTACAAGCAAAAATATATTTGCCTCAGCTTTATAGCTACACATTTTTATTGTGTTTTTAAAATTTACATTCATTTCTACTTCATTTTTTTTACAAAATTTCCGTTATGGAAAGAGTGTCTAGAATTATTTTACTTAGGGTCGTCTCTTGTTCTAGGAAAGTATGACTATGTAAATTTCATATATTTAATACCACTGGTGTCCTTTCTATATTTTTCTGGCGCTCTAATTACAAGCATATATATATTTTGGTATCTTTTGATTATTAAAAACAGTCTAATTATTTCTAAAAAAATCTGCCAGATTNATATAAAATTTTTAAAAAACAGTCTTAAGAGCAATCTGATTTATATTTGTATAAGTATATTTGTACTAAAAATATGAAATCCAAAAAGAGGTTTTAAATGTTTTTTAAATTCATATTTAAAAATTTATCTATAATTTATTTTGTAAATTAAAGAAATTTCAATGATAAATAACTGTTTTATCTTAAGTCTAAATAGATGCAAGTAAGTGCAAATTCAATAAAAAAAAAGAATTGTTTGGGAGAAAATAACTGTTTGCTTTTCATGCTGTATTTCGTAACCCTACATTATTAAGATGTTAAATGTAACATTTTAGATTCATTTTGACCTAAATTGATATAAAATAATGAAAAAGCAAGAAAAATATGTTTATTCAAAATTCTGCTTTAAAGAATTAAGTGTCCTAGTAATCTTCCCCTTTATTTGGTCTCCTTTATTTTATACAACCATTTGACTTCCCTGCCTCCCAAGGTTTGTTTGATGGAGTGCAACTGATTCCTGTTCTTGGCCATTTAAACTATACATACAATCTTATCTCTTCAATTTGTAAATATGTTATTTTGCTATAAATGTGTATCTATTGTAGAGTCACCAACAAGATATTATCCTACTTGCCATTGTTCTGATGATAAGACAGGTTATGTGTGTGAAGAGTATTATTCTGATCCACCATCTTTTAAAGTGGTAACGAGTGATGTTTTGCTTGATGTGAGTGGCCAAAATGAACACGAATATTATCTGTACACAACAGATCTCTTCAGATTGAGAAGGTAAAGCTACCACTGTACTGATTTAATTGCGATGATGAAAATGTACTGTTATATAAACTTTTAAGTTAGTTTTCAAATCCATATTTGCCCTAACTTCAGATTAAATAATTTAAAGTGTTTTTCTCTGTTTATATTAAAGATTGTACTAAATAAAGTTTTTCCTTCTTCTGCAATGCCCGCACAAAGGACTTAAAATAATTAGCTTAATATCAAAGTATTAGCCAAATTTTGAAATTTTTAGCAAAAGATAAATCTTAAAATTTTTTTATGATTCATTTTTTTGCATAAAAAATTTCAAATCAAAATATTAATTTACTATGAAATGAATTATTTTGTAAAATGCAAATTCGAAAAAAATTTGGGTGGAAATTGATTTCTTATGTTGTAAGGTTTATATTAGTGGTCCTGTTACTGTAAACATAATGATAAAAATTTTGAAAAAGACATAATACAAATAGATACAATACTAAAGATTAAAGCTCTTTATTTAGAGTTGGTATAATACTTTTACATTTTTCAGGTATGGAGCTTTTTCTTTTGGACTGATTAGAGATTATGTTCCAAAAAATTTTGGAAAGAATGCACCTCCCCTTTTTCAGAAAATAGCAGTCCGAAATATTGCAAAGGTAATGTTTTATTTTTCAGATATCTTTCAGCAATAATTTATTATAATGCCAAGATTTTTTTTCTTTCATGTTTAGCTTTGATTTTATCTATTCATTTTATTTTTCAGATATGGTACAACAATAAAGGTTATCACAGTATGCCAACTTACATCAATAGCTTAAATAATGCTATATTAAGAGCAAATATACCAAAATCTATGGGAAATCCTTCAGCCTATGGTATACATATTTTCACTTTATTTAAATGTAATAAATTGCATTGTGTAGAATTTAAATTATAGATAATTTATTAAATTTTATGTCGTATGCCTGATTAATGTATGTTTGTTTGCTGTATAATAATTTTTTAAAGAATAATTCTTTCATCAATTTGAAAAAACTAATTTAATGACATAAACAATATTTTATATCCTGCATATTTAGCTAATTTATATATAATGTTTTAAGATTATATACAATTTGTTAAGTTTTAGTAATAAGAACCATTACAAATTAATAGTAATGTCTTATTTTTTTTAATAGCATAAATTAGAGTTGTTTATGTGTCTAATTATTCTATGTATTTAATTTGTCTCTAATGAATCTAACTATTCAAGCTCTTATGATTGGATTGACATAAATAATTTTTTCTCAGTATAATTGAATATTAACATTCGTGTTTATTTTTAGGTATTACTGTTATAAATCATCCCATGACTGATACTTCATACTTATTATCGAAAGACCAAATGTGAGTTGCTTATTTTCATAAACATCATGTGTTTTGTATAATAAATTTAAATGAATCTTATTCATCCACAAGAATTCGAGCCGTGGTAGTCCAGTGGTCAGAGAATCAGACTCTTGTCTATAAGGGATGGGATTCGATCCTCCACTAAGCTAAAGACCCACCGAGTACATGCGATTGTGTGTTCCTAAAATTGAAAGTTCTGAGGTCAGTCGCTGAGCAGTACTATGGGTACAGGGATCTGGAGAAAATTTCCCTCCTCTTCAGATCCATGTCTAAATTGAGGAAGTGGCTTTACAAATGAGTGGTGCTGCCATCTATCCATGGGGCTCTGAGCTAAGATTGTACTTTCACCGTTGTGGTGTTCTCTTATCAAATCAAAGGTGCACCTTCCTGGCTTAATCCGATAAATGCCAATGGCTGACACGCTTGGCTTGTCCAAATGTCATTTGAAACAACAACAACCCATGAGGATGTTTTATTATATTGGTTATATTTTCTACAATTATTTTACGAGCGTGTTCAACATGTTTAATTCTTCTAGTTTATTGAATATTTCACTTTCAGATTATTTTTTTCAGAAATTCTACTTTCAAATTATTTTTTCAATGCATTTTAATTATATTGAATAAAATCCCCCCTCCAAAAAAAGTTTTTAAAAATAACGAGAAATACTTTACATAATTGTGTGCTATTTTAAGTCAGTTGTTGTGTTGTAATTGTTCTTTGTTTTCAGTCTTCAGGGTACAGACGTCCTTATCGCCATCTTCATCATTGTAGCTATGTCATTTGTTCCTGCCAGTTTTGTATTGTTTTTAGTCTATGAGCGTTATACTAAAGCAAAGCATTTACAATTTGTTTCTGGAGTGGATGCTGTGATATATTGGGTAGCTAACTATTTCTGGGACATGGTAAGAAATCTTGAGGATTTTTAATGATTAAAACTGTTATTTAAATTATTGTTAATTGTATATCTAAGAGGGGACACAACTGTAAAAGATTTAAAGGAATAGATTTTTATTTTGACATAATTTGAACATATGAGCAACTGAGAACATTTTTATATAGATGTAAGGTTTAATTTTTGGATTTTAAATTTTCTTAAACCTTAAAATATTTAGTTCAAATGTATATTACTCATTAAAATAAATATATATGTAGTTTTTTTTAACATTCTATGAGCACTATAGTTTTTTTTTGTTAGAGTTCATAGTACCTCTTTTCCTCAAATATATATTTATAGATAAATCAAATTATTAATAAAAGGGCAAAACAAATAAAAAACGTAAGTTTTTTTATTAAATGAATTTTTATAATTGAAAGTATTTAATTTTCGGAAAATATGTTACTAAGTTTACTGATGAAAATATTTTTGTTCAGAACACCAATTTTAAGATAAAAATTAGCATGTTTACTACCAACATGACTAAATATGCATACGGCCCTTGGTTTGTCAACCTGCTGTGCAAGCGGCCCTTATGTTGTCAATGTTGTGCACACCTACCCTTATGTTTGTGTAATGAATTAAGCAACATATGTGAAATGTAATCTTTGAAAGTTGTAATACTATCCTATTGTCTTTTTCAGTGTAGCTATGTTGTCCCTGCCACCTGTTGTGTTCTTATACTTCTCATTTTTGATATACCAGCTTATGCGTCTCATAAAAACTTCCCGGCTGTTGTGTCTTTGTTTTTAATATACGGGTGAGTCTATTTCTGGTATTACTATGTTGTTACCATACATTATGGAAAGTATTTGAAAAGATAAAGTTTATAAAAAAAATTTCTTCTCCCTTTTTGGAGTTATGTGATGTATAAAATAAAACGATAACTGTTCAAAAAGAAGGTGTAATACTATAAAATAGTTAATGTAAATGTGTGTTATGTAAAGAAAAAAAAATCTTAAAGAGCAGCACTACCGTAAGTTATGTACACTCTTTTTTTTAATTTGTGAATATAATAATGCATATTTACTATTAATATTATATTTAAACAACATTTTAAATTTCTTTTCATTTTGTCAAAAAAGTATTTTAACTTGTGAGGCCGAAATCATGTTTTTCAGTACATTTGAAATTAGCGTGGTCAGTTATTGGAATTGTGATCAGGTTATTTTCAAACATATAAAATTGGAAACAATTGAAGTAATGTAAGATTTCAAAAGAATGTAAAGTTTGAATAAGGCAGTTTTTTTACATCTAAAAGACTTTTTTGAGGTTATATAATTATTAATAGAAAGAATAAAAACTAAGCTACATTGAAAGAAATAAAAATGTTTTAACCTAGCAAAAAATGAAATAGAAATCTGTTTGCTCATAGTAAAAAGGCAAATTTAAGCTGCTGCTGTCACAACCCAGTATTAGCATCCATAACACCTGAAAAATTCTATTTTAAGGAAATATTTTTAATGAGTTATTTTCCACGCTTTCAGAATATATAAAAAAGATGAGTTTGATTTTTGGAAAGTTCAGAGAGTGTGTCTTTAATTGGTTTTCAATTAAAAAAAAAGTTCTCATTTTATTATGTTGGTATGGTTGTATGTAATGTTTGATTATTCATTATGTTGGCATTATATCCAATTTAAATTTCACACAAATTGGTTCTCTGGTTCGCTAATTAAATTAATAAACAGTAATTTCACGACATTTATATTTAAAATCTTAAATAAAGGCTTTTTCCATTATCCTTCTTAAGTATCTATTGATTATAACTGGAAATATAATGTTTTTTTTGGATAGAAATGTTAAAGTCATTTGATGAATGTGTTCAATTTAGAAATATACAAAAAAAATGATTGAATTTTTGAAAATGTTACCTTAATTAATGTTAATGCATGTCTTATCAGATAATATGAGTTATGATGCTAATATTATAAATTTTTTAAACAAATTTAGGTGGTCCATCACTCCAGTGATGTATCCTGTTTCGTTTCTGTTCAAAGAACCCAGTACTGCATACATATTTCTCATAGTTATTAATTTATTTGTTGGAATCACTTGTATAGTTACATCATTTTTACTAGAAGTCTTTTCTTACGATGCAGTAAGTATTTTTAAATTGTAATATGTGATTTAATACTTAAACCTTGCTAATACATTATTTTCTAGTTTGATTTAAATTAAAGATAGCAATTTTCTATTATATGTAGTATATTTTTCTCAAATTATTTCAATTAAAAACTCTATTTGTTTTATTCAAAACAAAATAAAATTTATTTTAATGACAGTTTAATTTTTTCATTTGTATATACTTGCCTTATGGTTCATTGTTTATTATTTGGGTAATGCAATAGTTTCTACTTAAGGCCATCATTTTGGGACACAATGATTTTGATAACATTAAGCAACAGATTACAATAATTGAATCACGAAATTAAGAACATTTACAAATTTATAAATTTTGCATAGATTGAGAGATACTATGTGTAACCTTATAATAATAAACTGCTGCAGCATTGCCTTGTCTCATTTTTCGTAATCGGTCACAACAACTTAATTTGTTGATTTTGTTTTAATGTTAAATCACTTCATGGTTCTCTGTAGAACACCAAAGTCAAGCATCCCTGGCTCTGGTCTGTAAGCGGGTGAGTGACCATTTTGATCAGCCTGTATAGGGACCGAGGGTGAGTGGTATCAGTCCCTGTTAAACTGTTCTACCTCAAAGTGCTCGACTATGCACGCAGGTCGTTAGGCAACTAAAGCACGTGAGCGATTACCCTGCAGAGGATCAAAATTGTGATCGCATATCTTTGGACATCCCTAGGGATGTTTCCCAGATAGCCACTAATAGCCTTTTATGCAGCTCTAGTGTGACGTCTAGTGTCAGATGAAATCGCCAAAGTCATGAAACTCGCCAAGAGTTTATGTAACGGAAATGCAAACTTTGAGAGAGGTTTCTCTGTAAACTCGCAATGTTCGATTGAAAATTTGAAAGAAGAGACTGATATCACAGAGAATGGTATACGATACTATTATTTCCACGGGGAAAAACGTAAATTCCTATAAAGTTTCAAAACAGCTTGTACAATCCTTCCGGAATGCTCATTCGTTGATGAAGGAAGATACAAAAAAGCATAATCTTGCAGATCAGGAAAATTTGGCTATTGAAGCCAAAAGGAAAAGAATAGGAAAAAAAAATTGCTAAATTTAAAGAAGATGATGCTACTAAAGAAATTAGTAACGTGATGGAGCAGATTGATTCTTTGTGAATTAATGTGAGAATAAACGTTTCTGTATGTTATAATGATTACATTTCATCATAATGGTATGAGTGATAATTAAATATTTTGATAGGGTTTTGAACAGTGATTTCTTGTATTTGTTTATTCAGTTATGAAGTTATATAACATTTTATGTACTAGGAGAAATATAAGCTTGCAGCATTACATATAATATCTACTTCATTTCCTAATGCATAATGTTTACATTATAATCTGTCCATTATTTTCCTTAGGTTACAATATATTTTAGATTATAGAATATTTCTTATTTAACAATATTGAAAATTAAACATCATCTGCACGATACAGGGAAATTCTGGGACTTACGGGAAATTATCAGCAAATTTGATAATGTCTTCTCCCTGGACTCCCTGATAAAGTACCTACCTACCTACCTACCTGTTATCCATATCACCAAGCTCTAATAGAAGGTTGCAGGGAATAAAAAGCGAACATTAAAAAGAAATAATAATAATCACACAGCATTCAAGTTAACATTTCTGTCTTTGTTAAATTGCAGCACCACCTAAGGTCAAAGAGGATATTTCTCATAAATTCAAACTGTAGCATAGAGAAAAAACACAGGTTCTTTCTAAATGCACACTTAAGCATTTAAGTGATTTTCCAAAACTAAACCAAAGCATTGATAACATTAGACATTGTGATGATCACAGAAAATTATAATTTTAACATATATATGAATAGGGAAAATTATTTTGGTAATAATGAGTGATTAATAAGATTGACCATGATCACATTAATAGGAGACTACTATATAAGCATAAATTATGTAATACAGTAGGGAATCGATTATCCGGAACGATTGGGACCATCGCTATTCTGGATAACTGATTTTTCTGGTTTTCAGAATCGCTACAAAAAGCAGTTTTTTTATTGTTGAACACAACTAAAAATAACAATTTTGGAAATAATCTTAAAAAGAAGAAAAATCGATGAAGTAATACACTAATGATTATTTCCAAAATGATGGTAAGGTAAACATCTTTCAAAAAAGAAAGAAAAATCCTAAAATCTTATGAGGAAAAAAACATTTTTTTTAAAAAAATGGCTGGAAAATTTATCGAATTTCGTTCTGGTTTTTTGGTTTCTGATTTCCGGATAACAGGTTCTGTACTGTAATTTAAAACAAGGGTTTACCAAATCTAATCACTATTAATGTCATTGTTCAAAAATATTTGACACATACATGAAAGTTACTATATATTATAGTTTTATTTATTGTCTATTTTATTTCTAAATTTCCTTTTCCGTAATGATGCAATATTCAAGTAATTTATTACTTTGATAGATGTAAATAATTCAGTTTCTTAGAGTGTAAATAATTTAATCTTTTTATATTTAATAGTATCTTGGGGAAGTTCATAAAATGTTAAAGACTACATTTCTCTTATTTCCGAACTACTGCTTGGGGAGAGGACTCATGGATATTGCCTTCAATGAATATCAAAATTTTTTCCTTTTTAAAACTGGTAAGGCTTTTTCCCTCAATTACTCTTCTGCATGCTTTAAAATCTATTGGGAAATATCTTAGCAAATTTCAATTTTCCATTTACTCATTGCTTTTAAAACTTTTAATGAAATCTATACTTTATTGGATGAAAAATGTTAGTTATAAGTAATATGAAAGGTGTGACGCTCGGTGGCTGAGTGGTAGCACTTCGCTTTGTCGTGCAACAGGTTCTTCCTTTGATCCTCGGGCCGGGCAAGGTTGATTCAGTTCTTCATCCCTTCAGTGGGTCGATAAAATTAGTAATAAGTATCTTGATGAGTAATAAGGTCGATAATGAGTAATAAGGTCGATAAAATGAGCTTGGGAACTAAACACNCATATCACCAAGCTCTAATAGAAGGTTGCAGGGAATAAAAAGCGAACATTAAAAAGAAATAATAATAATCACACAGCATTCAAGTTAACATTTCTGTCTTTGTTAAATTGCAGCACCACCTAAGGTCAAAGAGGATATTTCTCATAAATTCAAACTGTAGCATAGAGAAAAAACACAGGTTCTTTCTAAATGCACACTTAAGCATTTAAGTGATTTTCCAAAACTAAACCAAAGCATTGATAACATTAGACATTGTGATAACCACAGAAAATTATAATTTTAACATACATATGAATAGGGAAAATTCAGGCTAAGTTATTTTGGTAACAATGAGTGATTAATAAGATTGACCATGATCACATTGATAGGAGACTACTATATAGGCATAAATTATGTAATAATATAAAGCAAGGGATCTAATTACTATTAATGTCATTGTTCAAAAATATTTGACACATGCATGAAAGTTACTATAGTTCCATTATTTTGACCCATTATTGTTTTATTCATTGTCTATTTTATTTCTAAATTTCCTTTTCTGTAATGATGCAATACTCAAGTAATTTATTACTTTGATAGATGTAAATAATTCAGTTTCTTAGAGTGTAAATAATTTAATCTTTTTATATTTAATAGTATCTTGGGGAAGTTCATAAAATGTTAAAGACTACATTTCTCTTATTTCCGAACTACTGCTTGGGGAGAGGACTCATGGATATCGCCTTCAATGAATATCAAAATTTTTTCCTTTTTAAAACTGGTAAGGCTTTTTCCCTCAATTACTCTTGTGCATGCTTTAAAATCTATTACAAAATATATTAGCAAATTTCAATTTTCCATTTACTCGTTGATTTTAAAAGTTTGAAGGAAAAAAAAACCCAGCAAATTTTAGAGTTTTTAAAAAAATATTTTGGTATAAGATTTTTTTAGAAATATCTTTACATTATTTAGCCGTTTGGAAATTTTATATTATGTAAAATACATTTCCTTCAAACCTATACTTTATTGCATTAAACATATTAGTTATAAGTAGTATGAAAGGTGTGACACCCAGTGGCTGAGTGGTGGCACTTCACGTTGTCGTGCCACGGGTTCTTCGTTCGATCCTCCGGCCGGGCAAGGTTGATTCAGCCCTTCATCCCTTCAGTGGGTCGATAAAATGAGTAATCAGTAAGCTAGGGAACTAAACACTGGGGGTTCCGCGGTGGGCTGACCATCCAACCGGATCATTTGCTCTTGCACCCCAGAGCCGAAAGGTCAAGAAAACTGAGATGGGCACAGTAGGCCTTGGCCCTCTATTTGTTGTCCCGTCATTGAGTTTAGTTTTACTATGAAAAGTGTAATAATTATAAATTATATTTTTTTTACTAGACATTAATACTCAATGTAAAAAAATCATTAATTTTATTTTTTCCATAGGTTATGACCTTGCATAACACTTTCTAATTATTAACCTTTAGATTATAAAAATTTTTGTTGTTTTTAAATAATATGTACAAAAACAGCTATGTATTATTTGTTTTAAAAAATTTTAAGATACAAGTGCAAGAGATATTTTTAATTCCATAATATTTGCTTTAGTGTTTTCTTTGTTTACTCCAAATTTCATATTCTGAAAAAATTTATGTTAGGAATATATTATGGTAGAAATTCAGGTAAATCCTGAAATTTTAAATGAAAGGCAACTAAATGTCCGGGACTGGTAAACATCCTGATCACACATTTACAAAAGAAATAAAACAAGTACATCTGCTATCCTCAAAAATATGTATCTTTTTTTAAACTAAAAAAAATTTGTTTACTTTTATTGTGTAAAGTCAGCATGTAAGCTTGTTCATTGGCTCATAAAGAAAATTATATGAATCTCTTGTAATCTTAAGAAATTTTCAATTGCATCATATTTACAAAGAAAAATTTGCTACTTTTTAAAGAAAAGTAATGCTGTTACCTAGTATTTCATGCCAGTACAAAAACAATATAATTTTACTTTAGTCTGTGATTAAAATAAGAGTGTTCTTTTTTTCCATAGGTCAGTATGACAAAATGAAATCTCCATTTGCGTGGGAATTGGTGACAAGAAATTTGGTTGCTATGGCAGTGTCTGGATTGGCTTTTTTTATTGTGACTCTACTATGTGAATTCAGCTTTCTCCGTAAACCCAAGTAAGACTCTTCATATTATTTGTTTGTTAGGGTGGGTAAAAAAAATAGGTTTTTAAATTTTGGAACGCTTTGGTGCGGAAAAGCTGCCTATGGTAATAAGAATAAAATTTGCTTACAATTTTTTAATATAGGTTAGTATTTTTGGTTTGTGCTGAATACTTAAAATTATTAAAACTTTAAAAAATTATGCCCTTTTAAAAATGTTTAAGTTAACTAATGTTTAATTAATTTAAGTTGTCTAAAGCAATGAAATAAACACACTTTAGTTTTTTTGTATGATTGTTTGATAGTTAGTATAACCTAAATAAATTATATTCTGATCAATAATCTAATTTTTTATGTTCGCATAACGTTTTAGATAAAAATAGAAGTTTACCAAGTTTTCACTGTGGATCTCTTTGCTCATTATGTTGGATCGAAACAACACAAAACACACCATGTTAAAATGGTTGAACATCAAGTTCCACCTGCACCCTATCCAACCAACCATTCAATTTTTTGGTGAGGTATTTACATTATATCTACAGCCATGTACAAAGATTTTAAATGCAGTTAGATTCTTTAGTTAACTGCATTGTTAAGGTTCCTTTTCTATATCAACTACAAATCTAAAGTCTGACTTTTTGTAGAATTCAAGCATAACTTATCGAAACTTTATTGTTGCTCAAATATATTCATCTGCACTTTTATGTTTACGCATTTTGTTCGAAGCCTTTTTCGCTAGTTTTATAGACCTTTCCTCAACCTGAGAATGATTAAGAAATTTTGTTTTTTTACCTGAAGCATGTATTATCAGAATTTGTTGATAAAATATCATCGTCACTCAAGTCGTACATCATTGGGGAAGGGTACCACACAAAAATTACAATTAACGATTTCTACGTGATCCAAGGTTGAAACTTTATCTTCAGTAGTACAAAATTTCTAACAATCTTTTTCTTTAGGTTGATTGCAAAATCCTTCTTATTTTCAACCTAAGGACTCTATTGACAACAGTTAGCCATCAGGAATAGGGCACAAAAAAAACAGGATTGCAATTTGTCAAGTCTTTTGGACAATTCTCCTAGGCATTTAAAATTCATAGCAGATATTGTTGGTTGACAGGAATTTGTTAAACAAGGACTAAATTGTGTACTATCAAAGATAATCTTTCAAGCTCCGGATTACTTTAAAACTATTAATTGGAATTCTTGTGTGCTATATTCTCACCCAATGCCACAAGTCCTAAGTGAAGATGATATTGAATCACTCAATTTTGGCACCATTCGCATAAGAAAGATACTAAAGTTTCCCTGTTGTACTCCTAGACTTTTGAAATGCGTCAAACTTATGACAGAAACTTTGAATAAAATATGTGAACAGAAAGCTGTATAAGAGATGGATAGATCAAAGTACAACTAAGATTTAAATCGGCTGTGCCTCAACTCTTTAAAATATCATACTAATTTTAGAAGTCAAAGAACCTTTATAATGTGGTAATTCAGAGAATCTTACTTCATTGTTATTCTTCGTAACTTTCTGTAAATATAATATAAAAACCACTTAAACAAATTTGGATACTTGGCTGAGTAGGTTGTAGGTGAAACTCTTATGTTCAACCATTATTACTTGATTTACAGGGTTGTTCTGATCAAACATAATGAGGGAAGAGATACACTGTGAAAATTACGAAAAACTTACATATTGTAAACTTACAAATTTTCTAAAACCTTACACAAATGTAGAAAATCAAATTATTGATCAGAATTTAATTTGTTTAGGATACTGCAGGAATATAAAAACGTTTTGTTAAAAGAGCACTTTGAAAACTTTTTTGTATTAAAAAGTGAACAGTGATCCAAAAAATTTTGAGATATTTAGACAAACTTTTGCTGACTATGCATATTTATTATATACAAATAGCTGTTTTTCTGAATGAATATATTTGATTTCTTACTTTAGGCATATTCAAGTTCCCATCTATACCGTAGATGCAGAAGATGATGACGTTGCTATTGAGCGAAAGAGAGTTTTAACGGGTCAGGCAAACTCTGATGTTCTTCATCTTATTGATCTCACTAAAGTAAATTTTTCTTAGAACACACTCAAATTGTTTTATTTCAGGATTCTGGAATAATTGTTTGTTGATGCATCATTTTATTTTTCAGGTATATAAATCTAGGACTATAAAGAAAAAGCTTATTGCTGTTAACAAATTATGCCTAGGCATTCCTGAAGGAGAGGTAACTTTTATTTGTTGACTTTATACTATCTTGTCTTAATTTTAATTAGATTAGCATTAATTAGAATTTTAATAAGATTAATTATTTCCTCTTCTTCAGTGGTACAACAGCTCTGGGTAGGCTTTGTCTTTCTAGAGAATTCTTCCTGGTGTCTATTTGAGGACTGTCCTCCAATTTTTGTTTTTAAGAATGTGGAGAATTTCTTAGATGGATTGTCTTTTTCAAGAGAGTTGGTCTATCTAAAGCAAGGTCAAGTTCTTATAGACATGGCTATAAATAGTTTTCCATAGTTTCAATCTTCCTGCATTCTAATCGAATGTCCAGTCCATTTTATCTTTTGTTTTTTTTCCAAGTATTTCAGGACATCATGCTCTATAAAGATTTGATATAATTCTAAATTTGTTTGTTTTTGCTATAAGCCACCCCACATGAGTTCAACCATAAATACTTTTTAAGACTTTTATCTAAAAAAAAAACAATACTTATTCATTTCTCGAGGTTAATGCCCATAATAAAATAGATCTTATAAGTGTTTTACATATTAAAAAAAATTAGTTTTTAATTTTAGAAAACAGAATTCATATGTTTTTCGAGATTGTAAATTTGGACATCATGCATTTGTGATTAATTTATATATTTCTGAGATTAAATCATTGTTGTTTTAAATTCTTCTCCTAAATAAATGAAATTATTCACTTTTTCACTTGTAGTCTCTAATTTCCAGACGTCTGATTTGAAACTCTGAATTTAAACACGGCATATATCTAGTCTTTTTTTTTTACTTGCTCATAAATTAAGTGCTTTTTTGCAATTTGTTCTACGGCTATAGAGGCCTGTTTAAAATCTTGAGTGTCGCCTGCTGCAGGCAATTAAAGCAATTTCGTCCTTTAATGCAAGTATTGACTTAGTAAGAATGTTTTCTCTGCTGTTCATTTTAAAATCTCCAATAATCTTCTCTAAAACTGCATTAAATATAAAACAGGCCAGTGCATCTCCTAGAGGTATGCCATTTTTTATATCTAGTTGTTCAATTAAGTCACCTGTATGCGAATTTAAATCTTTGTTTCTCTAAGGATTAAGGTCACAAGAGCAAAAAGCTTTTAAGGTATGCCCAATTCACACATAGCTTCTAAGAGGAAATCCCTGTTAAAAGCAGTCAAAAGCTGTTGTAAAATCAGTAAAATGATAATGAGTTTTGAAACCATATTCCAGGCATTTTTCCAAAATTTCTTTTAAGCTGAATATTTGTTTAGTTGTTGATCTTCCTTTTCTAAAACCACAATGACTGTGACCAAAAAAATTTTCAACGTGATTAATTATTTAGCTATTTCAATTTTGTTTTCTTGAGACATTTGCAACTTTTTTGCAGTGTCTTGGATTGCTTGGAGTGAATGGTGCAGGCAAATCAACAACTTTCAAAATGTTAACTGGAGATACCAATATTACTGCTGGTGATGCTTTCTTAAAAGGATTCAGGTAACTTTAGAATCTTTTACATGACACTGAGAAATTTTTTTTTCGTTGCTGCATTTATACAAATACTTGTTCTTGTGCTGTGATGGCGTAGGAGATAGAGCATTCGCCTTCCAATGAGATGAACTGGGTTCAAATCCCAGCAATGGCTGGTCAATGTGAATAATGGATTAGAGTCTCCTTTCCATTAAGCTAACTGTGGGAAGTTTTCGTGGTTTTCCTCACAGTGTAGTGCAAATGCGGGTTAGTTCCATCAAAAAGTCCTTCACGAATGCAAATTTCTCCCAGTACTTGATTCAGGAGTTTCCTTGTCTTCCGGATTGGGTTCAAAATTATAAGGCTAGGGAGTTAAACATTAGTAGTCATAAACCCAAGAAATCAGTCGGCTGTTTAATGACGGTTATAAAATAAAATAAAATACTTCTTCTTGTCTAGTATAGGTTTGAGAATTTCAGATCTGAAATTAGTTTTGCTCCTACTGCAGTTTCTTTTAAAAATGACATTTTTAGTCCATTTTTTTTGTCAAAATGTGCAAGATTAAAAACGTTGTAACAGGAGGTAGCATAACTTCTAGGAGGGTTAGGGCACACCATCAGGATTAAAATTGCGTTAGAACCCATTCCTGAAATGGTATTGTATGCCGCTAGGGGTACTTCCTTACTGTGACCTGTTCAAAAGCTCACGAGAAAATAATTCATAATAGTCCTTAGCGACATATAAAGACATTTACAGGGTTGGGCTCTTGTGCCATTTTAATTCTGATTCTGTGCTCTAACCTCCTCTAAAATGTTTTCACCCCATTTATGCTACCCACTGTTATATATTTTTTTAAACATGTACATTTTGATGAAAAACGAATTAAAAATGTCATTAAAAAAAACTGAAGCTTGGAGGGAAAAACCGATTGCAGATTCGAAATCAGCAATTTGAAAGTATCTTCTATCCGTTAAAAAATTTCGTGCAACAGTAAACAAAAGAAAATGTTTCTCAGTGTTATCAAACATAATAATATAATTTAATCGTTTGGTGTGAGTTTTTTTTAAGTATTCGAAACAATCTAAATATCGAAATAGAACTTTGCATATCTACATAAATTTAAATGAAATTATGTTTTGGATGTTCTTTTTTTGTTATTTACAGAATGTGAATGTTCCATAATCACTGCTCTTAATATTTAATTTTAGTTACATTGTCAAAAAGGTATGTACATAGGGATTGCAAATTATTATTTAGTGTAATCAGATCAGAGAAATTACTTTTGAAGAAGGCATGATTTTAAATTTCAAATCTAGTTTCAATGCTTTACGAAACTTTGAGGTATTTCTTATAATTGCTTTTAATTACAAGTTTTTAATATCCTTCTGGATTTTTTTCAGCAATCAAACAGGTTTCAATATTTTTAATCTGGCCTTCCTCATTAGCCCTTTAACTGGAAGCCCGAACTTAATTATGGCATAACCAGCTTGTTTCTTGCATACCAAATTGGTTTTCTCATTTGTTATTTAATAAAGATCATGCATAAATTTCTCTAAATCAGGTTAATTGGTCAAGCTTTAATGTTTTTCTATCACTTGTACAATGTTAATTTGCAACTGCCAGTGTGCATATTTTTTTTATTTAATGGCTGTGATTATAACATAAATAGTTTATGATATTCAAGGATACTGTTATTTTTTTCGATATTCTAATCAGCAATGGGATTTAGCCATAATAACAGTAACCCTACAGCATGACAGAGGGCTCTGCAAATTACTTTTCCTTTTAGATTTAAAAACAGGGTAATAAATTTCTAAAGATATAAACATCTGTTGATCAATTTTGATCTCAGATGTAAAAATAGACAATAAATAAAAGAATCTGCTGAGATGTCAATTTCTTATTGAATGAAAATGAAGAATGTATAAGAATTTGATTTTTGAAGAAAAAGAAAATCAGCATTTTTAGCCAAAATCTGGAAAAATTTTGCAACAAACCTGAAAAATAACCGGCGCGACAGCCCATAGAGTGCCAAGGCCTACTGTGCCCATCTCAGTTTTCTTGACCATTGGGCTCTAGGGTGCAGGAGCAGATGTTCCGGTTCGGTGGTCAGCCGAACCCGAAACCCCCAGTGTTTAGTTCCCAAGCATGCTTGGTACTCATTTATCTACCCACTGAAGGTATGAAAGGCTGAGTCCACCTTGCTCGGCCTGAGGATTGAACCAGGGACCTGTGGTACGACAGCGCGAAGCGCTACCGCTCAGCCAACGGGCATCTTTAAAATTTCACAGTAACAGTAAATTTCAATTGAAGTTCAAAGTAGTTATATTTTAGAGCTATTATTAACATCTATTACTATTATTTCTTATAATAATTCTGCTGCAATATGGTTATGTGTTCTTAGATTTATAAAAATTAGAATAACATATAAAAAACTCTGAGTCTATTAATAAACTATTACATGAGGTTGAAATTTTTTCAGTTGTTTTTCAAAATGATGCTTCTATTTATGATTTATATACTTTTGTATTTTAAATTCTACATGTTAAATCAAAACTTTCGCCTAGGGAACTTTTTTTTCATGCGAAATCTAAAATTTGGCATATTATCTATCAAGAATGTAAGCTTTGTTGCTTATTGAATAAAAACAAATATATTTCTAGGGAAATATTGCTGTGCAAAATAAGATTTCATTTCTGAAACTGAATAGAAACTCTGAAAAAAAATTAAACTAATACAGTAGGGAACCGATTATCCGGAACGATCGGGACCATCACTATTCCAGATAACTGATTTTTCCGGTTTTCTGAATCCTACAAAAAGCCGTTTTTCTATTGTTAAACCCAACTAAAAAATTTTTTTTTTTCTTTTGGAAATAATCTTAAAAAGAAGAAAAAACGATGGAGTAATACACTAATGATTATTTCCAAAATGATGGTAAGGTAAACATCTTTAAAAAAAGAACGAAAAATCCTAAAATCTTATGAGGAAAAATTTTTTCTTTAAAAAATGGCGGGTAAATGTATCGAATTTCGTTCCGGGTTTTTGGTTTTCCGGTTTTCTGATTTCCAGATAACGGGTTCTGTACTGTACTAAAAACTTTCTGAAAAATGTAAAAATGTGTATTGTATGTAATTTTTAATTTACATTCTGATTTCAGCATTGGAAGAGACTTACATAAAGTACAGCAGTACATTGGATACTGTCCTCAGTTTGACGCTTTATATGATGAACTAACAGCAAGGGAACATTTAATTCTCTACTCAAGATTTCGTGGTATTCCATTGAAGGATGAAGAAAAGGTTTTGATTAAATTCTTGTTACTAATTATGTAATCTGAGTAGACGTTTCATAATCACTATTTTTGTAATAAAGAAATGAAAACTTCTTATTTCCCATCGAAAAATTTTAGTTTAGAAAACAAGCTTGATTTTCATAGAGAAGAAAATCTCTAATTGGGTTGTCCAAATGCATAAATGATCTTCTTAGGCTAAATTACATTTATTAGTGTGGTTGACACTTTCGAAATGTAATATACATGTGATGTATTTTTGATAACAGTTGTAGGTTGACTTTGGTCAATAAATATATCACCACATTGGTGACCCGGACGTGATGTGAACACGCCTACCTTGACAGAAGCTCCCACTTTGATTTGAACATGCCTACTTTGATGGATACCCCATTGAACAGTAGAATTGCTACTTGTGATCTCCTGGGACTGTTGCTACTCAGTCAAGATCACACGCAACGTCAGTCTGTATGCACTCGACTGCTAACGGCAACACAGGAATGACCATGAACTTAATACAGCTCTCATGATCAGCATTAAAAAAAAGTTCAACTATCTTAATACAGCTGTCCTGGCTTTGCACAAAACAGCAATAACTCGATTCTATGCCGGAGTATCTTTTCATATTGTCGAGAACACTCTCCCCACCCATTTCTCTAGTAATTTCTGAAGGAAAATTCCCGATTAATGTCCTTCGCATGGATATTAAAATTGTTTATAAATTAGATCAATTTTTTAAATCTATTAATAATTCAAATTAAAAAAATAATACTTTTAAGCTAATGTATGAGCTTATTTTTTTTTTTAAATTGTCTATTGTTAAAAAAATCTATTTAAGTATATAAAAACCTATAGATTTTTCAGACATAATTAAAACATTATTCGTTTTTATAGGCTCTCAAGGTATGTATACGGCTTATTAAATTATTAGTTCTCATCAGGGAAATTACTGGCATTGCAGAATTTAGAACTAAAGTTCTACGTTTACTTCGAAATGTGTTACTAGTTTTGATAATTTTGATTGAATTAAATCCTTAACTTGTGTTTTTTTAAAATACTTTGTTTCATATTTCAGATTATAATTAGTATTTTTGATTGATGATATATTGTATTTTTGATTATATTCAGTCTCTGAATGTAGTTTTATTTTTTCAATAAATCTTATGACCCTTCTTTTACTCACACACTCTTTGGTGTTACAGCCCGTGAAAGATCTTAGTCTTCCTCACCACTCATGTCCAAACTTTTCTATTCTCAACTTTCTTTTTTTAGCTTTTAATTTTCGTGATTTTTAAGTCACACTCAACTTCATCAAAGCATCATTTTCTGGGTCTTCCAAAACTTCTTTTTCCTGCTATTTTTCGAAAAAGTTCTTTTTCAAACTTCATTCATTCTTATTAAGTGACCAAACCGCTGTAGGCTTTTGGTCTTTATGATGTTAATTGTATCTTTCTCTTTATCCCAATTTCTAGATTTGACCTGATTCTCTAATCATGACCATCCTTTACAGGTCAAAATATTTTTCTTATAATTTTTCTTTTCCAAGATAAAAGCAATTTTTCTTTTATGACCCTTTGACCCATTTTAGGCCCATTAAGAAATTTTATAAAATGTGGTATTGTTATCATAGAAATATGCTTACATTGCAGTCATTAAGACACATTAAAAAATATCGTGTATGAAATATTATATTTTGTTAAAGAAATAAAATGGTGGGAATAGGCACCTTTGGTGGTATATTAAGAAATATTGAATTAAGAAATGGTGGGTGTATTAAGAAATAAAATTGTGGGTATAGAAAATGTTTACTCCAATTGAATTACTAATAATTTATAGATGTCTTCAAAACCCTTGACAATAGTAGAAAAATAAAATTAGTGAAAAATATACATCACAGTGTTAATAAAAAAATATTGAAATGGTGCGTATGTGCACCTTTGGCCGAAAATTATGAAATGTGATGATATTAAGTTAAATGTAATCTTTTTTTTAAAACTAATTTTGTTTTCTTCCTTCAGTGTAATTATATCAAACATTTATCTGTTATTGGATAAACAATAATATTAAAAAAAATCTGTTAAATACGATTGAAAAAAAATAATTTTTATTTATTTGTGTATTAAAATTTTGAGAGTGACATCCTGCATTAAATATGCGTTTAATTTCTGTTACTTAATTCTGAAATGAAGAAAAGCTCCACTTATTTTTATTAATCTTTGTTAACTGTATTATAATGATATTTCATAAAAATTTTAATGCACATTTTAACAAACCATTATTTTTCCTAGGTTATTGAATGGGCTCTTAAGAAACTAGATTTAATAAATTATGCAGACAAAGTCGTAGGCACATATAGTGGTGGTAATAAGAGAAAATTATCCACAGCTATTGCACTTCTTGGAGCTCCACCCGTTCTTTTCCTGGTAAAATTTTTTTTATGAAATTAAAATACATATTTTTAGATTTATTTCTTATTTTATTAGTATTCATTATTTTATTCCTTAAATTTTTACTAATTGGAAATTTCTTATCCAATATTTATTTTAAATATTAAGTATAATATCAATTTTCTCAGGAATTATTTAGTAGAAGTTAGGTTTGTTCGTTTAAATCAACATTTTACAGACAAAATTTCAATTTTGTGTGATTTAGAAGAAAATAGTTTTTCTTGCTCATTCTATTTATAACTAAAAATTTGAAATTTCTGTAAACATTTCAGCTCTAAAATTCTTAATTTTGCTTTTTTTTGATGAAACTAGTTTTTTTTTCTCATTTCATTATATACTAACAATTTTATATTTTAGTAAACATTTTAACTATAAAGCTCTAAAATTTACTTAGCTTAGATTCAAGTTACTTTGGTTTAAGTTACTTTGGTTCAAGTAGTTTTGTGAATTGTATGAAAGCAATCAAATATTCAACATCAAATCAGTGACAGGATCTCAAACTCTTCCCATTATTTTTGGATTATTCTGTTATAGTTGTTTTTAGAAAAATAAACTGGCTGATACTTTTTATAAAATAATAGAGTTAAATTTAGATTATGGTGCATGGACCCTGATTAGTCTACTAGTTAACAGAAAATCACAATACATACCAAGGAATAGGATATCAAATTTTCAGGCTAACTTAATTTCTTTCAAATTTCAAAAAATAGATAACTTTGTATTGCGCAAAAAAGTCCTAGTACATTTGTCTTTTGTTCTTGTGGTTTGGTTTAAGATAGATCTTTAATTAATGTGGCAATATATATTATTATTGCCTATTTGCTAATAGTTATTAATGTTAAAAGCAAAGCTTAATGTTTAGTACTTATCGAATAGTATGTATGTAAGTTTGCTTGTTCTGGTTGTTCTTTAAATTATTGATAATTTTAAAAATTAATTCTGAATAGATGAATATTTTTTCTATCAGGGCCTAGGCAAAACCTTTTGCTGGGCCTTTAAGTATTCGCTTTCTGTGGTGCTTCAAGGATAATGAATAACTTAAAATAGATTTTCACCAATGTTATTGAAATAAATGTGATTTTTTTTTCTTACCTAAAGCAAAAATTTATTTTTTCTTTGTTTCATTTTTATCTACACAACTTTAATGGCTTAGAGAAGTGAGTTTAAATGCCCCACTTTACTACATCTTATAAAGATGTTTAAATAAATCTTATTTTGTTACACTATCCCTATGTTTGATTTAAATGTAATTTTTTGTGTGGCCCTTTTTTATTTCCTCATTAATCTGATAACATATAAATTAAAATTTTTGCGAGTCAATACTAAGAATAAATTTTTTCAAAAAAAAAGTAAAACAAACATGTTGCCCCCGTACAAATGCCCCACCACCATTAAAATCAACATTGCCTGATTTAGATTTCAGTTAGTGCAGATAAAAATGTCCACAATAATAAGAGACTACTACAAAAACTCATTAATAAGAGACATGAATAATTTTCACTTATGCTGTGAAAATGATGTAATATCTTATTATTTCTTATGAATTTTTCTCAGAAAAGGCCACTTTTTTGTATACTTTTTGATAATTTCATAAATTATGTTTCTCAATGTTTTCTTTTATCATATTTGTACTCTTTCATTGTACTTTCTTCAAATACTTTTAGTTTAAAAGTTATGAGGATAAGAATAATGTCTGAGTAAGATGCGTTAATGTTTTGACCCTGATTTTAAAGATATTTTATCTTGTTCTGAAATAAGAAGTTTTTCTATTACTTTATGTATAGGATGAGCCAACTACAGGAATGGATCCTTACACCAGGAGGTTTTTATGGGATTTAATTATTGAATTGGTCCAGAGTGGCCGATCAGTGGTGCTAACATCTCATAGGTATAACACATTTTTTCTTAAATTCATAATTGTGATGTTTAATTATTATTTTCACAGGTAGAATTTTATGAATCTGGGTTTTGATAAAATATTTTAATGATATTGAAGTATAAATGCTTTTTATTGTGTATTATTTCAAATTTAATTTAGATAACATTGGATTTAATGTTAGGTTTATATATGTTCGAAAATTAAAATTTTCTTTATTATACTTACAGATGTTTGGTTAACAGTAAGAGTAAGAGTCTTCCATGTTGTTTTTCTCTTTATTGTACATTTTTTCAAAAGCAGTTTTTTATAGCTTAAATAGAACAGCGGCAGCTTCAGGGTTCCAAAACAGCTTCAGGGTGCGTAGCGTTTGTAAAAAGTACTTAAAGGTGCTATTTTGGGGATTTCGTTTTTAAAAGCTTTTAAAGGTGCTTTTTTCAGCTGGCGTTTTTAAAAAGTGCTTTTTTTTCGAAATTTTTTTTCTCTCCCTTCAGTGATATCTGGTGGATCCCATGCATTTCACGAAAACTGGGGAGTTAGCTACGTAATCATTCATGCGGACTTCATGTCGTACCCACGTTATGACTTGTGCATGCGCGCACACTTTAAACCGAAACCAGAGTGCTCCAATTCGGATAGAGAATATCAGATCCTTATGAAATGTTCTTCTTTTTAATTTATTTTAATTTTGTTCTTGTTTATTTTACTTCTAACACTTTTTTTTGACGTAGGGGGTAAGAGTACTTTTGTTCTGAGTTCAGGGTCAAGTTGAATTCACTCAGTGATGTGGGAAAGTACTGATTGTTTCGATTTACTCCCGTTTCTTTTTGGGTTTTTTTTAACGCTAAAACTGTTTATAAAAAGTTTTTGTTTTTCAATAATATCATTGATTTAATATGAATTTTTTGAGTGCTTGAAAATTTTTGTAAAGTGCTTGAAAAGTTTTTAAAAAGTGCTTATTTTTTATTCAAAGATTTGGCTACGCACCCTGAGCTTATGTTTTACCAAAAATGGTCTAAAATAGCATATATATTTCCACTTATAGTCCAAAATAGCCTATTTATTACCGAAAAATGGTCTAAAACAGCCTGTGCATTACCAAAAATAATCTAAAACAATCTATGCATAACTGATAACAATCCCAAGTATCCTATGAATTCCTAAAAATAGCTTGTGCATTACTATAAATTGTATTCTTAATTAGTAACCAAAATGATTTTGTCTTTATTGTATGTAGCATGGAAGAGTGTGAAGCTCTTTGCACAAGACTGGCAATCATGGTAAATGGACATTTCAAGTGTTTGGGTAGTATTCAGCACTTAAAAAATCGCTTTGGTGAGGGATACTGCATCACCATTAGAACTTCTATGGGCGAGCTAGAGAGAATCAAGAGGTGGTTTCGAAAAACTTTTACAGATGCTAAACTAAAGGTAAAATTTAATTATTATCTTTTTCAATATAAGTTTAGTGTCTTAGAAGTTATCAAATAAGCAATTGTGAGGGACAGTTAGAAATGTTATTCTATTTCACTATGTGCATTTTGAGATTTTACTCACAATAAAAATAACGGAAGATTGTAAATTTTTAAGTTATTTTCCAAATTAAGCCAAATACTTAGCTTGTAAGGTGCTTCCGTGGGGATTTGGTGAGACCATTTGGTGAAAATATGGAAGCACCTGTAGCTTACATGTCATAATTAATTTTGGTAATAAATGGCTTTGAAAAAAGGTGGGAGACTGGTAAAATGCATAATATCGCTATTTTCCTATTTATCTTAAAATGTTCTAGAAAAAAATATAATGGATGTAAAAAAATAGACAATGTACTATTTCCAACGAAATATATATATAACATTTAAAAAAATTATTATTTTAGAAAAAGAGCATTTTCAAAAGTTTTTTTTTCTTGGTGCAGGAGCAGCACTTCAATCTACTTCAATTTGAGCTTAAAGCAGGCTGCATATCCTTAGCCTATGTATTTTCTAAAATGGAGTCAGCTCTTCAAGAACTTCCCATTGAGGAATATTCTGTCTGTCAAAATACTTTAGACAATGTAAGAGTTTGCTTTTTAGAATTGCATTGTTTCTGTTTCTCTAGTTATGTAATAAGCCACCATTTTGATAACGCTATTATTATAATGTGTAGGTTTTTATCAACTTTGTGAAGCAGCAATCAGACGGTATCAGGGATCCCTCCCTAGCCCCCCAATCATTTACTCCTCTTCAATGTGACATTGATGAAATGCTTGATGATCCCCCAGAAATCATCAGTTCTCTGTCAAGGTCACAAGTAAGTATCGCATCCCCTGTTTTCAAATCGTTTGAGCATATATTCTAAATACCATATATCCCAATGTTTAATTTAACTTTTATCCTAAAATTTTACAAAAATCATCAGGGGTTGATTTATACGCTGGTAATTGTAATGGACTTTTGTTGATCATGATTCACCAATGCATTATAAACAATTTAATAGATATGAAATACTCCTTATCAATTTAACCCTTTTAAAAATTGTTTTTGATTTGTATAATACATTGTAGTACAAATTAATTGTAATGCAATGTATTACAATTAATTTTGCATTTTCTTTCATCATATTTTCTTTACATATAAAGCTTTTTATTTTTTTCGAAACAATACTTATAATATAATGTCTTAATATCAATAATACTCGTTCAGATAAAAGTTAATAATAAGAAAAGTTAAAATAATTTATTCAAGAGTATTTTAATATCTCTAATTTTAGAAAATTTAGTATATATAGGAATATAATTAGTGCTTATAGGAATATAATTATCATTCCATATTATTTTGTAAAATATTTCTTAATATTTGTCTCATTTCTTTTACTACTCTCCCTATAGCAAACCTTCAATTAAAATAAAAATATACTCTTATGCTTTTCCTTATGTAAAAATAAATGTCTTTTGAAAAAAACCATTATTAGAATTAGGGAAATGAATATTTTTGTATTGAAGAACTTCCTTTATCCTGTTATTTATTTTTGTAACACTATTGTATACTTCTTTCCTCCTTTTTTTAGGAAGGCATTTACCCTATTTTCATCTACATGCTTTTACGTAAAATGACCTTGTCGAAAGTTTGGCCAATTTTCGACTAGTTAGAGCACTTAAATTTTGTTCTGTCCTGAGTTACATAGTATTTGTTTCTTGACAGATTCTAATAGTATTTATTGGTTGAGAGATTTTATTATCAATCAAAATTTTGACCACTTTGAGACTAGCTAGAATGATCAAATCTTAAGTGGAGCTCTGTGCAGGATGACAGTACAAGTTTCAATCATTTCCTGGTCTCTATAAACAGAAAATTATCACCAAACTTTATATTGTTGATCAAAAAGTGTTTTCATCACATCTAGAGCTCTGTCCTTGCTGACTGTATAGGTTTAAAATATTTCCTTACCACTACAAGTGGTGTTAGCGTATAAAATGGAATTTGGTAGCAATAAAACTTTGACAACTTTTGAATTAGCTAGGATGTGCAAAATCCAACAGCAGTCTATGCCTAATAACTCTGCAAGTTACACAGAGTGTCTAATTGCTGATAAATATACTGCTAATTTATCATTACGTATTGCTTTGGTGATTGACAAAAATATGATAAAGCTGTCTACCAAAAATTCTTCTTGATTTAATCTTGGTTTATCTATAAATACTGATTTATTTGCATATTTGAGAGTTTCTGTTAGTTTCAAGTCTATCTTGGGCATATTTGAGTTTTAAATGTATTGGTTGTGTTTAAGTGTTTATATTCTTTATAGGATTGCAGTATTACCTGTTCTGGGATTGAACCCACAGTTAACTGTTGGGGACAACAAGACTCTGCTAATTAACTATGACAATCTTATCCATCCCTAATTTTACTTTTTATTGGCAAGTAAATTAAGTCACTTTAAATTCTTTCTGCATGTACCAAAATCTGCAATAGTTGCACTCTAGCTGCTTGCAATTTGCCACAAAATTTTCATTGCAAAATTCATAACTCAGATTTGTTTGGTTTTCTTTAACAAATTAATTATATATATTTTTTAAAAACATTACAATACTGTAAAGTATTTTTAGTTTGCAGTAATTTTATAATTCTGCTGATGTTTTGAAAGTAACTGAAAGTATTAATCTGTAAATGTTAGTTTTATATAAGTGTTACAGTTGAAGTAATGAATCTAGTTTTAGTTAATAATCTCCATTCAAAGTGATAAACTTGTGAATAAAATTCAATAATAATTAATAAAAACCAGCTATTGTTCTCGCAAATTATTCTCTTTATATGGCTTTCATTTGTTATTACTAGTATTAATCAATAATACCTGATTCGGATATTATGAGGAAACATTAGTGTTGTAAATACCAAACAGTGAGCCTTAAACTTAAAAAAAAACAACAACATTAATTTAAGAAATTCTATGCAATGTGAGTAAAGTTTTTTTTTATCAATTAAAAGACTTGGTTATTATTAATAATAACCTCACAGAGATGTATGGGAATTTGATGGATATTCCCTACCCTAATCTATCCTTATACGATATTTTTTGTTACAATTTCCGATTATTAAGAATAACCAAATCCACTGGTAAAAGTGAACAATTTGTGAGAATTTATTACATTAATGGTGCACTCATCTCTTAATGAGGTGAACCAGATTTGAATGCCAGTGATTGCTGGTCAAAATAAATTCTACACTCAATTCACATTAATGTTACTGCTGTCATAAAATGCCCTCAGTGGTAGATGGATCATGGGTTAGAATCACCCTACTATTCTAATGATAGTTTTAATAGTTTTCCTTTCCATGCAACTTAATTCCAATGAAGTTTCATCAAAAATCCTCCATAAAGGCTAGTTTGTCCCAATATTTGATCGAGGAGTTTCTTGTCTCCTGAGTTGGGTTTTAAATTACAAGGTTACAGAGTTAAACATTAGTATGTAGTAAATCCAAAAATGGGCAGGTTGTTGAACGATAGCAATAAAATAAAACTTTTTGTTAGTAATTATTTATAATTTACTGCTTTTTGAGTTGTCATCAATAATAACATATGTTTTGAATAAAAATGGAATATTGAAAATTTTCCCTCCCTTTTTAAAAAAAAAATTGTCTTAAATATCTTTATTGCCCAAAAATCAAAGGAGCTGAAAAAAAAAATTTCTCTTACATAAAATTATTATTATTTTTCAAATGGTTTATTTATTAATTTTTATGTACTTTTCTATTTATTACACTTAGCAGAAGCATTACATTACTAATTACACTGTTTATTACACTTCAGAAACATTACATTACATAATTATTTTGTTAGTAGCAATTGAGTATTAACTACTTATCAATTTAGGTGCTATGTTTGAAAATACTGTGTTTGAAAATACTAGTATCTGATGAAATTTTAATAATATTTTCTTTAGCAGTGTTGAGTTTTGGACAATAAAAACTGACTTTCAATAAGTTAAAAACTGTTTAAAACCCTTATAAACTAGATAAAAACTGTTGAAAGCTTTGGATGAGTCGCAAACTCGTAATGCATGTTTTTGAAGTGTATTTTAAACTTTAAATCAATAAATCAAATATATAAATGTGTGCTAAAGTACAAAAAGAACAATAATTATAGGTTTTTTAAGAATAAATAAATGTTCAATTTATATTCATGCTTTCTTTTATAATAAAATTTTATTTGTAAACTCTTTCCATTGGACGACATAGAGTTTTCAGTAGACGACTCAGTAAAAAAAATTTATAGTTTTTGTTACTTTTGCAGTATACTCTCGATGTCTCAAAATTGAAGGGACGCTAAAAAATTTTGATACAGCGAGTTTTCGAGATAACAAGTTCAGAACTAAATATGTTCTGAAAAGTAGAAAAATATATTCTAAAATATTACATATATATTATAAATATCTAAAAATATATATTATAAGTCTAACATTTGTAATATATATTACAAATATCTAAAAAGCAAAATAATTTAAAATAAGAATAACTACTATTAATTGTGTATGTAACGATAGCTGACTATTAGTTTAAATTTATTTTTAAAAATTAAACAAAAATAATTATGCATTAAATAGAAAAGAATTGGCTTACAAGAAACTAACATGATTTTTCCAAAAAAAATTTATTTTTGTTTTGAAAAAATTTTGACATAACAAGGTTTTTAGAAGAAACTCTTCGATATAGGAATTCAGATTAATATTAGATGGACATATAATGCTAAGGGGAAAATATTTTTCGCCAAAACAAGGTTTTCGAGATATTGAATTTCGAGATATAGAGTATACTGTATAATAGTTTTTATATTATTGAAATAGAATTTTTTTGTTTTAATTAATAAAGTTTTTATTTTTTATTTTTGTTAGTTTTTTTAACAATATTTTCAGGTTTAAAAGCATTAGTAAATATTGCTAATACTATGATAATTATTTTCATAAAGGATATTGGTGCTTACTTTATTACTTTCAATGTTTAAAAGTGCTTCAAATTTTAAGTATTTTAAAACAGGCATGCCCAGTTTTGATACTCACTCCTCTTGATTCCACAAAACAAATAAAATTTCCTCTTCATTATATCTTATTACTTCTTATATGACATCTTGATTAACATTAAATGATGCATTTGTACTAACAATTTATTAACTTGAATTTTTAATTCTTAAAGCTTATTTTTTTTTATTAACACCGTGTGTGATTAGCTTTAAATACTTACACTTGTATTATTTTTATATTAGTATATATTACCTCACATGCATTTAATTGTTTAAGGGAAATTGATGCTTAATACAGTACATAACCTGTTATCCGGAAATCAGAAAACCGGAAAACCAAGAAACCGGAACGTAATTCAAAAAATTTTCCCGCCATTTTTACATTTAAAAAAAATTTTTTTTTTCCTCATAAGATTTTATGATTTTTTTTTTTGGAAAGATGTTTACCTTACTATCATTTTGGAAATAATCATTAGTGAATTACTTCGTTTTTTCTTCTTTTTAAGATTATTTCCAAATATAATTTTTTTTAGTTGGGTTTAAAAATAAAAAAAACAGCTTTTTGTAGCGATTCAGAAAACCGGAACGATCAGTTATCCGGAATAGCGATGGACCCGATCGTTCCGAATAATCGGTTCTCTACTGTATTTCATTTGATGATCAAAATTTTTTTTATTAATCTATGTGTTACCACCAATACAATTGGGTATTATTGATAATAATTGAAATATGAGGTTTAAGAGGATTAATTTATGACAATTTGTTTCATTATCATGTTATCATTAACCAATTCAGCATTGCAGTGTCTTTTGGAAAACTAATGAAAAATGTTCCCTCTTATAAAGCAGTGCCTTCGGTCTAGTTTATGTACAGTAAGAATCTCTAGTCATTGTTCTTTTACACTAGATTATGTGACTGGTCAAAGGGGCATAGCTGCATGCTATTTTCAAAAGTTTAAATTTTTCTGCTCTCACACCCGAATCTTGTTCCAACCAACAAAAAAAGAGGCTGTAAGAAATTTTATTTCAGTCGGATGTTTACTAAGCGACGTTCAATCTCCTTAACCGCTTCCCTTACCATTTTTTTAGAAAAAAAAAATGCAAAAAATCAACTTATTTTTTTATTTCATTAATAAATAAGGAACTAAAACGAAATATAATACACAAGTTCTAAGTTGAAATTTTAATTTTTTTATGTGTAAAAAATATTTAATTTACCATCAGTTTACTATCCCAAATTATCTCGGGCAAATAAAAAAAGTTAAATATTAATCTTTGCATGCGTTCACATCTTCATAATCTGAAAAATCATCTGCATTACTTACACTAACTTTTTATTCTTTCTTCTATGTAAATTCGTCAACCATAGTATATACAATTGTACAAAACACGTCTGCAGTCCCACAAATAGCTAAACTCTCAAACGAAAATTGGCAAACTTCCAATCACAGCAGATTATTATAATTTTTTGTTTTGCTTCCGGCCGAATAAAAACGTGATAAAACAAAATGTAGTGAGGAATTCTGCTATGCCCGAGTTTACTCGGGATAATAATTATTTGCATTGTATACATTCCCGAGTTAACTCAGGATAATAATTATTTGCAATGTATACATACCCGAGTCAACTCAGGATAATAATTATTTGCAATGTATACATACCCGAGTTAACTCAGGATAATCAGGGAAGCGGTTAAAGCTTAAATATTTGCATTTATTCAAAGATGTTAAATTATAATTTTTTTTAAGTAACACAAGTAACAAAAATAAATTAATAACAGTAACAACAACAAAAGTAACATCAATTATTAAATATAGTTGAATCTCGATATAATAACTGAGACATATTCTAAGAAATCCACTAACACAAATTTTTTTAAAGTCATCACCGAAATGCTAATAATAAACATGCAAAAAGGGATGTTTATAACGAGTTAAATTTCTTTTTTTTATTGCGTTAAATAGTTTTGGAGAGAAATACTTATTCTGCTGTTTTAGTGAGGAATGGTGTACAGAAAAGGCAAAATAATTTTTTTTTATATATTTCAGGATATAATTACAGGAAAATGAACATCATTTCACCTTATTTCCTGCCTGCAATAGTAACTTTATATGTTTATAAAACAAAAGGGGGTGTGATCACCAGCTAAGTTACTCCTAAAAAAAGAAAAATTCTTCTGTTATTTTTGGGAAATCAGCAATACAATTTAAAAGAATATGCCTGTTTGTTAAAGGCATATATATTGTACCCCATATACTCCTTCCTGCTAATGTTATTTTGAAATCTACGTTCAATGTTGTCAAAACTTTATTTCATAACGTCACTCCATTTCATTTTTTATACTGTTATTTTTACGTTGGTTTTAATGACATGACAAATCTGCTCACCTTTCTGTATGGTAATAAAAAAGCAGAAGGTACCAGGTTCAAATCCTGGATATGGCATAGATGTTCTTTCCTTCTCTATGCTGTACCATCTGTTCTCCTTACTGTGGGAACAGCGTTGGCTTGCCTAATATGGTGTTCCCCAGAGAGTGGTCAACGAATCCAGGGTCACTATCCAGGTGAGCATTGGAGAAAAAATAATGACAATCTTGTACAGCCATTTTTTATTGGTGTATAGATAGCGATTGCATTGTTTTGCTAATTTTCATTTAGAATTTTTTTTAATCACAGAGTTGTGTTTTGACATTGAGAATGGATTTTGTTTTATTGTATGTTTTTGTACAATTATATGAGTTTTGTGTTTTTTTTTGCACAAGTTTTTGTTTTTTACATTGTTCCGCTTTAATCATATGTAGTACAAAATATTTCATTAGCATAGGCAGTAAATTTTAAATTTCAGCTTCACTTTTTTGAAGAAAAAAAAATTAATGTTTTTTCTCTTTTAGAGTCGTCTTGCCTTCATACACATGGACGAAAATTCTTAGCTGACATATATGCATCAGGTGTAAATAACTTCTTTAGCAGTGTATATTCGGAAGTGTATTTTGGCGTACAAAGATATATAATTATTTTACTCTGCTGTTGCATTTATGTAAACATTTATTTACCCAGAGTGAGAGAAGGTTTCAGTTCCTTCCATATATTTATTAAATGAAATATTTCTCAATTTAGCTTTTAAAATCGCCTGTTTAAGTATTGATTTTGTTTTTAGCAGGACATGGATGTTGATAATTTAAATTTTAAATTGGAATTTGATTGTTTGTTTTTAAATTATTAAAATATAAATAGAAATAAAGGACACCATCTGCCAAATAATTTAAATTTAAGAGCAGACACATATCTTTTTTTTTGCATTATTTTTAAGTTTGAAATAGTGACTTTTGCTTTCTCTTAAAAACTCTGACATCCCTTTTTTATTCAAAGGTTAACATTTTAAAAATTTTTAGGTTCGGATTTGTTAGTCAAATTTTTAAAAAAAATTAATAAAAATATTAAAATAAACATTGAAGAAATTACAAATTGTCAAAAAATCATTATACTAAAAAAATTGTTATTTATTCATTTTTTGCTGTTAATAAATTTTTTAACTGTTCTTGTTTCAAATTAATCTATCAATAACTTAATATAAATTGCAAAATACTTAATATATGATTTTTTTATAATGATCGAATATGATTAAATGCTTCTTTTTAAATTTCAAAAGCTTAGTTCAATATTTGAAATCTGTATTTTTAACCTTAATTCTTAGTTTACACGGAAATTTTGTTATAGTTGTTAAGAAGAAACAAAATTCCTTTATTTATTTATTTTTTTAAAGTCAAGTTAAATAAGTGTTGTTCTGGTAAAAATTTTAAAAGCTTCCAGAAACATTGCTCAAATAAAATAAAGTTACAAATTTAAAAAAAAATTACAAGTAATAAAGTTTCAAAAGATTTTTAAAAATTGTGAAATTACTAAATTGTTATAATCTCTAACATCCATATCCTTATGACTAACAATTGCTACTTGCTTTTTGATAGTAATAATTGCTTGATTTTAAACTAGTATTACTAATTTATATATTTTTTACTACTTACTTAATGTTACTATTTTTGGATTATATAATTTAAAAAAATATTTTTTGAAGTTTAAACACCATATCAACACTATCAAGTGAAGCAACAGTTCATGTTTATCCATATCATTACTGTCCTTGTTCTGTACTTGGGATTCTTTGGATTCTCTTTAGGATTCATAATTACGCTTAAAGTCTGCCTTATCCTATAATTATAATTGCCTAATTTTCGGTTTAAAAAGAGGCTCACCTGATTGTAATGATTATAACATATAGATTGTAATAACATTTTTTGAACTTTGTTATTGTTAAAGCTTCAAGCATATACTGGCAAATATATTTTACTTTAACTGACTATAGATTTAAATATTGTAATGTACTATATAATTTTCAGGTACGTTAATATTTTAAATTAATATTATATAAAATATGCTAGTTTTCAATTTTGAAGTGTAATACATTTTCGAAATATANTTAAATATTGTAATGTACTATATAATTTTCAGGTACGTTAATATTTTAAATTTGTATTATATAAAATATGCTAGTTTTCAATTTTGAAGTGTAATACATTTTCGAAATATAGTTTTCGTTGCATAAAATCTTTATTGTTTAATTTTGGGATTATTTTTTAATTTTGTTTCGATTTTATATTGTATCTCAGCATGTCTGTTTAATTTTTCATTTGAATTATGTTAAAATATAAAGCTTATAATAATCACAGCTCTAAATTTTGCAATTTGTTATTCAAGCAAAAAACTTTTAAGAATTTCTGTATTTATATTTTTAATTCTATTAATTTCAAATAGAGATATTAAACAAGCATTAAGAATGGATGAAATATTAACAGTATTACTTATATTTTTATAATTTATTTTAAATCCATCTGCATTATTTACAAAAAAAAATGGAAAAGCAAAATAGATATTTATGAAAACATTTGATAGTAATTTTTAGTTTTTAAATGAGTATACCAATGATTACTTTTTGATCTGGTACAGCTGTAATAGTAATTTATATTCCAAATAAGAACAAATAGCGATTTATTATGAAAATATAACTTCCCAAAGTTCAAACTTAGAAAGGAATTCACTCAAAATTATTTGATTGAAATGAAATTCATTTAAAAATGGTATACCAATGATTACTTTTAACTTGATGCTGCTGAAATGAAAATATGTAGTAAAGAAGAAATAGTAATTTACTGTAAAAATTAATTTTATAAAACAGTTTAATCAGTGTTTAAATCTTAAAGTTATATTAGTGAAAATTAATTGTATAATCCTAAAATTAATATCAAAGATTATTAACTTTATGCAACTGTGATGATAATTTATTATGGAATTAAAAACAAATGGTATTTACTTTTTAATCACATTTAAGAGTCTTTTAAATTAAATATTAAAGGTATCTTTGTCAGTATTACTTCAAATCAATATGACAGAATTTTATTTAAAAAAATTGGTTAGAATTTTTTAAATGACCTATGACTGTCTACATTAAACAGTATTTCTCATGTAATTTTTATGTGATATTCATATTTCTTAATGAGGCTTCAAATGCATTTTGTAAAAAAAAATATTTATCAAATTCTTATTCACTCTTTAATAAACAAAATTTCTGCTTAAAAATATGCCTAATCTCCACTGAAAATGTTGTAAAAAAAACTATATTTTTTTCTGTATAGGATTATGATTTTAAAGTTATTTTAAGCAAAAGTTTTTTATAGCAGCTAGGCATTACAGATATAACAGCTTTTATCATGACATTTTAACATCTTAATGTGTATAGTCCATGTGTGTTTTCAAATGTGTATTCAACCGTGGTTTATTCATTAAAAAAATTATTAATATGCTCAAATCTGTCTCAAAGTATTAGTTGTAGTTACTTACATGTGATTAATACTATTTGAAAATTGAAATCTTTTGCATAATCTAGTCTCTTTGAAAGAATTTTTTTGTTTTTATTTAATACTCTTCTGTATATAGTAATCTTTTTAAAACATTCCATCCGGTGTAAAAGATATAGGTGATATAAATGTTTTTTTGTTTTTTTCACAATTTGTTTGAAACTTCTTTCAAAATTGACTTTCCAGTTTTGTCCAATTTGCTTAGAACCTCTTTCAAAATAGAGGTTAGTTTTAAGTTCCCCCCCCCCCAATTTTATTTATAAAAAAGGAAATTTAGGCCTGTTTTTTAGTTTCTTACCAATTTGATTGAAATTTCTTTTAAAATTGAAGTTTGCTGTTTGTTTCTTACTACTTAGCTTGTAACCTCTCCCAAAATTAAAGGTTTACTTTTTTTGTTTCTTCCGAATTTACTTGAAACCTCTTTCAAGTTTGATGATTTCTTATTATTAGTTTCTTTCTAATACGTTTAGAACGTGTATCAAAATTAAAGTTTGCTTTATTATTTCGTTCCAATTTGCTTGAAATCCCTCTCAAAATTAAAGTTTACTTTTGAGTTTTTTCTCACTTTACTTGTAACTTCTAATAAGAATGAGGTTTCCTTTTTAGTTTCCTTTTGGAGCCTTTCTTTCCTGTTTCCTTGGAATCTCTTTCAAAATTAAGAATTTCTGTATTGGTTTTTTTAATATGCTTAGAACTTATTTCAAAATTAAGGTTTGCTTTATAATTTCTTCACAATTTGCTTGAAATCTCTTTCAAAATAAAAGTTTGCTTTTTAGTTTTTTCCACTAGAATGAGGTTTTCTTTTAAGTTTGCTTTCTATCATTTCATTTGGAGTCTCTTTCAAAATTATTATTTTCCTTTCTATTTATTGTCATTTATCTTGGAATCCCCTTTTTTTCAATCGATAGTTGTTGTATAATTTCTTCCCACTTGAAATTTTTTTTCAAAAGGAAACAAACAGTATTCTTGGCCCCTCAATTTATGTATAAAAAAACTCAGAGCAATGACAGCCACCTTCATTGGACCACCTATTTCTTTTACATTTATAGTACGAGTAAATTTTAAAAGAAATGACAGTTTCATATTCTAGCAGGTTAAAAAAAAAATGACTAGATGGGTTCAAGATCACAAATAAATGCTTAGAATGATGTGGAAATAGGAATAGTAACATTTATTCAAGTATAATGTAAAAAGCAAATCATGTAAAAATGCACAACTTTAATGATGCACTATTGTTGAAATAAATGCCATTGTGCACATTTTGACATCTGAGGAAGTGGTACCAGTCCACTTATACGGTAATTGTTCCACATTGCATTAACATAAGATATTTGTTAATTTGACTTTGTTTTATAATGTGACAATACAAACACTGAAATTCATTTAATGATTAAAACATATGATATTTTCAAATTGCAGCACTCAGCGAGATGGTGCAATTGTGCTGCATTGCCTTAACATAAGATATTTTTCCATTTGACTTTGTTTTATAATGTGACAATAAAAACACTGAACGCATTCAACGAATAGATCATATTATATTTTCAGATTGCATCGCTCAATGATCTGGTACAATGATGGATATTCTTATTCACGCTTTACTCAAATTGTACATATCTATCCAGTCTTTGTTTATTCCTGTGAAAAATTCAAAACTGTCTATACTTTTGAATTTAGCTTCACACTTACTGGCAGGTATAGTTTTTCTAGCTATTCATCATTTCATCAAATGTATATGAAATTCAAGGTAGTCATTTATTTCAATTGTTGGGGAGAAGTTTTTAGATCAAATTAGCTGCTTTTATTTTTATGTGTATAGCTAGATAAAATGTTGCTGTATATGTTGATTTTGATTGATAGTCATATTTTCTGTTATTTCTGTTTTTTGCAATATTTTAAATTATTTGTTTCTGTGTTTATTTTTTTCTTTTTAATTTTTTGCTTTTGTTTTCTGCTGTCATCATCTCATTCAGCTTTCTCAATCCTGTCATTTTTGAAGATTTTGTTGCAACTAATAACATTTTTTTAAAATTAAAGTTCTATTTTTATCTTTTTGTTATTGCCAATATTTTCTAAGTTTTAGTTTCTGTAATTCTATTCTTTATTCTGTTATTTGCCCCCCACCCCCGAAAAAAATTAAATAATTCTTTAATAATTTTGAAAGAAATAATTCTATAATTTGTTTTCTCTAATTTTCTTAGTTTTAACTTATATAATTTTTTTATCCCATTATTTGCATGAAAAAAGAAACGATTTAAAGTGATGTATTGTTTTCTTTATTTTGTAATTCATTTAATAAGTTCTGTCTTATATTTATGTCATTTTTCCTTTGTTTTAAATAAATGTCAATGATCATAATGCATGTCAATGATCAATGATCATCATGAAAATTTTAATTGACATTTCTCTTTGTAAATTGATCATTATTATCTCTAAAATTATACTAAAGAATTCTACAAGAGGGACATTTTCTAAATGGTAAAAGTTTAAGTATTTTATACTTTTTTTTTCTGTTAAAACTCTGCATTTTATTATGTAAAATTACATACCGTTATATAAGATGATGTAAAAAATTCACGAACCTTACAATTCAAACATATTTGATCAATGTTTAATTATATAATTTTGTTTGCTTTGAGTGATCTTTATTCGGTATGATCCGTAATTAGCTTCAATAATATTGGTGAGACTCACGAATGTTCCAAGACTCAGAGTCGTTTTTCCATAGGCGATCGCAACGCTCGAATACGCCATCTGGGGAGAAGGCCGGTTCCATGCCTTTGGCTCTTCTCCCTTCCCTCTCCTCCTCTTTTCAGTTGGGTAGGAATGTATTATGAAATTTTTAATTTCCCTAGTATTTTTTATTTCTAATTAATAAAAATATTTTTTTAAATTTCCTTGGTGCTTTCTTTTAGAACTATGTTTAATGTAGTTTTCAGTTCCATATAGTTTTCCAACTTAAAATATTTTAATCTATATGAAAATCAAGACAGAAACTAATGCACTTCCCTCTTCTATGACTCTCCATACGCTAATGGTAAAAGCATGTGAACTGTTGCCATAGGTAGAGAGTTCTGCTCTACGCCATCTGTAGCCCATTTCAATCACAAATTGTTAACATCATAGACTCGCATGATGCATGTTTAAATATACAAGGTAACCCAATGCTAAGTTTTCCTATCTATGTTATTAGTCTATGATTGTAACAATTTTGAATATGCTATTCCATTTAATCTTAAACTGCTGTTTTCGTATTCTTGTGTATATAATTCGTTTGTGTTATAAATAATTATTAAAATTTTGGAATGAAATGTGCAATGTATGATTTAAAGTACTTAATTGTTGTATTTTGAAAGTACATATCGCGACTTCTTTCAGGAAAATTGAGTAAATTTCGTTATATTTTTTATGTTTTTTATTTGATATTTGATTTTTGTTGCCAAATATTTCTACCAATATAAATTTTTGTGCTACTCAAATTTTTGATCTCTGTATTCTATCTTTTATTTAAACTTGTAACCATTTAGAGACCAGTAAGTTATTGATTTTCGATTCTGTGATCTCAAAACATAGTGAGCTAGTTTAAAGAATGAAATGTTCATTTGTTATTAATGTGATATGAAATCTACTATCTGTATTATAATCCGGTGAAAACTAAATAAAGCTGTTTTAATCTGTTTTATTTTATTTACTATTCATTCCTGCAGTCACAATGCATTGGTTTTAGCTTTCTTTTATTTCATACTCTTTTTCCACTGAACTTTTAATTTTTGCGATATAGAGATAATATAAAGAATAATTTTTATCTTAGGATGCTTATTCTTTATTCAGAAATATCGCATTTAATTATAGTAAAGTATGTGTCCTGATGAAGACCTTTACTTTTTTCCATTAATAGTTTTTCTATTTTATTTATTATATTATTATTTGTGTTTATATATATATATATATATGGTGGTTTTTTTTCTTTATGTTCTCATTTATTTCTCCCCATTTGTGGTGTAGAGATCTTTCTGCATAAATCTGGCCATTGGAAATTAAATATATATATATATATGTATAATCTGAAGAAAAAAAATCGGAACACCAAGATGGAAATGTGTTAGATAAACTAAATTTAGAAGGCTTGTTTCTCCAACTGAAAGATGATATCTACTCAAATTGCGCAATTGGCGCATAAGTTTAGCATCATTGTGAACTTGCCAATAAGGGTTGCATTAAGTACGTGTTTTACAGTTCGTAAGCGTTATTTTGGCGTTAAATTTTGACAGAGTGAGTTGCTGTTAGTCAAGAATGCCTTTTAAGAAAACGAAGAAGCCATTATTAACAGTTCACTGATTTTGAACGTGGTCGTGTAATAGGCCTGCGGGAAGGTGGTTTTTCCCCGCGATATTACAGAAAGACTGGGGAGAAATATATCTCCTGTGCATGATTTTATTTTATAACCGTAGTTGTTAACAGCCATCCCAATATTTTTGGTTTACGACAACCAATGTTCAACTCCGTAGCCTTGTTATTTTGAACGCAATCCAGATGACAAGGGAGCTCCTGGATCAGGTATTGGGAGAAATTTGCCTTCGTGGAGGACTTTTTGATAGTCGAATAGTTGCTATGATATTAAATGTTAGAAATACTACTTTTTCGAAATTTGATTTTATTAAAATTATATTCTTTGAAATTATTAAAAAAATTATATACTTTACAATTTAAAATTTTTCCTTCCATTTTTAAATAAAATAATAAAAAATAGTTTTTTCTCAAAGTTATATTTTGCATGGGATTATTGGCAAAATGAATTTTTAAATTGTGACAAAACATTTTTCAGTTCCTTTTGAAAAGTTCTTGAGACATGGAGAAGTACACAAAAGATAAAATTAACATTAAGGGGCCCAATTTTTGAACTGCTCTCCTGACTAAAATATGGGGTTCATGTTTCGTCAAAAAATGTAGGTTCATTAAGAGAAAGTACGTTTTTGTACTTTCGTTTGATTGATTTCGTAGCTTAAAATATCATTTGAATAAATTAATTAGAATATTTGAAGTCATCCCCTCAAAGCCCTAGAACGTGAAGATCCGATTATTAGATCGAAAATTGTTCAGGTTGGTCCGATTTTTATTTTGAGCAAGAAAACAAAACCCATTCTAAAGTCTGAAACAAATTTTATTTACTGTCACAAAAGCTATTCAAGCATTCATTTAATATATATATTTTTTTTATACAGTATAGATTATTCAGTTTGTAATTATTTATACGATGAGAATTTAACGTTTAAAAATTCGTAATAGAAATGTTTTAGCTCTGACATGAAGCTTCTGACAAAGATGAAGAAGGATACCAATCACTGTATCGAAAAAATCGCACAAAGCGATTAAAGATATTCCAAGCCATATTCCTATGTAGCCTCCTATGTTACTCCATAACTCCACACTCTAAAAAATACATAGAAATATATACTTTTCATACGCTGAGTCTTTTAGGTAGAACTGGTCTAAAACTTACGTGTTTACCTTTTGACAGAGAATTTTTTCTCACACCAAATGACCGAATTGGCTTTTATGTTTGGAATTTTATAGTTTTTTTAAAACACAATAGTAATAAAGAAAAATAAATACTCATCATTTTAAGACACCAGAATATATATTTTGAAATAAATGGTAAAATTTCATTCTATACCATTTTAGTAAGTTTTATATTTTATTAGACATAATTTTAAATAATGTAAGCTTTATACGAAATTTGAGTTTATTTTAGTATATAATTAAGTTTAGTACAAAATTTAATACAATACAAAATGTGAGAGAAATTAATCGAATAGTTCTTTAGAATACGAATTTCAAAATGACGATTTTTTTGAAATTTCATTTCTTTGGATCCAGTTGACTAATTTAGCTCAAATTTTGTATTTTGCCGTATAAATTTGCTTTCTTTAAACTGATGTAAATACTTTTATATCTTACAGTACAAAAATGCTTCTACTGTTATTGAATATAATAATAAAAGATAATAAATGATTATTTAAAATTAATCTTGTGTCGAATTAACTATAGATAAATGAATTTCATAAATCTGTGCAAAACTGCTTCAATTTGCTGGAAATTTTTCGAGATGTGGCGAAATTGCCTAAAAGTAGATTTCAGCAGCAAAGTATCAACCGCTCCTATAACGACACTATCGGGACTATATTTCCCAGATGGAAGATAACCCCTAAAGTTTAGAAGCAAGAAATCCGTATCTGCTGAGAAAAAGGTTTTGTTTATCTTTTGACAGATAATTTAATTTTTTCTTGCACCAAATGACCATATTGGCTTTGAACCTTGCAATGCTATAGTTTTTTTTAAACACAATGGTAATCGAAAATAATAACTCAGCATTTTAAGAAATAACTCAGCATTTTAAGACACCAGAATTTAAATTTTGAAATAAAGGGTAAAATTTTATTCCATACCATTTTAGTATGTTTCATATTTTATTATACATAATTTTTAAGAATGTAAGTTTTATACAAAATTTGAGTTTATTTTGGTACACAATTAAGTTTATTACATAATTTAACGCAATATAAAGTATGAGTGAAATTAAGAGAAATTAAATATATATATACGAGGGTCACCCAGAAAGTAAGTTTCCCGATTTTTTTAAAAAAAAGATCTCACACTTTCAGGAACATATTTATTGGCAGCAAGTAGAATAATGTTTCAGCTATTTTTCAACATGGTCACCACCAGAATTGAGACACTTGTCGAATCGTGGGATCAACTTTTGTATCCCTATGTCGTAGTACTCTGCTGCCTGTGAATGGAACCAACGTGTGGCAGACGTCTACCGTTACTGTGAAACATTGTGGAAATTATGACGTGCCATTCAAAACAAGAGTCGTGGAATGTTTACTGAAGGTGTTGCGCTCCTCCATGACAATGCTTGTCCACATTCGGCACGACACACAGCAGCTGTTTTGACGGATTTGACTGGGAGTTGTTTGATCATTCACCCTACAGCCCTGATATTGCCCCCTGCGATTTTCACGTTTTCTTGCACCTCAAGAAATTCTTGTCCTTCGGTAAGCATTTTGGCAACGACAAAAAGTTGAAGACGTCTGCCACACGCTGGTTCCATTCACAGGCGGCAGAGTACTACGACATAGGGATACAAAAGTTGATCCCACGATTCGACAAGTGTCTCAATTCTGGTGGTGATTATGCTGAAAAATAGCTGAAACATTGCTGTACTTGTTGCTAACAAATATGTTCCTGAAAGTGCGAGTTCTTTTTTTTTATGAATTAGGGAAACTTACTTTCTGGATACGCCTCATATATAGTAAAATATTAGTTAGAGTTATCAATAAAAATATTTACCTCAAATTTCGGTCTATAAGAATATGTTGTAGTCGGCATATCATTCAAATTAATAATCACAGTTATATTATGACTGAAAAAAAAGACTCATTAGTTTTTTGTAAAAAAAATATAAAGTTAAACAATATGAGAAAAAAATTGAGGTCGATGGGTTAGAAAACATTAAGTTATTTTGGACGCAAACCACTTTTAATGTTAACTACAAAAAGAAAACTCACAATTATAATAATTTTAGATTAAAAAATGTAATATTTAACATTATGCGAAAAAAATGTCATGTCAAGAAATGTTGTTTTTGGGTTATAAAATTTTTTTAAACCATTTTTGATTAAAAAAAACTGCTTTTTTATTTTTTTAATAACCGAAAACGAAAGCGTAGCAAAATATTAAAAAAGCGTGACTCTTAATATTTTAAGGAAATAAAAATATAGCAGAAATTCCCTGTAAAAGTTGATAATAAGGTAAAAGCAAATATTTCTCTGTAAGAAATCATAAAACTTTGCAAAACAAATTCCTCAAATCCTTTCTTTCTAAAAAATAAAAACAATTGGGTCATAAATGAAAATGATGTCGACATTCTTAACACTCTTATGAATATGAGTTTCATATGAGGTTATAAACATTTTTTTTCTTCATTAGCGTTATTCTTCTTAGCGCATCGACTGTAATTTGCAGGTAGACTCAAAAAAATTCTCCGAAGTTTAAAGACTCCAAAAAGTTCTTGGATACCAATAAAAAGTAGAATTTCCTTACACCTTAGATTTGTAAAATAACACAACGATTTGAAAATTCCTTCCTTTTAATCATAAAAAATTAATTAATTTTAATCATAAATAATTTAATCATAAATTAAAATCATAAATCTATTGTAATAAATTGAAGAATTTGTTAAGTCACATAAACTGTTGGTATGAATAATTATTGCTATAATAATGATTTTAAATCATGCTTAGATAATACTAAATAATTTAAAATCAACGATATTTGAAACAAAACAAAGAGCTTTATACTAAAAGGCAAAACTGATGGAAAAAATGTACTTATTCAAAGGGAAGCAAGAAAAAAATTCTTACTTTAACGATGCCAATAGTGATTAATTAAGCTTGGAAATAGACTCGAATTACAATTAAAATTAAGGTTGTACTAAATAGGAAAATTAATAAATCATATTTATTTAGGGATAAAAACCACTAAATTATTATTGGCGATAACATTGCTTAATTAATTTTGATAATATGTTCCCATTAAAAAGAAGCTATGCACTAAAAAGCACCATCCAAGGAGAAATGTTACTAATTCATTTAGGAGAAAGAAAAATTTGCTATAATATTTTCGACCTTAATGATAATTAATTAATTTTTATAATAAGTAGTACTTATTGAATTAAAAAAATAAACTATACACTAAAGAGGAAATTTAATAGAAAGGTGATACTAATTCTTTTGGGTGAAACGTAAAAAGTATCATCACACCATTATTTTCGCCAATGATATTTAACTTTGGTAATATTCAGCTGTAGTAGTTTGGTAATTGGTAAATTTTAAATAGGTGTCAAATATGCTAGTATAGGTACTACTTCATTTGGTACCTACTTAAATGAGACTGTGCAGTCTCATTTTAGTAGGTACCAAAGTACCTACTAAATGTATGAGTATGAAAACTGTGCAGTCATACTATGGATGACGTGAAAAGATATGTTTCCTCAAAAATTCAAGAGGAAGAAGAAAAAAGGAAAAGACAAAACTCCTGATGGTGGTAAATATTGGCTATAATGGAGAAAACTCTTGATAGTGGTAAATATTGGCTATAATGAGTTTGGCCTCTAGAAACATGACAAATGATAACGTATTTATTTATTATTTAGATGAACTATTAAAAACTTGTCTCACTTAAGAATAATTTGGTCAATAAGCACGGAAGAATTTATTTTAGCTTTATTAATTGTGTCGGTATGAGTCGTATGCACAATTGTTGTTTTCCTGTTGAAATTTTTTTCGCAAAATTTCGTATTGTTCAGGGATGATTGTATTCCGCAGGTACCTCGGAACTTCGAGTTTTTCGAATCTTTCTCCTGGGTCTGAAAACTAGAAGTGGGGCAAGCGATTTTTGCACGAATATTGTAGAATTCCGCGTATTTCGAGACGATTGGTTCGCGTATCAAAAAATTATAATCCGACAAAATTTTAAAGCTTTCTTTAAATCCTGCTGACGAGACATTTACTTACATTTTTATGTGAAGAATTACGTATTTTGTGATTCGTCCGCCAATTTGATTATTTTGGTTTGGCAGATTTAAGCCATTTTGAATTGTTCGGAATTGCCTCGGTATCTCATAATATTGCTATTCACACGATTTTAAAAATCGTACATTAAAAGTCCAATATCGTGATTTATATTTACTCATTTTAAAAACCTAATATTACAATCCGCATTCAGGCAAGTTTAAAATCCAATGTCGTGATTCGTATTCACGCGTTTTTAAAATCTAATATTTCTATTCGTATTTACGCGATTTAAAAATTCGATATCGCAAACTTTTTTTCGCGTTTTTAAAATCCAATATCGCGCTATTTGAAGTAAGTAAGTTTTTTCTTGAATTAGTTATTCTGAAGGTGTATTCAGCATTAGTATCTAATTTAATTATAAATTTTGTTTAAAAAGTTAGGTTAAATATGCATGGTATATAAGTTGAAATTGATTTTTTCACATAATTTTTTTTAATCGTTTTTCACTTTGTGCTTCAATTGCCCCTGAATGTTGATAAACAACGATAGATTAATTATTAACCTTTTTAACCAACTTCGAAAAGCTGGTATTTAGTTAGTATATAATAAAAAGATGTAATATATATCATAAACGATGAAGACGTCATCCGAATTAATAAAATGCTGATTTCAAGAATGTTTTGGTTGGAGATAGTAAAAAGAAAAATTCTCATTTTTATAAGTTCAACGACATTATTCGGATTTTTAGCGCTATTAATAGTTTTAAACTATTTATGTATTCGGGGTAATTATTCTTTAGGAAATTATTCATTTCATTTCCCGTGATTTTTTAAATTCTTCGTTTCAATATATGAATGAAAGTGTCACGTAAGCATAGTGACTCAATTCTGAATCAAATTCTGTTATCAAATAACGGCAGTTTGTGATTAAGTCATGGTTAGAAAATTTACTAGTTGGCGAATATCCACCCGGACATAAAAAAAACTTTTTAATACAACTATTAAATATTCCTAAAAAAATCTCTCTACTCAATCTTTCCTTTGTAGTTAGGTCCTAGAAAAATTCCCAAAACACGACAATTTTCTTAATTTTAAACACTAAATAATACATTTCTGATCTGTCTTACATTAAGTTTGATTTGTTGTTCTTCTGCCTGTTATTTTTCAAATGTTTATTACATTGACCCTGAAAAAAAATATATAAATGAATTACCATCAATAAAAATTCCATTTAAAAGTTGAAAGTCAGAAAAAAATGAATAAAATTTGGATAAATATAAAAAGAGTTTAATGCTTCTGAGCATTGTAAACTATTCTGCTACACTCACTCTGACCTCAGTAAACTATTATAAATGTTTACTACGTCATTGGAATGCGTTAAATCATATTATTACACAAATCATTTGTTGAATTGAACGAGATTGTTGTATTTTTTTGACGTGAGTACACAATATCATGTTTCAACTGGAGTAGAAATATGGTTCAGTTCAACCCCTCATTAAAACTGCAGCAACTTTTAAGTTCGAGGCAGAACCGATATTTCTGAATGTGATGTTGAAACATGCATTTCAAGTGTGTACTGCTTATAATATATAGAATTCAATTCAAAAGAATTAAAAAAATCATATAATAGCGAAAACTGTACACATATATATACTTTGAGGAATAAAAATTTTGCTTCAGATTTTGAAACTTAAATTATCTTTTACCTAACAAATAAGATTGTACAGTCGGCAAAAAAAAGATATCCCCCTAAATAACTTTCGTTCTAATCATCGGATTTTCACGAACTGAATGTCAATCTTAATGGTTTCAGGGGGTGACCTTAAATACGCTAATCAATTAGTACTAATTATTAATTAAGTTATGAAATCAGACACAAAAGCGTGCTTTCTCTGAATAAACATATTTTTTTTTAAATAATTGGAATCCTGAGCCTTGTAATTGGGGACAGACAAAATTTCGGAAAAAAAAAACAGGTCCTAAATTGGGTCGCAATAAAGATTGATATATTTGGTGATAATCCAGAAAACAGCCAAAAAAAGTTACCTCCGCAAATGAATATTTTGAAATAACGCATAGACTAATTCAAATGAGGAATACTTAATTTACACCGTTGCTAAGGCAAGTTCTGACTGTAAAAAAATTGAAATAATGTTCTGTGATTGCTTGGAGATGTTTAATTAATTATAGTTAATATAAAATATCTCGAAGTTTCAAGGCAATAGTACATTTTCAAGCTGANCCGACATTCATGTGAGCGGGGCTACCCGAAATCCAATTTTTTTGTAAATTTGTAATTACTCGAACAATTTTTCACACATAAACTTCTTTCTTTGTGCAAATTAAACTTAAGACTACATACTTTAATGCTGCATAAATGGAAAAAATTATTTTTTTAGTATTAAAATGAAGTTTAATCGAAACATTCAACCAATTTTTCTTAATTTCATGACTACTGAATTCAACATATTTTCAAAACTATTGTTCACCATGTTACCAGCTGCATAAATAGTTGAAGTCCCCCGCAGTGGATTGATCGTTAAGACACGGTTCCCAGCAGATCACCGAAGTCAAGCATCACTGGCTGCGGTCAGTGTGCGGGTGGGTGACCACTTAGATCAGTCTGCGTAGGGAACGAGGGTGTGCGGTATTGGTCCTCGTTAAACTGTGCTACCGTAAAGTGCTCGACTTCGCGCGCAGGTCGTCGGGCTACCGAAGCGGGGGTGCCATCCCCTCCGCAGAGGATCAAAATTGTAATGGCATGTCTTCGGATCATTCTCCGGGATGTTTCCCAAACCGTCGCCAATAGCCCATTGTGCAGCTCTAGTGCGACGTAAATTAACAACAACAACAACAATAAATACTTGAAACTTTGAAAATAATATTCTTTTAATATAACAATTAATGTCCGATGGCCCATTGGCTTGAAGAAATATTCTATACATATGAAATTGACAGTAGGAGGGGGTACCCGACACTCCCCTACCTCTAAACTCCGGGTTTCTCGTATCTTTCTCCTGGGTCTGAAAACTAGAAGTGGGGCATGCGATTTTTGCGCGAATATCGTAAAATTCCGCGTATTTCAAGACGATTGGTACGCGTATGAAAAACTTATAATCCGACAAAATTTTGAAGCTTTCTTTAAATCGAATTTATTTTTTCTTATAATCGAATTTAAACCGTTGACGAGACGTTTACTTACATTCTTATTTGAAGAATTGCGTATTTTGTGATTCTTCCGCCAATTTGATTCTTTTGGTTTGGCGGATTTAAGCTATTTTGAATTGTTTGGAATTGCTCCGGAATCTCATAATATTGCGATTCTTATTCACACGATTTAAAAATCGTACATTGCAAGTCATACTCACGTGGTTTAAAAGTCCAATATCGTGATTTATATTTACACGTTTTTAAAACCTAATATCACAATCCACATTCACGCAAGTTCAAAACCCAATGCAGTGATTCGTATTCACGCGTTTTTAAAATTTAATATTTCTATTCGCATTTACGCGTTTTAAAAATTCGATATCGCAAATTTTTTTTCGCGTTTTTAAAATCCAATATCACGCTATTTGAAAGAAGTAAGTTTTTTCTTGAATTAGTTATTCTGAAGGTGTATTCAGCATTAGTATCAAATTTAATTATAAATGTTAGTTTAAAAAGTTAGGTTAAATATGCATATATATCAACTGAGATCGATTTTTTTACATAAAAGTTCTTTCTATCGTTTTTCACTTTGTGCTTCAAACAGCGATTGATAAACAACGATATATTAATTATTAACCTTTTTAACCAACTTCGAAAAGCTGGTATTTAGTTAGTATATAATAAAAAGATGTAATATATCATAAACAATGACTACGTCATCCGAATTAATAAAATGCGGATTTCAAGAATGTTCTGGTTGGAGATTGAAAAAAGAAAAATCATCATTTTTTATAAGTTTGTCTTCAACGACATTATTCACGTTTTTAAGTGCTATTAATAGTTTTAAACTATTTATATATTCGGGGAAATTATTCTTTAGGAAATTATTCATTTTAAGATCCTGTGGTTTTTTAAATTCTTCGAATGAAAGTGTCACGTAAGCATAGTGACTCAATTCTGAATCAAATTCTGTTATCAAATATCGGCAGTTTGTGATGAAGTCATGGTTAGAAAATGTACCAGTTGGCGAATATCCACCCGACCATAAGAAAACTTTTTAATACAACTATTAAATATTCCTGAAAAAAATCTCTCTACTCAATCTTTCCTTTGTAGTCAGGTCCTAGAAAAATTCCCAAAACATGACAATTTTCTTAATTTTAAACACTAAATATTACATTTCTGATCTGTCTTACATTAAGTTTGATTTGTTGTTCTTCTGCTTGTTATCTTTCGAATGTTTATTACATTGGCCCTGAAAAAAAAAATATATAAATGAATTACCATCAATAAAAATTCCATTAAAAAGTTGAAAGTCAGAAAAAATTAATAAAATTTGGATAAATATAAAAAGAGTTTAATGCTTCTGAGCATTGTAAACTATTCTGCTACACTCACTCTGACCTCAGTAAACTATTCTCAATGCTTACGATGTCATTAGAAAGCGCTAAATTATATTATCATACAAATTGTTTGCTGAATTGAACCAGATTGTCGTATTTTTTTTGACGTGAGTACACAATATCATGATTCAACTAGGGTAGAATTATGGTTCAGTTCAATATCTTATTAAAACTGCAGCAACTTTTTTTAGGTTCGAGGCAGAACCGCTATTTCTGAATGTGATGTTGAAACATACATTTTAACTGTGTACTGCTTAATATATAGAATTCAAAAATAAAGAATTTAAAAAAATCATATAATAGCTTAAACTGTGCATAGAGCAAACCCTCAGACTTTGGATTTTGAGAGTACGTATATATATGTATATGTATACTTTGTACGTATATATGTATATATATAGTTTAAGGAATAAAATTTTGTACCAGATTTTGAAACTTAAATTATCCTCTTCCTAACAAATAAGATTGTAAAATCGGCAAAGAAAAAAAGATATTACCCTAAATAACTTTCGCTCTAATGATCGGATTTTCACGAACTAAGTGTCAATCTTAATGGTTTCTGGGGGTGACCTTAAATACGCTAATCAATTAGTGCTAACTATTAATTAAGTTATGAAATTAGACACAAAAACGTGCTTTCTCTGAATAAACATAGATATTTTTTTAAATATCTGGAATCCTGAACCTTGTAATTGGGGGAGGATAGACAAAATTTCGAAAAAAAAAACTGGTCGTAAATTGGGTTGCAGATTTATATATTTGGTGATTTGGTGATAGCCAACAGAAGTTGGCTCCGCAAATGAATATTTTAAAATTACGCATAAACTAATTCAAATGAGGAATACTTAATTTTACACCGTTGCGAAGCCAAGTTCTGATTGTAAAAAAAATTGAAATAATGTTCTGTGATTGCTTGAAGAGGTTTAATTAATTATAGTTAATACAAAATATCTTGAAGTTTCTAGGCAATAGAAAACTTTTAAGCTGATTTCTGTACAAAAAGCAAGGATTTATTTTCTTTTTTTATCACCTTTGAAAAGAAAATTTGAATAGATGTATAAATTATTTATGATTTTCTAAGCTCCTAGAATTTGAATACATGAACTTTTAATCTGACATTATTTGGGTTTTTTATGTTGCTTTTACTTTATTTATACTAGGATTTCACATTGAAATCAAATTTGCATAATTTCTTATAACTAAATACAAAATTTTAGGGATAATCACTTTTACTGTTTTAATCAAATCTTCTAGGCAAGAAAGTTTGAGGAAACGAAAAAAAGTACCTGAAAAATAAAATGTAGATTATATAGTAATTCTAATGCACATTTACAAGGTTTTATATAATTTACGATATTTCGTTTTTCTATAACCGGAGGAATTGTTGAATGTCAAGTGGCATTTTAAAAACAGTGAAATATGCTACGTTTAAGAATAACATATTGAAATAATATGTTGCATATTGTATGAGTCATTGTTTAAAATATCACTTCATTCTGCCGGATATTTAGGTTACATGGCTTTCTAAGGATAAAGATGATTTGCAAATAGCATCCTGATATTTCGATACATTTTAAAACTTATTTTCGAAAATTCATCATAAACTGTCGCACAACATGCTCTTCAATTACGATAAGCTTCATTCATCACCAAATACCGCTTCTATGATTTCTTTGTTTTCTTATAAATATGTCTGATATGATACTCTCTTTTTAAACAGAATTCTTAAGATACTGAAATGGAGGCACAAAAACTTAAAAGATAAAATATTCAATTTCTGTAACTCAAAATATCTGATCGCAAAATTTCAATTTTAAAGTTAAAGATAACTTTTATAGTTACAATATGGATGCTTACGGCTCTCTTGCATTTTTAAAGATCACATGAATCCTGTTAAAATATTAAAATGCATATGCTTATTTTAACGAGCGTAAAATCCTTATCAAAGCAATGATCAAGACCCAATTGTAAAACAGTTAAATTGATGAAAAAAATTTCACTAGTTTCAAAATATATGAAGAGGGAAATAAAAGTTGACATGTTTCAAGCGTTCAAATGTAAGCACCCATTCTCAAGACTCGTCAGGTGTGAATGACTTGTGACTTTAGTTATTCGATTCTCAAAACATGTCTATTTTTACTATCATCAAATAATATTTATATCAATGAAGTTTTTATCTTTTTGATTCAGTTTCTTAGCGAAAACTTATCAATTTCTTACAGCGAGTAACAATTTATAGAAAACCTCTAAGTACCAATAAAAATGAAACAAAATAGTTTAGTATATTATCAGGTTGTAGCATCTAGGTGGTAGCATAAAGAAAAAGTAAAAAATATGAAGAAATAATTAGTTGGATAGTTCAATGAATCACAAACGGCCAGGTAATTAAAAATTTTATTTCACAATTAAGATGTTAGGACGACATTTAAAAAAACTGAGATATTTTAACACGCTTAAAAATTTTGGCTACATATTCGATAACTTTTTTTGTTCGGTGTATTTATACTATTTGTAGTAACACATAAAACATCAACACTATTTTAGATAGTCTATGTTGACGTCACTAGAAAAAAAAATCAACAATTTATCTCTATTTTTCGAAAAAATAGTATACTTGGTAAATAGTCAGCTGTTTTGCATCAAATAAATTCAAACAGCAGAATGTTTTTAATTTATTAACAAGATTTATTCCAGGCAAGTTTTCTTTTAATCAAAACTTGACAATAATTTAAAAGGGAATTTTAATTTAAATGAAAACCTAAATTAAAGTATTAAAAAAAATTATTAGTACATTAATGAAAAATTAATATGCGTGATATCGTAAAGAATATGATTTTTAAAAATGATAAAATTTAATTAAATAGTTGGTAAAACAGTTACGCGAAACACGCGCAGGTGATTAAAAATTTATTTTAAGATTAAGACGATATATAAGATGTTGAAAAATTTTAAGATGCTTAAAAATGTGAACTACGTATTCGTATCAATAATCATAAAGTGTATATTGAAGAAATTGATGAAGATATTATTCTAAATCTATGCATACGTATGTATATAATTGAAATTGCATCAATTATTGAAAAAAGAGGCTGAAAAATTAAATATAATCACATAAAAATGTAAGCAAAATTCTTATGTATAAGCATATTCTATCAGAAGCGTGCTTTTATAAAACTCGTCATTCGTTGAATAAAATGTTTTATTCAAATTTCTTTACTAAATTACCACTTAAATTTTAGACGACTAAAAAAGAGACATCATCGCATTTTAGAATAAAAAAAATAAATAAAAAAAAGAGGATTAGCAATTGGTTACTAGCGAAAAAAATATGAATGAAATTTTATGCTACCCGCCCGTAAGTCAAGTTCCTTGTAAGTTAACCACATTTTAGTATTAATTGCCCAATTTAAATATTTCTTCATTGTCACCAAATTATTTTTTTAAAAATAATTAATTTTAAATTTCTCAGCTTCTACTGAATTAAAAAAAGTTGAAACTTTAGATTTTTCAATAGAAAAATACGTAGATTAATATGGTATAAAAAAATTCATACCTCAGAATCCAAATTTTTTTCATCTCCAATTAAACTACATGATAGAAAATGATAAATAATAGTTAAAAATTATTTTTATACGAAATTATCTCAGGGTAAATGAGTTTTATAAGTGGGTGCAATTTTTTTTGAATTGCTTAATTAGTTTTGAAAATATGACTGAAAACGCAAAAAGTGAAATTAACAATAAGGGATCCGAACTTCGGGTCGCTCTCCTGACCAAACTTTCCCAGATTGTGGCTATCCCCTATATTTTGAAGGTTAAAAATCCAAATATGTATAAAAAAATATATGTTTATTCAGAGAAAGT